TGAAAGGTTAAATTAATTTGATTTATAGCATAAGTATCGGAAGATTAGAGGATAGCAGTGAATTTGTACAAATATCAGGAATATTAGAGGATTTGAACGTATATAAGAAAGGGTATCAGGGGATGAAGGAGTCGAGATTTTATTCAAATAGTTTGCTTGTATTAATTTAATACTTTAGCAGTAAATATACTACTTTGACCCATGTGTAATTTTTGGGGTAAGCAAAAAGATAGCCCAAGAAGAATAAAATGTTGTGATTTTATTCTGTGAGATAATGCGATGGTACAAAAAATAATATACATATAAAGTACAATCATTTAAGTTTATATGGCTCCATACTTGGTGATAGTATCGTATGATGACCCTATATATGACCCCTCATGTGGTGCTATAATCCTAATACCCCCATATTCTAGTATATAAAGAACTAAGTAACCATATGCAAGTTTATATGGATCCGTAATTGGGAATATATCCATGTTTTATACTATAAAATAGTAGATAAAGAAAATAGAACGTCAAGACTTCATGCGGTTTCTTAAATTCATGAATGGGTTGAATTAATAATTCCCCTCCCTCGAATAATTCCCCACCCTCGATTAATTCCCCATGCCACGGATGGGTTGAAAAAATAATTCCCCAGGGGAATTAATCGAGTAAATACGGTAAATGTTTAATTTAATTTAAAAATATTTATTACATAATTTATTGCATTAATTTATTTCTGGCCAAAAAAATTCAAAAATTTTTAAATTTATAAATTATTTATTTTTTATTCTTCCCCATCACCTCTTTAATTTTATTCCTCCCTTCAAAACAATTTTTCCTTCAATTTTTAAATTTTGCGGTTTTTATGTGGCCGGAAGTTGTTTAGATTTAAATATAAATTTAAAAATTCCTTTTTTCTTTTCAAAAATAAAAACCGTGAAAATGATCCGCGAATTAATTTATTTTTTCTCAATTTGCGCTCTTCCCAGAGAATTTTTTAATGAAAATATATAAATAAATAATTTTATTTACAAGCCAAAGATTTTTGAATTTAAAGAGGGAAAAAAGAATTTTTGAAAAATAAAATAAAAATTGATGGGAGAGAATAATTATACGAGAAGATGGCCAATAATAAGTAAAGAAAAAAATCAGATAAAAGTTATAAAAAAATAAACAGAAATAGTTAAAGATCAAGATCGGCATTAACATCTGTGTTTGTTAAAAGAATTTTTATTTCTATAAACAAAAATTGCTTTTAAATAATTTATTTATTAAATTCGTGATTTACGAATTTTCTAATAGATTCGTAATTTCAATTGCCCTTAAATTTCATACAAATAATTTGTTCGTAAATTCGGGTCAGCGCGGCCGAGTAGGCACAAAGTCATAACTTGCTCTAAGATTTCCGAATTCTTCAAAATTTAGTATTAAACTGCGGCTCTCATCGAGCTAAAGAGATTATTAAGGTTAGAAAATTTTCAGCTAGTTATTCAGCTAGTTATTTTCAGCTAGTCGCCTTCTTGGCCGCGTGTCTACTTGGACATGTCCCCGTAAATTCATATGTAAAATATTAAATGGAGTTACTCTAACTGAAATTATTACCTTCTCCCTCCCTATTAAACCCTCTCCATCAAGAGCTTGGAAAAAGAATTACCCTGGGTATTTGAGTAAAAAATACTCATTATAAAATTTCCTGTTAAATTTTCGCGCATATATAAATTTAAGAAAATTTTTTTTTAAAGATCTCTTTTCCAAAAAAAAAACAATAAATTAAAATCGTTTTCAGTAAAATCCACTAAGGACATTTTTTGGTGTGAATTTGGCGAAATTATTTAGTGAGATTGATGGTTTTTTTGGTAAAAAGATGGAAAAAATAAAGAAGTTATTTTTAATAAAAAATATTTTTTATTGAAAAAATTTTTTTTAAAGAAAGTTTACAGTCTCTAAAAAGGGTAAAAGAATTACCGATATTAAGGAGTAAATCGAATAATTGAAGGTAAATTTAAAGGTGGACAATTTTTGTATTATTTTTTAGTTCCAAGTAGGAATTAAAATTGATCAGAAATAACTTTTTTTAATTAATTTGTAATTAAAAAATGCCCTCAAAAAATTGAAAAGTGAATGGAAAGTTTGGGCAGGATATCCAAAAACTTAGGGACTGTTTTCTCATAGGTAATTAACTATATTTTTTCTCAAGACCAGTCAGAACATTTAAATTAAGTGTGTGTTGCAGAAGTCGATCGGAAATGACGATGTGTCGGAAATCGGAACTGTCGGAACTCGGAAATCAGCTCAAATTTTTGGAAATTTTCTGGTGTGTTGGTAAAAATAATTTTGAAAAATTTAAACAGTATATGTACTTATAGAGAAGAAGGGGCGAGAAGGGTTCAGGAGAGAAGAGCTCTAAAATCAAAAAGGACGATGGAAGACACTCATTCCAATTTTTGTACATATTTTATCAAAAACAACAAAATTATGTAAATTATTTTTTTTTCTAATCAATTAATTGCATAATTAAAAAATGCCATTACTAGAAAAATATTTTGACAGTTTCAAAGAAATATATCCATTTATCTTTCACCACTAACCGGTTTTTATAAAATAAAAAAAGATAAACTACCTCCCTCCCTTCCTTAAATTTATTTCCGCCTATTTTTCAGTCTTTTTAAAATGTCCAAAAAAAAAATTAACATTTCAATGATCGTTTGGCCGAATGATATTTTTTATTGGAATAAAAACACGGCATTTTCCTTTTAAGGAAAAAATAAAGAGACAAATTGAATTTTGGAAAAATTAAAAAGAAAAAATTGGGAATAGGGGGAATTATTTTTTAAGAAAGAAGTAAAATTTTAATTGAGAGAATTTACCTAAATTAAGGGTCGAAAAATTATTTTTAAAATTAATCGAATCAAAAATTAACAAAATTATGTTTATTAACAAATTTAGAAAAAAATTTCTTTTTAAATTTAAGGTAGAGGTAAGTTTAGGCTTCTTGCAGATCAGAGACTGAGGTAAAGGTTCGAGGATAACCGATGTCTCCGGCGAGTTCTGAAGCACGAGGGCGGTCGATCCGAGACCTAGAATCTAAACTAATCCAATTTTGAGGGTATATAAATTAGATAGTAAGACTGCGGCTAAAAATAGGACTCCGGCTATATTTTATTTTTTAAATTAATTCAAGTGGACCTCGGCTTTGACCTGCTCTAATTTCGAATTCAATCTTATTTAGTGAAGTAGTTAAGGAAGGGTTGAAACTCTTAACAAATATTCAAGAATATTTAATTAGTACGTATATAATTATTCTCAAAAATTGGACGATACCCCTCTCTGACTAATCAACCTTTTCCACTAAAGCTCTATAATATTCTCCATTCTTCACTCTATTAAAGAGAATTTAATTTAAAATTTAAAAATAAATTTTAAACAATTTTATAAGAAAAAATTCAAATTAGAAAGGTCCATTAGCTGGAAACAATCCAGGAAATCCAATATAATGAGTAGCCCCATCAATTGTCCATCTATCGCCTTCTAATCCTTCATGTTCTCCTCCAAGAATGTGTGGGGAAAGAATCTTTTTTTAATTAAAATTTTTCTAATAAATAAAAAATAAAAAAAATACTTCAACTTGTAGCCCTTCCTGTGAATTAATACGTGGAGATAAAAAATTGGGACTGAGAACTACTAAACCTCCGAATTGTGGTGAAGCAAGTCTTGGAGAGGCGAGCACTTTAAAATTTTATTTTTTATTTTTTAAATTATTAAAAAATTTTTAATTTTTAAATTAATCCAAGTTTAATTAAAATTAATTAATTAAAATATATTAGAAACAGAATTTTCCTTCCCTTTAGCCAAGGCGTTATAAGTTTCAATAACGCTAATTCAATCAACTATAAGATGTCCAAATGAGTACCTAGAGCCATGAAATTTTGTTTGATTATCATTAATAGTGTTAAGTTTGTCCATAAAAAATTTCAAAATTTTTAGTTTTGCATTTCAGAAGCTACAATCGAAAAAGACAGAATTTGTGAAGAAAAATGTCTATTATAGTACTTTTCCGACCAGAACGCGTGAAATAATTAACCAAAAATTTTGAAGTTTTCGGCAAGGATATATAACACAATTAAAGATTTAATTGCAAAATTTGAGAATTCTAAGTTCAAAATAGGCTCTTTTACAGACACGTAACTAGGCGTTACACCATTAGAAAAGCACTACTTCTAATCTCTTTAAAAAAAATTTTTCTTTTAATTTTGTATTTGGAAATTTTTAAAAATTTTTAAAAATTAATGAAATTCTGTTTTAACTTATTTTAAACCCTTCCCAAAAAAATTAAAAAAATTATCAATTTTACTTGGAGAAAGTATTTGAACAAACAAAGCTTTAGGGCTAAGCACTCTAGTTTGCATTACCGCTGGAGACAAAATTTCTGCCAGAAAAACATCCGGAGAAAGTAAATAAGCAGATAAAGCTTCAGGCGAAAGAATTTGTGAACGGAAGGCTGAGGGAGAAGTAATTCTTGCTGTTAAAGCTAAGGGGGAAAGTATGGCTGCGATAAAAGCTGATGGAGAGGCGACTTTTAACTTTAAATGGGAGTTTTACAGGTTAGAATAAATTTTATTTAGCTTACAGTTAACACTTCTGGTGATATGATTTCTGAGGCAAATGCATAGGGAGATAAATATATCTAAATTAAATTGAAAAATTACTTTAAATCGAGAGGTGATGAGGGAAGTATCTTTCCTTCATTTTAGAAGCTAACTAAACTGAGATGAATTTGAGGGTGTATAAATTAGAGGTCCGACTGTATATAATAACACTGAGGCTATAACTAGAGAACGGATCGAGATGAGATCTCTAACAAAAATCTTGGTTCGAGATATCGATCTCAATACTCGTATAGCTGGATTTAGCTTACGTCAGTGACTAAAACACCATTGGGTTTTATTTTCAACTAACCTCCAAAGTGGAGCTCTATTTTAGGGTGCGGCTCTAATTTAGCATGGGGCTCTATTTTAGGAAATACGGTATTTGTTGAAGTATGATGATAAAATAAGGTAACTTACGCCTTCAAGTATAACACCTCCAAATCTGTTCTGAAAAGCCCAAGGAGACAAAAGCACATTTCTTGGGACTGTAGCAATATTTACTTCTGTATCGGGAGATCTTCCCCATGGGGTTAAGAATTGATCTCCATTGCTGTCTATACCTCCAATTACTGTAGAGCCTCCAAATGGTGGGGGAGGTGGTCGAACGGGGATGAAAACAGGGGTAGGTTGAGGTAAAGGAAGAGGAGGGGGAAGTGGGGGAAGAGGTTCTGGAAGTGGTAGTGGAAGTGGAGGGGGTAGTGGGGGAGGAAAAGGTTCTGGTAAAGGAAGAGGAGAGGGAAGAGGTAAGGGGGGAGGAAGAGGAGGCAGAGGAACTATTGGATCTGGAAATTCATGAGAACTGCCACCACCATCGATAATGCCCTTTAATTAATTAAATGAAAATTTAAAAAAATTTATTATTACTCTTTTTAAATTATTTGATTCTCTCCTTCTCCTCCTCCTTTTTACACCCAAATAATTTTTATAATCACTCTCTTCTTCCTCCTTATTTTTCAAACTAGCCAATAGTTTTATTTTTTCTTCTAATCTATTGTTAGAATTATTTATCCACTCATTTTCTTTAAATTCTTTACCAAAAAACATTTCCTTGAAAAAATTTAAAATTATTTTTAGTTGAAAATTTGAGAAAATTCTAAGGTAAAAGCAAATGACGCTCTTCTAGGTACCCTAATAAAGCTGGACTGGGCTAACTATCACTCCTTTAGATACGGATAAAGTTTAGGCGGCTGGGGGACTAACCATCACCTTCTTAAGTTTACCAGACTTTCCAGCATTCCGCCCTTCAGCATAGAATTAGGAATTAAATGCTTTACACGTCCAAGGGGAGTGTGTTAATGGCTTCTTTGGTTAAAAATAGCTGATGGTATTCACAAAAAAATTTAAAAATATATTAAAATCACCAATTGCCATCTTTCCAAATTAATAAATCCTTTATCTGACAATTCTCTCCTCTGTTTATAATTAAAACTTTTTTCCAATCTTTCCCATAATTCTTCTTTTTGTTTAACTAATTGAATTACTGGCCAAATTTTTTGATTAAAATATTTAATTTCTGGATTTTTTAATAATTGTTCCAATTGTTTCCCAGCACCGCTAATTTCAAGTATAAAATCAATCCATTCCATAGGTTCTCTAGAATCTTTATTTGGTGACAAAATCTTTAAAAAAATAATTTTTTAAATTATTTTTACAGTCACTAGATAAGGGGAACATAAAGCGAACTAAAGGCACTTGCTCGCTTATAAAATGGTCAGATTAGAAGCTAGAAGCCTGAAATTTAGCCCAGAAATTATTTATACTGTCAGCTAACTACGCTAAAAATTTCAGAATTTCTGGTTTTTTATTTCAGAAGTTATGGCCTAAAAAGTAGTCTAAAAGTAATGAAAAAGGACGTTCTCTTCTGATAATTCTGATATCTTCCTCCATAACTTCTGAAATACTTAATCAAAACTTCTGAAATTTTTAACATGTCTAGAAGACACTCTTGTGGATATACTGGCAAAATTTCAGCTTTCTATGTTCACTTTTCACTATTTTATAAATTCCTGTCTAAACGTCATCTCACCTGGAAAAGCTTAGGTAAAGGAAGAATTCCATCGCCAGAAAAGCTAAATAATTCTGGTGAAAGAAATTCTGGTCTTTTTAATTTTTTAGAAGGAAAAAGAGAAAGAAGACGTGGTGAGAGTAGAGACATTCCTTTATTTGTTAAATTTGTTGAATTTAAAATTGAATAAATTTGGGAAATTATTGGTTCTGTTGCATCTTGAGAAGGCACAAAGTTAATTGATTGGTGAAGGAATGGTTCAAAAAAGCTTTGAAAATTTTTAAAAATATTTTCAGTTTAGTATTTTAATGTTAATCACATTCCCTATGGGAGGGGGATTTAAGGAAGATAGGCGAATTTGTAAGTTCCAATATCACATTAGTAGTGGAAAGATAGCATGAGAGATTCCCTCTTTTTAGGGGATGCATGGACAGATCAGGTTTTTCCCATATCAAAGGAACATACCTATGTATTTATCACCCCCACAGCCCCATAAGAAGCAGGGATGCTTGGACAGATCAAGTTTTCCCAGTATCTCAGAAACACATTCCCCACCCCCACATACCCAAAAAAACAAAATTTCGAACATGGATGGGCCAAGTTGAGGAAAAAGTCGGGCCATGTTTCAGATACCCCAGCCGATCCCTGCCTTCAAAGTCTAAATAATTCTCTAGTAAAAACTGCAAATTCCTCTCATTTATTATATGAACGGAACTCAGAAAGTAAAAAATATTTTAAACTACCTAGCACTCTGTTGGCTAATATTATTCAAATAATTTTTTGCCCATTCCATTCTATTTAAATATTGTTGAAGTAAATAAAGTGCCCTTATATTTTTTGGGAATTTATTTAAATTATTATAATTAATTATTTCTCTTTTTTGACGTCCATTTTTTATTTTTTTATTTTTAAATTTTCTTCTTTTAATATTTCCTTTAATAAAATCAGCTTTTCTTTGGTGATTATTTGATGGTAATATATTTTTAGGTATTTTTAGATGGAATATTTTGGCAAACCAATCCTTTAAAAAATATTTATTTTTAATTTTGGATAAAAAATAAATTAAAAACCCCTTAGTTATTAATGGATGAAAGATAATTTAAGATCCAGGTTTAAGCAGGATTAGGAAAGAGGGCAGAACGGGGTTCTAGTCGGGTTCAAAAATTTTCTTAGGGCAGGGTTTCGTGTTTCGTTTAGAGTTGTTAAAGTCCGTTTTGAGTATCAGTCTTTGGGTAACCCATCCCATGTGTATATTTAGTAAAGTTACCAAAATGGCCCGACTCGGACCGAAAGATCGGGTCGGGCCTAAAATATTTGGCCCGAAAAGACCGTACGGCCCGACTCGATAAAAACAAGCCCGAAAGAAAATGCCTCGACCGTCGGCTCGACTCGGAAACGGCAACCCTAATATTTAGAGCAAAAGATATTACGTCACCCAATTCATGTCCTTAAATTTTATTCCAAAAATGCCTACAAGGGATATATGTAGCTCAGACAAGGAATATATTATTGAATTTAGAAAAACAAATTTTTTTTAATTTACCAAAGTTCCCCAAAATAATCCCTTTTCTTCTTCTCTTTCTTTAATCCTTCCAACATTTCCAAAATAATTCAAATTTTTATTATTTTCATTAATTTTATTAATTAATTTAACCAAACATTTTGAATATTTTGAAGGACTTTTATAACCATTATATTTAATACATTCATTAAATATTATTTTTTCGATTGTTGGGACTTTAATAATTAATTCTTTTGTTTTAGCTTTAAGTAAAGCCATTGTAGCCGCTCTGTAAAATAATCCTTCCAATTTTTCTGGATTTAACCAAAAGTGGGTTTTTAATTTTTCTGATGTTTCTGGTTGTTTTAGAGTACCTTTAAAATAGATTTAATTTTAGAAGACCCTCTCTCCAATAAAGACTCCTGTTTCGAGTCCGTTTTTGTATCAGTTTTCGGGTAACTCATCTCATGTATATTTAGAGCAACCTGCTCATGGGCACGGATATGGATACAGATAATATCAAGATGCCTGCGGATACCCGCCGTAAGTATCCGGATACAAATACCAAAATCATTATCCGTGAGCAGACCTGGTTTCCATTAATACACACTAGGGATAGGTGAATTCCCTTCTCCCAAATTCTCGTCTTTTCTAACCTCTATTAAAAAATTTTTTCGGGTTATTCCTGTCCTATACCAAGGAACCTGAGACATAAAAAATTTTCTGTCCTATACTCCTAAGTGAAAATAAATTTATATACATAATTAGATATCGGGATTAGGGCTTTGTTTTGCGTTTTGCGATTTTTTGAGTCTCTCGTAGAGATCGGTATTTTCAAAAATTCTGGAACTGGATCTACTTAGCAACCTGGACAGGATTCTAGATCTGGATCCAGGAAAAATCCAGAATTTTCTTATCTGGGTCCAGCCTTGATTTCTGTGATCTAGACCGATCTCTAGTCTCTTGCACTCACCCCCGATCGGGATATAAAATATTATACTGCAAATCTATTTTTATTGAAAATTTACCTTTGCAGACTGAAAAAAATTTTATAAGAAAAATAAAAATTAATATCAATTGCATTTAATTTTTTAATTAAAAATAAAACTACCAAATAATTTAATTTAAAAATCAAATAAAAACCATAAAACCCATAGACTTTTCCCTTATTTAGTACAACAAAAATTTAAACAAAAGTGTAACAAAAAAAAGTAAAAATATCCCGAAAATTTATATTCTTTTGTTGTTTTTTTGTACAAAAATTAGAGTGACCTATAAGACACAAAAATTAATTTAAAAAAAAAGAAAAAAGGGTTCAGAAAAAAAAATTTTTTATTAAAAAAATTAGATTAGTATTTTTAAATTTTATTTAAAAATTAAGAGGTTCTTTTTCTCAATTTCCCTTTATTTTTCTAATATTTAATTGGTAATAAACTGGACGATTTCTATTAAATGCTAGAGAAGTTGTTGAATTTGTTTTTGTTAAAATATTTAATGGAATGATGAGTATTCCGTTGTCTTCTTGAATGTTAAAGAATAAAATTTGAATTTAAATTTTAAGGAATTTTAAGGAATATCTGGTAAATAAAGTTAGTTATCCCTATTTATTCTTATCTAACTTAGGTAAACGGTGTGTTGTAGAGCTGCTCAAAACTTGAGACCTAAATTTAATTGACAGGCCCCCCAAGACCAAAATAGATCAAAGACTACCTCAAAGACTACCTAGACCTTTACTACACCCCAATACTTAGCTTTAAGATAAGAGATTAGACAAATTAATTTCAAATTATTTCATTTTAATTTTTAATTTTTCCGATTTCTTTTACCTTTATTATCATTTAACCAAAATAATTGTTCAGGAAAAGTCCCTTCTAAACATTCTATCCATATTGGAATTGGCCATACTTGTTGTTTTTTATTTACTCCTTTCCCCTCCTCCTCCTCCCCCTCTTCCTCTCCATAATAATAAATAATTTTTGGTTTTTGTGAAATTAAAATTAAATTATTTAAATTATCCAAATTAACAAAAACAATAGGTAAAGAAGGTAAATGAAGCCAAGAATGAAGAAAGTTGGCTGCCATAGATCCATTGACAAGATTATTATTTTGAGGTGTAATGTCCTTTAAAATAATTTAAAAAACTTATTAGAAATATTAGCAATCCGTGAAAAAAAATAGAAAATTGTTTTAATTAGAAATCGGACTTGTAAGGTCCACCGAGAATTTTGATCGTTATTTTAAAAAATCTCCGTTTCGATTAGCGGGTTTTATGTTAATTGAAAAGTCTGCAGATTGTGCACAGATTGTATGGACAGATTAAACAGATATGGCATTGATATGGCATTATATACCAAAGGCCCTTCCGTATTTTTACAAACGGAAGACGGAACAAAATAAAAAACTAAAGACGGAAATGGAGGGGTTAAAACATAATCGGAAGATGGAAGACTGAAAAGAGATTCCAGCCTTGTTATATACGGCGAGATTTTAGAGGAAATATTCGTTCGGGAATTTTAATTTAATTGTTACCCTTTTATTTTCCTCATAATTTTTAATATTTTCCTCGTCATCAATTTTTTGTAACAATTCAATAAAATCGCTAGTTTCTGCCGATTTAAATTGAAAATTAAAAACAAAACGGCGTAAAAGTTTTTGCATTCGTTTAGCGCCAATTAAAGAATCTAACATTTCAAATAATGCTGGGCCTTTTCTGTAGACTGTACCTAAATATTTAGAGGGAAATTTTGAATTATTCATCAAATTGACTAGCTAAAATTTGTTCTAACCTCTTGAATCGAAAGGCTAATTTTATCATTTAAATAGGCAAGGGACGTGCATATTTGGATATTGTCCGAATTTAATTTGGATGACCCTCCCCCCTATCCCCTAAAGTTCTTCACGCAAACTTTGAATTGGTTGAACAATTCCTTCTGCTGCCTGTAATGCCCATTTTTTATCTACAATGGGCGTTTCACTTAAATCTGTTGCTGGGTCAAACACTATCGGGCGTTGTGAAGCCATAAATGTACTCAATGATTCTGCCAACCAAATGGAATCCCACCATTTCTAAAAAAATTAATTTAATCACTCTGATCAGACCAAATTATCTAAGTTAATCCCTTTATCCACTTTCCCACAAGTTAGTCCAACCCTAATCTTTCTAAGAAGAGAGAACTAAGCAGTGCTGTGTTTTAGGCGTTTTGTGCTTCGCTCCTGGCATTCCTAAACCTTAGCTCGGACTCCAGCTGGCTCCGATCAGAGGTATTTTCCGGAGCCAATCCAGGAGCCATTCTTTTACCCGAGATACTAAAAGAATCAGTTAATCCTTCAATCTCTCCCTCTTTCGAATCAAAAGAGTCAACCAACCCACCAAAAACTCACCATAGTAACTAAATTTCCAAACCATTGGTGGGCCATTTCATGAAATAAAGTTTTTTCGAATCTTTTAATATTTTGTTCAGTATCGTTATCTAAAGGCCACAACTGAAAGCTGATTAAAAAGGAAGTTACAAAAATTATTTTGGAAATTAACCGCTTCTCGGACATTTAAAAGGCCAAAATTTTCCATTCCGTTTACCTTAAAAATATTCGATATCATTTACTCCAACGCTTATAAAATTAACAAATGAGAAGCTAGAACCACAAAACTTTCTACAGACATACTCAACATGCTTATCTAACTTCTTTAAAAATTTCAGAATTTTCTGATAAAAATATCAGAATTTATGGTCAAAAATCAGAATTTTCATTAAAAATGCCGATTTTTGATGGTTCTTTGGCTATAACTTCTGAAATATGAAACCAAAAATTCTGAAATTTTTAGAGAAATTAGATAACACTATTGGGTATGTCCATGCAAAATTTCACGTTTCTAAGTGCTCTCTGGACAATTTTATAATTAAATTTCTCACCCTCATTGGGATGATTAACAAATTTAAACGTGCACTAGTTCCAATACCAATATAATTAAACATTCCTCTCTTTAAATTTTTTTCTCAAAAATTTTAAAAAATTCTCTAAAAATACCTGAAATTTAGCCATTTCTTTTATAAAATATAAACTTTTATTTTTATTATTTTCTATTTCTTTATTTCCGTTAATTAATTGCCAAATACAAATTAAAGGGTTTTGAGACATTTCTTTGGGGAAATCTTCAAGGCTACAAACAATTTGAAAACGGCCAATAGCCAACGAAAATAAATAACTGGAATATTATTAAATAAAAATATTAGCAATTTAGTCCTTTATAACAAACAAAAAATCGTCCATTATATAGAGGTAGTCTAGGGGTTCACTAAATAGAGGTTTTAAAATTCGATCGTTAAAAGAATAGGCAACTTTAGAGTGGATTTCTGAGTAAAGATAGTAGAATCTCTCACACATCCTAGACTTTAGCTAAAACGAGGTTAATAAATAGGACATTGGAATACAAGGGAGAGGGGCTAGATCTTTTAAATTTTCTAGAAACATTCTGAAATATTTAAGAGTTATAAAGCCACGAGCCTTAATGTATTTCATCTCCAATTATTTTAATATCTCCAACTCATTAAATATTTGAAGGTAGGGTTGTCGGTTATGTAACGAACCGAACCGAAAAACCTATGATTTTCCAGGAACCGACAACCCTAGGTGAGAGCATTTTTAAATTAAAAAATTCAAACGTTGGAATAGGAGGAATTGGCTCAAAATTGCAAATACTCAAATTCCCATTTAATTGTCTACAAAAACTGTCAGTAGCAGAAAGTACTTTATAACTTGAAAATAAAAATAAAAAATTATTTATTTGATCGACTTGCCCATTCAAACCCCTCAGAAGCAAATTTGTTTAATAACCAAATTTCTAATTTAATTGCTGTTCGAAAACGAGGCTCATCCCAACAGGGGAAGAGGCGACGGGCAAATGAAGGTTCGAATAAAGAATTGATCCAAATACCTCTTTCCTGTAAATTTTTTTAGAAATTTGTGTTTTGTCGGACCTCTATAGTGTGTACACCATCGTAACAAGAAAATTGTCCACTAAATAGAGGTTTTACATTAAATAGAGGTTTTTCCTTTATATAGAGGTTATCCTATATAGGGGACCTTCACCTGACAGAAGATTGTTTGTTAAGGGTGTAATTAATAGAGGGTGTTCATAAAATAGAGGACTTTACAATTATAAATTTATTTCAAAAGATCTGATAGAAATTACCAGTAAAAGTAGAAAAATAAGGGTAAATTCAGTTAAATTTAGGCTTACATTTTTATGCATACCTTTTTTTCTAGAAGATCAAAAATTCTAATTTTTTGTGAATTTATAGAGAATTTAATTCTCTATTTAATGGTACCAAAATTATTTTAAATATTTTATTAGAATTTGAGTTACACTTTTAAAAAGCACCCAAGGTATGAAAAGGGACAATTGAAGCCTCTTTTACCCTTTAATTTTTATTTTTACCTACCTTGTCATAATTTCGATTTAAACCCCTTCCATCATTTGAAAACTTGGAACTAAACCAAATACTTAAATAATAAATATTCCCAATTTCCAAATTTTCGTTTAATCCCAAATTTAATTGTTGACGTTTCCAGTCAGTATTAATAGAGGTTAATTTAAATAAATTTTTAATTGGAAAGGCAGATTCGAGTAGAACGTGGCCAAGTTGTACAAAATCTGGAGCTATATTTAATTTAATTAGGGAAGTGTTTTGTAGACATTTTAATTCTGTTTTGACCTGAGAAAAAAATTTTTTTGAAATTTATTTTTACATTTTTTGTCTTCTATACGGGGGAAGGTAATCCTTGGGCAATCACTTATAAAATAATCAGGAGTGAACCTATCTAAATAAAATTTTGCACAGAGACGTCTTATAGTCTTAACTTACTGTTCTAATAATTTCAGAATTTTTTAGTGAAATAATTTTTAAGATGTGGCCGAGAACTGGCTAAAAATCAAAGATTTCCCATTAAAATTATGCATTTTTGACCATAACTTCTGAAATACAAAATCAAAAATTCTGAAATTTTTAGACTAGTTAGTTGACACTTTTTTAGGATATTCAAGAAAAATTTCAAATTTATAGTAGATATTGTTAATTTTATATGTATGTAATTCCCCCAATTAACCATTCTCTTCAAGAAAATTTCGTTAATATTATGAAGTTCCCTAATTAAAGCATGTCTTCCTTTCCAAACCTGTCCTTGTATTGTATTTAATTCTGAATCAAAAATAATTTTAATTTCATATTTCAAAGGTTGTAGAGAATCTGGCAACCTTAATTCTTCTTCTGTTAAGTGTGTGGATAACAAATTTTTTGGTTCAGACGGGGAAGGGTTTAAAAGCTTGGACTCATTAAAATTCGATTCTTTTTCGGTTGCCAACGTTGTTAAATTATTATTTAATTTATTTTTTGAATTATTTTCATTAATTGAGGCATTATTTGAGTCAATAGAATATGTGGACATTTCATCCAAACCGTCCGATTCCAATTCTAATATTCAGAAAATTTCAAATAACCTAGAAATCATTAATTTACCCATTAAAATATTCCAAATCTCGTCTTTTTCTTCATCCAAAATTTCTGGATCCTTTCCCTTTTTACTCCAATCACTCCCTCCATTAACTCCATCATCTCCTTTAAACCGTTCAAGTTCAATAGAATGAATTTCATAATAATTTAAAATTAAAAATGAAAATAAAAATAAAACAGAAAACTTCATATTAAGTAGAAAATAAATTTTTATTTTTTAAATTATTTTTGTGAAGAAGCTTGGATGGACTTGGAGGAAGTAGACATGTGTGTGTGTTAAATAAAATGGGGGGAATTGGAGGGCTAACAAACTCCTTTCTATTAAACAATAAAAAGCAGAAACAAAATTTATTAGATAAAGAATTGTTGTACTTTTATTACCTCACTATAAAAATAAATAAAAGGAGACCACACATTTCTTTTAAAGTTTGATTTGAAAATTAAATTATATTTTAGTGTAATATTGTTGTTGTTTAAGCAAAACAAAAGTATAAGTTTATATTTTAAAGTTTATTTATAAAAACTGTGTTTAGCAACATTTATTAAAACTTATAATTATGAAATAAAAAGTTGGAGAAAAAGTTGGTGAAGAATAATGTAAAACTTGTTTTACAATTTTACAAAATTTCAAAGTTTCTATAATTTTAAAATTAACTTTTTCCGCCTATTTAATTAAATAAGAATTATTTTTTGGCGTTCTGTATTTATTTTTATTAAAATTAATTTTATTAATTTTTTATTGTTTTTTATTAATTTTCTTATTTTTTCCTTTGTTTTCTTTTATTTTTTAATTTTAGAAAATGTCTACAGAAATAGAAAAGGATTTAGAACGTTGGGAGGATGTCCGTCGATTTACTGAGATTGGCTCTTCTAAATTTGCCCATCCAGCTTTTGTTCCAGGCCCGGAGGTTTTTCTATATTCCTTTTAATTTTCATTTCTTTTATTTTATAGAATCTTGAAAGAGTAAGGAAATGTCCAGTTTTGGTTGTTGGCGCTGGTGGGCTTGGATGTGAAATTTTGAAAAATTTGGTTGATTTTTTTGAAAATTATTTAAAAATTAATTTTTTAAATTTCTAGGCCTTATCAGGATTTCGAAATATTGAAGTTATTGATATGGACACAATTGACCTTTCAAATCTCAACAGACAATTTTTGTTTCGGTATTTTATTTATTAAAAATAATCAAAAATAACCGCTGTTTTCTTTCTCGAAGAAAAATCTGTCCAATTTTTTGGTTTAGTTGGTAAAATTTGTGTTAGATCTTTTTGGTTGCAGGTTCGAATCCTTTCTCGAGAAAACATTTTTTATTTCAAAGAAAAATAATTTTTTAAAGAAATATATTTAAATTTATCCTCTTTTATGATTAAAAAATTTTTTTCAAAATTTAGAGAACACGATGTTGGTTTATACAAAGCAGAAGTAGCTGCCGCATTTGTTCGTAGACGTGTTAAAGGATGCCGGCTTACTGCGTAAATATTTTTAAAAATTTCAAAATTAATTTTTAAAAATAATTTAGACATAATTGCAAAATACAAGATAAAGGACTTGACTTTTATGGACAATTTTCAGTTATAATTTGTGGACTAGATTCTATTGATGCTCGAAGATGGTTAAATGCTACAGTGGTTTTGTTTATTTTTTAAATGTTTTTTAAAAAGTTTTTTTTTGTTTTTAAGTGTTCTCTAGTCGAGTTTGACGAAGAAAACAAGCCACGGCCAGGCACAATTATTCCACTCATTGACGGCGGGACTGAAGGTTTTAGTGGGAGTGCTCGTGTAATTCTGCCTTATCACACGCCTTGTATTCAATGTACAATAAATCTTTACACACCACAGGTTTGATTTATTAATTTTTCTCTTAAAATTCATGAGCTTTATTTTGATCCCTTTTAAGCATCCCCAAATCCTTTCCAAAATCTATCTAAACCCTCTTATCTGCCCTTTCTAACCGTTCTTTTTCCCTTTCCTAGTCAGTTTCATATAAGTCCAGTTAACCCTATTTTGTGATCAAACTAACAAACAACGTTCTCTTAACTCTAAATTTCGGCTCTCCTGCTGTTTAAGAGGGCTGCCGTTCTCTGACCATTATGAGTCTAATTTTTGTACCAAATTTTGAACCACCTTATACTACATGTGAAAAATAAATGTTAGTAAGGAGCGAAGAAGGATTAATTTTGATTGATAAAAAAGAGAAAAAATACATTGGTTTTATAGAACGGCGGCCCCCTTAAACAGCAAGAGTGCCCAAATTTCATGTATTTTTTAATAAAAAAATCATTTTAATTTCTAAATAAATTTATAGGTTAATTATCCTCTATGCACAATTGCCCATACTCCCAGATTGCCTGAGCATTGTGTCGAATATGTTAAAGTTGTTTTATGGGATAAATGTAAACCTTTTGGTGAAGGTATTTTTATCTTTTTTTTATTTTTCAGAAAATTTTAAAAAAACATTTTTAGGCGTTTCATTGGATGCAGACAATCCCCAACACGTTGAATGGACTTTTAGAAAAGCACAACAACGTGCTAATGAATATGAAATTTTGGGTGTTGATTTGCGTCTAACACAGGGAGTGTTGAAAAGAATTATTCCTGCTGTAGCCTCTACTAATGCTGTTATTGCTGGTTTATTTTTTAATTTTTTTAAATTATAGGAACTTATGCAGTTTGGGTACACACCCCATTTATTCGCGAGACAGCCCTCATTTATCAGGCAAATTGACTTATCAACCCGATTATTTGCGAGCTAGCAAGAAGCTCTAATACAGCGTAAGCTCTCGACTCTTGCGAGACGTGTGCTAGTTAACATCGCACGATGCGAGGAATTATGCCCAAGCGTTTTTCCGACCTCAATATGGTTACTTTGACCATTTTTAGCTTGCGAATAAATGGGGTGTGTACCCAAACTGCATAAGTTCCAAATTATAATTTAAAATTGATTTAGGTTGTTGTGCACTCGAGGCGTTCAAAATGGCTTCAAAGTAAGTAAATTAAGGGATCACTTTGAACCTTGGCTTGAAGTTAGAATTTTCTTTTTTTGGATAAAATGTTTTTAAAAAATTAAACTGCTTTTGGAGTCCGTTTTTGTGCCCGTCTTTTTTTTTATATTTTTTTGAAAAAATCCAATTACATCCTTTTTTTGGGTACTTTATTAATATCCCGCCCCCCACCCCTATTTGAGTCTCAGATTAATTTTCCTTCTTTGCTGTCAATCATTTATTTTTCCTCCTTTTTTAATGCCAATCATTTTCTTCCCTCAAATATTATAAGTAAAAGGCAAGTTAAAATTTACGGGCTACAGTCCAAAAGAGCGCGCGGCCATAACGGCGCAAAGCCATAACTTGCTGGAATATTTTTGGCCATTGTCCTTTCTGGTATAAATTTCTTTAGCTCGATGAGAGGAATCGTTTAATATTTATTTTGGTAAGGTTGGAAAATCTTGAATCAAGTTATGGCTTTGCGCCGCTAGAGCCGCGCGCCCTTTTGGGTGTCCTATATTTGAGGGAAGAAAATGATTGGCAATAAAAAAGGAGGAAAAATAAATGATTGACAGCAAAGAAGGAAAATTAATCTGAGACTCAAATAGGGGTGGGGGCGGGATATGAACAAAGTACCCTTTTTTGATAGCTAAAAATTTTAATTTTTAAGCGCTTCAATTCCAATGCAGAATTACTTGAATTTTGCAAATGTTGAGGGAATATGTTTTAATGTAGTACCTTTGGAAAGAGATCCAGATTGTTTTGTTTGTGGAACAAGTCAAACATTAACATACCATATAGGCGCAGAACAGACTCTTGGAGAATTTATTGAACAGTTGAGGAATAAATTGTAAGGTTTTTTTTTGTTTATTTTGGGAATTGGTTGGGCATCTAAATATAATTTTACCTGGAACCATAGAAATTCATATTATAAAAGAGGATTTTGGCACCTCCATTTTTAGTTCAAAAAAGGCGTTTACACTTCCCTTTTAAAACGAGGAAGTAAAAAACTTGGAGAACTTTGATTGGGGGAGGGCAGTGTTTATTTAAAAAACAGGGACTTTTACCCTCATTTTCCTTTTAACTTTATTTTTCGAGGTAGGGCTAAAAATGGTCAATTTGGAAACCTGTGGATACAAAATTATTCCAATAAAATTATTTTTTCTCTTTTTTTAGTCATTTACGAAATCCATCAGTTAAAACAAGCGATTCTTTCCTTTATGAAATTAATTCACTTATTCCACAAATGGAAGCTACAAGTAAATCAAATTTAGAAAAAACATTGAAAGAATTAAATGTAATAGAAGACTCTGAATTATTAATAGCTGATGGGTCTTTACTTAAACCAATTGTTTTTCGAATTAAATATCAACAACAACAATTGGGTGGATAAATAAAAGGGAAACAAATTTTTTTAATTAAAGGCTGGACAAGACGGTAATATTGAAGGGTACGGTTCCTCTTTTTTCCTTCCCAATTTTCCCCCTATATTTTTACAAAATGGTCAACTTTTTTTTCTTCCATCCAATTTGCCTTTCTAATTTTTGCCTGTTTAAACAAAGGATTATTTAATTTTATACAAGTGCAAGTACATGCAAAAAACAACTAAATTGGATGGAAAAAAGGAAAAAGTCGACCATTTTGTAAAAATATAGGAAGGAAATTGGGAGGGAAAAAGGGGTCTGTACGCTTCAATATTACCGTCAAGACTTTAAAATGTTCTTTAAATTATTTCAAATTTTGAAAATTAAATAAAATATTTTCAAAAAAAAATTTTTTTAATTTTTAACGGTTAAAATTACGTAAAATTATCTACTAATTTTTATTAACCCTTTACTATAGATTTTCTCTTTACTATTTTATTATACGCTTTAAAGACTGGCATCTTCCTTGTAGAGTGAACAAACATTTACATTCTCTCTCTCTCATTTTATTAATTTTCTCTCTAATTTAGCTCTCTATTTTGTAAACTCTCCCAAACACACACATTCCTTTTTTTCTTCCCTTATTATAAATTTTATTGAGAAAGAGTAAACGTCTCTATATAAGAATTTTTGTTTTAAAAGTTATTTCTCTCTTTAAATATTTTTTTCTAAATCAATAAAAACGCTCAATTTAAGAGACGTTCAAATTTTAAATTTTTTTAAATTTTAGATTTAATTAAAGAAAAATGAATATTTGTAAGCGCAAAGCTATAAGTTTAGAAACAAAAAAGAATATTATTGAAGAATCCGAGGGAGGAGTAAAAAATTCAGAATTGTGTCAAAAATTCAATATAGACAAAAGATCAATTTCAAAAATTTTAAAAAATAAAGAAGTTATTTTAAACGCAATTGGGAAGGGTGGAAGTATAAAGAGGGTAAGAATTACTGGAGGGAAGAATAAAGAATTGGATGAGGCGTTGATTGGTTGGGTAAGACTACAACAGGCTGATAATATTCCGATTAATGGACCGATACTTAAGGTTTTTTTTATTACTTTTTGGATTTGCTAGGGAATCGGGTTCTTCGCCGATTTGAGAGAAGAACCTGATTAGAGGATTCCTTCGACAGTTTGGAGGTTATCTTTTGTGGACCCCTGGCCAGGTAAAAAAAGATTAAATTCAAGTTTTGAGGGGAAGTTAGAAAGGGGGACCATTAAGTTAAAATTTATCCCATTTCTTTGCAATTACCCTGACAAATGAATATAATTCATTAAATATTTTCTCGTTAATATGCCGACTAAATAAAAAAATCTGATTAAATTTAGGAGAAAGCCTTGGAAATGTCAAAAATTTTGATGGGTGAGTCTTCAACTTTTGCTGCCAGTGACGGATGGCTTTCACGTTTTAAAGAACGCCACGCTATTACATTTAATAAAATAATAAAAGTGGAGGAAGGGGAAGCTGTGGATATGCAACAATTTGAAGATTCTGGACTTGAAGGAATTTTTCAGGTTATTTTTTCATTGGGATTTTTACCTTTTAACTTGATTTTTCATTCGGGGCATGAACACTAGATAAAAAAATCAGAAGATGGGGAACATTTATGAGGGCTTGACTTTCCACAAAATTGTGAAGGGATTTCCATTCAACTTCCCTTCCCTTTTTAACTTCATTTTTCGAGATAAAGCTTAAGATGGTTGATATACGCTTGACTTAAGCCTAAAATCATGTCCCTTAATTTCCTTTTTAATTATTTTTTTAAATTAGAATAACTTTTAGAACAACACTTTAAATCTAACTCCAAAACGTCAAAAAATTTCTATAGAATTAAAAAAGCAAATAATTGATTACTACTTGGCAAATCCAAAAACTTCTTTAAAACAAATAGCAGAAGAATTTAGTAATTTTAATATTTTACTTAAAAAATCAAGTATTCACTCAATTCTTAAAAACAAACAAAATATCATTGCTGCAATAAATAATGGAATAAAAATTAAACGTTCACATTTAACAAAAGGAAGGCATGCAAATTTTGATGATGCTCTTTTAAATTGGATTAGACAAGTTAGGGCTGAAAATGTTGTTATTACGGGAACTTTATTGAAGGTTTTTTTTTTGAGATTTTTTGAAATTTTTCTTTAAGGAAAAAGCAATGGAAATGGCTAATTTAATGGGAATTGACAATTTTAAGGCAAGCAATGGATGGATGGAAAAATTTAAAGAAAGGCATTCAATAAGGTTTATATTTAATTTAGTTTAATCTGATGGGCTGAAATTTCTTAGTTAGTCCTCTTTTGCCAAGGCTAGCCACAATTCTGGTTATGAATTCTAAAAATAATAGCTTTCCTAATTTTTTTCTGATTGTGGACGGAATTTCCCCTAACTGCACCTTTATTTTAAAATTTATTTTAAATCCTAGATACTTGTAGTTTCGAACACTTAAGCTCGATTAATATTTTTCTTAGACTTACAACAATTTTTTAAATTAAAAAAAATAAAAATTTTTCAGATTCAGAACAGAAAAAAGCGAACCAGAAGAGCCTATTATTGACATTATACAAAATGTAACAAATTGGGAAGTTTTTCAAAATGCTCTAAATTTGGATATTTGTGAAAGCCCTGTAGAAGAAATTGAAGATTTTGAAATTGTTATGCCAATATCGACAGATTTAGCTCGTCAATCATACCTTTGTTTACGTAAATATTGGCAAGAAAATGGTTTAGATGAAAGTCTTTATTCATCTTTTGACAAAATTGAAGACATTTTGTTTAAAGAAGAATTGGATGATAATAATTTAATTGAAGAATAACAAAATTCTTTTTTAGACGTGTATATTTTGTATATTTAAATTTTTTAATTTTTAATATATAAATCTTAATTAGATAGATATAATGTTTATTAAAAGCCTAAAATATTGTTTTGGCTATTTTTTATATTTTTTTAAAAAGTGAATATAGATAGCTAGAGAGGTCGTTCCAGTAAAGGGGGCACGCCCAAAACGGCGCGGGCCATAAAGGCGATAAGCCATAACGTTCTTCACGATTTCCTAATCTTACCAAATTTAGTATTTAACGATTCCTCTCGTCGAGCTAAAGATATTGGTACCAAAAATGATAAGGGCCAGGAATTTGCTGGCAAGTTATGCCTTTGCGCCTTTTAGGCCCCCCAGTAAATACTCTGAATCGGTTACTCTGAAACGTCCTTGAATTGAGAGGTCAGTTGAGGGCAGTCTCTAAATTGTTCAGTTGAGTATTAGTAAAAGAAGTCGATTAAGTATTGTTGATTCAGAATAGTCGATTCAGTTTCCTTCATCTTTAATTTGCTTATAAGTTTTTAATATTAAATGCTAGTTTAGATGTGTTCGTGGACGTTTTTTCGGCTTAGCATTATTTTTATTTTATGGTTTGCGTCCATAATCTCTCTATATACAATTAGCATACTCATCAAATCAAATGATGAGGTTATAAATGTTAGGATGTGCTCTGTTTCTTACCCAAATTCTTTGCATCCTTTTGTATAAAAAGCGATCAATATTTTTTTTTAATTTAGGGGTGCATCCTTAACTAATTTCTGATTTCCATCTTATAAGGTATTTTAAATTTCAGCAACTTTTCATTAACGCTACTTTGTGTGTAGCAAAAATGGCTGATGATGTTTGTTTTATTTTTTAAATATTTTAAACTTTTGTGTTTTAGACTATGTTTCAAAGTCTTTTGAATTCCGTTGCCCAGCTCAATAAGGCTTATGTGAGCGAATATATATCTGGTACTCAATTAAACTATTTGGCGGTCGTGATTGCATTATTTGGACTTTGCGTGTTATTTCTTTACTATATTTTTACTTCTGAAAATGAGAAGACAAAGAATGAGACAAAGAATGAAACAAAGAATGTTGTGACATCGGAAGGCCAAAAGATTAAAGATGAGATGCTTTCAGAAATTCGAAATCTTTTCCAGAATTATTCTCGCACAAATGGACAACAAGAACAGGTTAACTTAATCTATTAGAGTTGTTGTAAACCTTAGCTGAATTATCCTTAATAAGGGCAAGGCATCAAATTTTTATTAAACTGGGCAGATAAATAGTGTTGAGAAAGGGGAAGTGTAGGGAAATATTTCGTCTTCATAGTTAAATGCTTTTTTCGTTTTTATGGGGAGTTGTCTACAATTCTTTACTAGACTGACCATTTTTAACACTTTGAGACAGAAAAAAGAGAGGGGGGTACGAAATTCAAAATTATCTAGTAAAGTATAATAACGTTCTTGTTGTTAAATGCCGCTTTAATAATTAAATTTTAATTTAGTCATTGGTTAGTAAGCAGTCTCCATTGGATATTACACCATTAATAACTGCCTTTGACCAAAAGATTGCAAATAAGTATTTCAGCTTTGATTATGACAACTTTAATTATTCTGCTAAAAATTTGAATGGGCTCAGCATAATTCCTGCCGATACATCCAATTTTCCATATTTTGAATGTGGTGTTTTCCCTGACAAACATTTTCAACTTGAGAAAATATTATTTCATTGGGGATCACGTCAAAATAATGGAAGCCACGTAAATCTAATTTTTTAATCATTAGTATTTTGTTTGAGAAATTCTTATAAAATTTTTTTAATATAAATTTATTTTACAAATTAGCATTTTATCGACAACGAAGGATTTGCTGGTGAAATTCAATTCATTCATCGCAACACAACTTTTTCTTCAATGATGCAGGCACTGAAGTATCCAGGCGATCCAGGCGCATTGTTCATTTCAGTTTTATTGCAGGTTTGTTTAAAAAAATTATTTTTAAGTTTAAAAATAGAAATTTTTATTTCAAGTTTTGCTTTACTTTTTTTTAAAGAATTCATATTTTTAGCAAGGAACAGAAGACAATCCAGCACTTGAACCATTGATGGACGTACTCACTCAAGTAGAATATCCTGGCACTGAATCTTCGCGTTTAAAGAATTTCAAACCTTCTCAACTTATTCCGGCTGACAGGAACGAATTTTGGTTATATGATGGGTCTGAAACTACTGAGCCGTTCCGTGAAACGGTTTAATTAGAATAAATAATTTTATTAATTTTTAATATTTTTGTTTTAAAGGTCAAATGGATTTTATTGCATGCTAAATTATCTATATCTCTCAGCCAATTACAAAAGCTTCGGGAATTACGTAAAACTCGCAAAGATCATGAACTGCAGCGTTTACTTCTTTCTAATCGAGACATTCAGCCTGTAAATGGAAGGATTGTCAAGTCGTCTTTTTTGTGGAAGGGGTTGTAAGGTTAATTTTTGAAGAAGGAAGCTTTGACTTTTAAAAAATGATAAAGTGACGAGCTCGTTTTATTTATAAATCTCATCATAGACCCTCTCTTTAGTTTGTTGAGTTTAAATATTTTATTTAAAGACCTATACGTTTTTGACTTATTAAAAAAATTTTTGTTAAAAACACAACAAGAGCGTCCTATTTTGGTTTAATTGGAAAGTTTTCTTTTAAGTGAGGTGAGGGTGGTTCTACTTCCATTGGTGGACTTTTTTTTATTTTGTCCTTAAAAATTCCAAAAAATTATCTAAACAATTTTTTTAAGAGTTTTTTTTCTGGTTTACTAAATTTGTCGTGCTCTGTTGTGTTTTTTTTTAATTATTTGCAAGTATTTATTCGTTAAAAATAAATTTTAGATTTTTTTCAATTTGTTTATTGAAGGGTTTGAGATTAAATTCTTTGTATAGTATTTTTCTTTTTACTATTTTTTACAATTTTTTAGGACAATGAATAAGAAAAAAGATTTAGGATTTGAGTTGTTAAGTTGATATTTTGGACTAAGTTTATTTTATCCTTTGGCCAGACTTATTTTTAGGTAGTGGCAGCAAAGATTGAACGATTCATTTAGATCATTGATTTTTTTGCTAGAAGAGATTTTGACTAAAATTTTCTCTTTTTTCCTCTTCAGTTTTTCCCTTTAATTAAATTAAATTATTTCTATAAATTTTTATTTCTTTGAAAATTTTATTTTTCTAATTAGAGAATGGCATTCTTGTTTCCTTCAATATTTAACAAATTTTTCTTAATTTTATTTTTTATAATTCCAATACAAGGTAGTCCTGAAGATCCTTCGCTGACTTTTGAGCACTTCTATCAATCTGGCAAAAATGAATATACAAATGGAAATTGGGCCGATTGTGTGGCTTATATGCTTAAAGCTATTGAAGATTTTCTTTTCTACCGACAAGAGGTTTTTTAAAAAATTAAAAGGTTTTTACAATAGTTAATTAATTTATAGGTCCTCTGGTGTAGAAGGCAAGTTTGTTTGTTTTTTGAAAATAAAAAGTTGGCCTCCAGTAATTCATTTTTATTAATTTTTAAGATTTTTTTGGATCCCACTAAAAAATTTTTACGAAAAATTATTTTTCTTTTAGAATGTGCTACAGCCGATATGGAGCTGATTTGACAAATTTTAAAGAATTAGTTGGAGAATTTGACCCAACACTTTTATTTATGCAATATGAAAGCAATCAGGCTCTCTGTTTACTCAAGCAAGTTTGCCTTTATTTTTAAATTTATTTTATAGAAAATTTTAAAGGTGTCGTCTTGATAAATTTACAAATCAACGGCCATCTTTAAACAATCCAAAAAAATTATTTGAAGAATTTAAGAAGCGTGGACCTTTTCATTATTTACAATTTTGTTATTGGAAGGTTTGAAAATATCTGTAATTTTTTCCTCAAAAATATTTTAGTTAGGAGATTTAAAACAAGCTGTCAAGTCAGCCTTTACTTTTTTAGTGGCCAATCCTGGTGATGAAGATACTTTGAATAATTTACATTTTTATATGGAACAGCCTGGATTTGAGCGGGAAATGCTCATTGATGAGTGGCAATATCGTCATGAGGTATAGCTTTACTAAAATCATACATATAGCTTTACTAAATCTCTTCTACCTGATCCCTTCAAAACACCCGAGATAACTGGGGAGGTTGGGATTAGATTTTTTGTAGTGTATTAGACATGAGATATATGGGAGAGGGTGGAAAATAATGTTTATGATATTTTGGAGATTACTTGGGAAGGATAAGATTTACCTGGAAAAGGGAGCTTGTGAGGGAAATAAAAGTTATACCATCGTGTAGAGCATCGTCGAAAACCTTTATGGTTTCCGGCTTTTTCGGCTCCGACCCCCATTTCGAAAAGTTATAGGTCTTCAAAGTTTTCGACTTTTGGAGCGGTTGAGTCGCCCTCACTTTTCTTATTATTTGTCTTACCAAAGAGAAAAATGAGACTCCTTTTCTCCATTTTTCCTTTCTTCTTCTTTTCCCATGTCGGTTAAAGAAAGAGAAAAAGAGGAGAGGAAAGAAAAGGAAAAGAGGCATGTCTGCCATTTCCTCTTTCCTTTTTAATTGACATTAGCTGCAAGGCAGAGGTGCCTCTTTAGTTTTTCTTTTCTCTCCTCCTTTTCTCTTTCTTTAACTAATATTGAAAAAGAAAAGGAAAGGAAAAAAGGAGGATGGGAGTCTTATTTTTCTCCTAATAAAAGAAAACTCTCTCTTTATGAGGGCGACTCAACCGCTCCAAAAGTCGAAAACTTTGAAGACCTATAACTTTTCGAAATGGGGGTCGGAGCCGAAAAAGCCGGAAACCATAAAGGTTTTCGACGATGCTCTACACGATGGTATAACTTTTATTTCGAACTTTTTACTCACAGTTCGAAATGTTCCCTTGTAAGACAGAAATAAAAATAAATTTTGCAGAAACTTTATATGAAGGCCGTAAATGCTTATAGCAATCAAGAATGGCTAAATTGTGTTAATTTATTCCAAGAATCTTTACAACAATTTTGGGAAGCTTTGGAAGATTGTAGATCAGAATGTGAATATTTAAACAACATCAAGGAAATTAATGGTGGAGATGAGCAGAATGAGTGGAGTGTTTTTATTACTAGTAAGCCTAATTATTATTTTTACTATTATTTGTAAAACATGTTTTGCAACATTCTTTTTGCAAAACCTACGAACAAAATTATTTTTAAAAATAAAACTTGTTTTGCAACTTGTTTGTAAAACTTGTTTTTTACAACTTGTTTAGAATAAAGTTTGTTTTTTCCAAGTTTTACAATAAACAAGTTTTATTAAAACAAGTTTTATCAAACAAACATTTTCTTATTTAGAAACTTATCTCTCTGTTTTGCAATGCAAACAAAGCTGTGTTTCTCAACTAAGTTTTCTCAATGGTCGTTTTACAAAACATTTGTTGCTTTCACATTATGAACATTTACATCTTTGCCAATTTAATTGTAAAAACAAATTTTAAATAAAAAAAGTTTTTTAAATTTAAAGTAAAAAATGGAAGGGAAGCTTGTCAATCTGTGGAAAATGCTTTATTACTTCAACCTAAAAATATTGTTATGAGAAGAAATAAATTATTTTATTTAAATTATTTTAATGGAAATGTTGGAAATGATGTTTCTTTGTTTCAACCTAGCAAGGTTGGAAAAAATTTTTTAAAAAATTTTTGTTGAAATTTGTCAAAAAACTTTTAAAAAAATTTTTTTTTAATTTTTTAAATTTTTTTAAAGGAAATTAAAAATTTTGTAAGACGAGAGGAAATGGAACGTCAATTTTTACAATTTTTAGAAAAGGAAATGAATGAAGAATATGTTGGTTTGAATTTTAAAAAACTATTTGTTAAATTTAGAAAATTTAAAAGAAATATTTTTAACTAACAAGGGAACATGTCGTATTACGACCAAAAATTTTGCGTTGAAGCACACACCATTGCGTAGAGTATGGGGGTTCAACCGCTCCAAAAATACCCAACCTTTGAAGCCCTAAATTTTTTTAATTTTGGAGTAAAAGCCAAAAATTGACAATAAGTTATCGACCATCTCTAACATGTTGTGTGAGTGTGTGTCTCAACGCACAATTTTTGATCATAGTTCGATATGTTGATTAGGAAATTTTTTTCCTTTAATTTGAAAAAAAAATTTATTTTTCCCCAACAGTTACTTTCTTCTTCACCTATTGGAAAAATACAATTTCCACTCAATTCTGATGATAATTTAATTGATCAATTTAATTATTCCAAAATATTAGAAAATCAACTTATTTCACAATCAGAATGTTTATTTTTACGTTCTGCAGCAGATTTCTTCCCTCATCATTTCCCTCATTTTCAACGACTTTTAATTGATGAATTTTTGCTTAGAATTACTAAACTTTATGAAATTGAAGAAAAACCAATTTTTGAGGGAATTTATTGTGTTCCTAAAGGTTTTTTTAAATAAAAAAAATTTTTTTTGAAATTTTAAAAATATTTTTTAGGCTTATTTGGAAAAAGCAATTGTGAACGTCCAACAATTTCTCTATCAATAAATAATTTTAATTGTGGTCAAATGGGAGGAGGAGAATTTACTGGATGTGTAATTGTATTTTGTGAAGTGTAACAAAAAATATTTGGTAAAAAAAAAGTTTTTTAACATTTAAGCTTTTTAAATTATTTCATTCTTTATGATTAACTCCCACATATTATTAACAAGTTTTTTGTAACATTTAAAAGACTGACTTTAATTTTTAAAAGAAATGTTTTAATTACAAAATTTATTTATTTTTGCAAAACTCACAGTCTTTTGAAACTTTTTTAAAAATTTTTTAATTATTAAAATTTATTTCTGTAATTTTTTGAAGCATTGTGTTTTCACAATTTCAATTTTTGGGAACCTGTATCAAGGTCCATAGCCATTTCGCATTCTTGGGAGTGGTACTATTCGATTCAGCTCGCTGAGACGGAGCGAATGGTATGCATCAGGGATCGCATTTACATAAAAACAAAATTGAGACAAAATTCCCGATATACATATCGAAAAGCTTTCGATTAAATTGATTAAATTACCACCGATTAAATTACGGCTAAATTAAGTTTTAGTCATAAATTTACTAGAAAAATTTGGTTATACTTTATTTTTAATTACCTACTTTTTTATTTTTTTTCTGTTTACTTAATTGTTTAATTAATTTGTTTAAAAAATAAATTATCAGATAAAAATTATTTTCGTTCTAAAAATTAATTTTTTTAACAAAATTAATGTATTAAAAATAAATTTACAAAAATATATCCATCCAATAACCCCTCTATTTTCTCTCTTTTTATCTGATTTAATTTTTATTTTAATAATTATTAAATTTTTAATATTTAGTAAAATAAAAAATATTTCCGGCAAAAATAAATATATTTCAACAAGTTAACAGATTTTTTTTGCTTTAATTTCCCTTTTTTTTTTATTTTTTTCTACATTTTTCTGAAAAGTGAATGGCCTTTAAATATATCAAAAAATGAATCATTCATTTAATTTTTTAAATTTTTTAATTTTATATATAAATTTATTTTTAATATATAAAATCATCATTTAAAAAATTTTCTTCTCATTTTGTTTTTAATTTAAAAAAATTATTTTTCTTTTTTCAATTAAATTATCCAACTCCCTTTCCCTTTTCAATGTTTTCCAAAAAAATGTTATTTTATGTTTTTATTTTGGTTTATGCTTCAAGTTTTGGGTTGAGTAATGGAGAAAGTGAAGAAATTATAGCTAAAAATGGTTGAGAATAAATTTTTTATTTTTTCAAGTTTTTAAGTTTAGTTTCAAGCTTAGTCAAGTTTAATTAAGTTTATCTAAGTTCCTTCAAGTAAGTTCATGTTTATTTAAGCCTGTTTGTTCATTTAAGTTCTAGTTTCATAATTAAAATATACCAACATCAGAATTTCCCTCCCTTTTAGGCTCCTACTTCTGACTCAAGATTTTATGGTTTCTAGGTGTCTATTTTTCTTCATAAGCGCTCGGATGTCCTTGCATTACCCAAAAGTTCTGAGTAATCCAGAGTCATGCGAGTGCCAATGAAATAGATAAATTGACACCTAGAAACTTAAGATTTTGAACAAATATCCCCAATAGATCCAACTAACTCCACTAAAAATTTTAGAATCCTTGGTCTATTATTTCAAAAATTATGGCCAAAAAACTAGCAAAAATTGTCATAGTTATTAAAATAAATATTAAAATTAAGTGAATTTTAAGTACTTTAGTTAATCTTTACTTATATTCAATCGTACTTCTGAATAATTCCATTATATTTATTTTAGGACATCCAGGATTGCCTCGGTCACCTAAAAATGAAAAACCTTCCGAAAAAGAAAAGAAAGAACCTTCCGAAAAGTCGAAAAATTCTGAAACTTCTGAGGAACCAATCATCCAATTGCCAAATAATTATACAAACATTACTAATCCAAAAGTCAACGAATCCGATTATGGACCCAATGGAGATTTTAAAATTTATACCCCAATTCATGGCACTGGAGATGTTTCTGCTCTTCGTCAAATTTTGTTTAGAGAGGATCCACGTTTAAATGGAGGAAAAGTCCCCTTTGCCTTTCAATTTTGTCCGCCTGCTGAACCTAAAAACGAAACTGAAACTAAATGCAAAAATTCAACTGCTGGGTATTCTTTTAAATTTTATCAAGAAACAAGAAAATAAGCTTTCCGGAAAACACAATGTAGCGGAGAAAATATAAACGTATTCTTAATAATTTTCCGGATAATAGTCAGCCATATGAGAGAGAGAGAGAGAGAGTATACGAATTTGAGAGAGACAAAGCCGGACCATACAGTTTTATTTTAAGCTGTCCGGAAAACACAATGTAGCAGAGAAAATATAAACGTATTCTTAATAATTTTCCGGATAATAGACAGCCATATGAGTGAGAGAGTATACGAATTTGAGAGAGACAAAACCGGACCATACAGAATTATTTTAATAGAAATATTGAATAAAGTGTTAAATTAATAAAAATATTCGATAGTAGAGAAATTTTTTAATTAAGTTATTTGGTTTGTTATGTGGGCCAGCTTGATCCTGAACGTAAAGATGGAATTGCTGTTAAATATGCTGTAAAGAACAAGAACACCGATCCAATTTTTAAAGAATGTACCGATAAATCACTCAAATCTAAAAATGCTGCTAAAAAGGAAGGGGTGATTTGATAACCTACATAACCCTAAAATCTTTTACTATATAGAATGAACCGGACTACGATTATTGGAATTTTGCTGGACCTAAACATGGACTCTTGGTTAAATACTTGTCAGGCGGCAATTTTAGCTTTTCAGCCAGTTATCTAAAGGAAACGTAAGTGGACTTTTATCAAGGACTTTTCTAAATTGATGGAGCGATCCAGGAAATTAACCAATATAGACGTAACTAACGGGGTGGACCAGAAGGTTGAATTATTTGGTGTTTCCGGAACACTCTTGAAAAATTCCCTAGTGCCTTTTTTCCCTTTCTCCAGGTACACCTACAGTGTTGGAGAAGGCAATTGTTTGTTGATGCGTCTGTTTGAAAAGAACACGTTTCTGACTGGATTTTATGCAACCGGACCTAACGCTTCTGAAAACGGGATATATCCAAATGAAGGAAAATTATATAATCAAGAATTTGTTAAATTTGCTAATGGATTGTTAATTGAAGATACTAAGTTGGTTGGACCTTGGTTGTTGGGAGCGGATGTTTTCCTTCGTAATCAATCGAAATTCCAACTTTCAACATTAATTACTGGAGATGAAGAATGTGCCCCTAGCTTTTCTTATTTGTTGAGTAAATATGCAGGCATACATTCGAACGTTGTGCTTAACACGAATTTGTGAGTTTTTTGGGGATTGAAATAAAATTCTGTGTCATCTTTCTTTTATCTCAGGGAGGGATATAAGAGAGATTGAGGGATATCTGGGAAAGCGTGTCCGCACATCTTGCAAGCGTCGTAGACACAAACAAGCGTCTGATGCCGATAGGTTTAGGGTTTTAGAATTTGGCAAGATTTGGGGGTTCAGCCTTATTGGCAAGATTTGAGGAAGCCTTGGAAAAGTAAGGAGACACGAATTATCGTAGAAATAACAAATTTCTTAAATATTTTTTAAGAAAAAAACATGTCGGATCTTCACTAACTATGTATGGAGTCTCAACCTTCGATAGCTTCGAATTTCATCACAACCTGACATTAACAAAAAATGATACAAATTGCTTGGATAAATTGGAAAAAGGAAGTGAAACAAAGGATTGTAATGCTTCTTGTGATAAAATCAACTTCTCCAATGCGTAGGAAATATTTAAAATTAGAAATGAGGACCTCCTAGAAGATGAGGACCTATGAGGACCTCCTAGAAAATGAGGACCTCTTAGAAGATGAGGACCTCTTAGAAGATGGGGACCTCTCAGAAGATGAGGACCTCTTAGAAGATGGGGACCTCTCAGAAGATGAGGACCTCTTAGAAGATGGGGACCTCTCAGAAGATGAGGACCTCCTAGAAGATGAGGACCCTCCTCTCATCCTCATTCCTCTTAATAATTTTTATTTGATAGGTATATACTTAATTATGGAAATAATGACAAGGATTGTGCTTTTAAGTTATCCCACATAAACAACTGCAGTTGCTTGGAGGTGATGAATGGATGTACATTTATTTTAACAAATTTAAAGAAATATTGAATTTAAGCACTTAAAAGTTATGTCAAAGGCGAGAACGGATCTGTGGAAATTAAAATTGTGCGAGATAAACTCTCCCATGGCAATAATAATTTTACACTCTTACCAAAATGCGCTGCCAAAAATATTCCGAGAGATGAGTTTAAATCTGTACTAGCTTTTCCCTTATCTTTTTAATGCTTAATTTGCAGGTTATTGGCACCGATCAGCCATTTGTTTTTAAACTTTCCATCAAAAATCAGAATAGCACATGTCTTGGAACAGACCCATTCAACTTTGTGAGTGATTTTGCCATAAAAATTACTCATAAAAATTTATTCTTAATTTTTCATTTTAAGCGCGGAAGTTACAAAAAGCTTTTGACCAATTCATTTATGCCAGAAGACCTTTCAGATACTAAAGAATACCTTCATTTTGAGGAGAGCAACGACAACAAGGAAAAGAATGAATAAATGAGCCAAATCTTTTTTTTGTATTAATTATATTTTTTATATTTTTAACCGAAATAAATATTTAATCATTGATTGTGTATTTCTGCCAACTACAAAGGTACAAGAAACCTTAATCCCTAAATTTTACCATAAACTCATTTAAAACCCGCTCTATGGCGAAACATCCTTTTATTTTAGACACTTAAATATCTGCACTGAAACGTCCCTATAAAATTCAAATTATTTGATGTTCATTCGCTTCGAAAAATTAATCGATAAAGTTTACTGTAATTATAGAGTTTTTTTTGTTGTTGGTTACATTTCTCTTACCTTGATTGAATGAATAAATTCCGTTTAATGTTGTGTTATTTGTGTGTGTAAAAATTTGGTAATAGATGTTTGTATTGCGAAATAACCTTCGTTTTTCTATTTTGATAAAAGTTGATTAACACTTTCATTTCTAGATAATTTTTATTTTTACCGATAAACCTCGTTCATAAAAATGGGAAAAGAAAAGATCCATATCAACATTGTGGTTATTGGCCACGTCGATTCTGGGAAATCCACAACGACTGGGCACTTGATCTACAAATGTGGTGGTATCGATAAGAGAACGATTGAGAAGTTCGAGAAGGAAGCTCAGGAAATGGGAAAGGGATCGTTCAAATATGCTTGGGTATGTCAACTTTTGAGAATCTTTAACTCTTTAAAATTATAGGTGTTGGACAAGTTGAAGGCCGAGCGTGAACGTGGTATTACTATTGACATTGCTCTCTGGAAGTTCGAAACTGCCAAATACTACGTCACAATTATTGACGCTCCAGGACATCGTGACTTCATCAAGAACATGATTACTGGTTTCTTTTGAACTCCTTGAATGATTTAAATGCTCAATTTAGGTACATCCCAAGCTGATTGTGCTGTTTTGGTTGTTGCTTGTGGTACTGGAGAGTTCGAGGCTGGAATTTCCAAGAACGGTCAAACTCGCGAGCATGCTCTTCTCGCTCAGACTTTGGGAGTGAAGCAACTTATCGTTGCGTGTAATAAGGTTTCTTATCTCTTCTTTTGTCCTTATTAAATCGTCATTTAGATGGACACGACCGAGCCACCATTTTCGGAAGCTCGTTTTGAGGAGGTCAAGAATGAAGTCTCCAGCTTTATTAAGAAGATTGGTTACAACCCTGCAACCGTTGCTTTCGTTCCTATTTCTGGCTTTAATGGCGACAACATGTTGGAGCCGTCTGATAAGATGCCTTGGTTCAAAGGATGGGCTATTGAAAGGAAGGATGGAAATGCTAGCGGGAAGACTTTGTTGGAAGCCCTTGACGCTATCCTGCCTCCAAGTAGGCCTACTGACAAGCCACTCCGACTTCCACTTCAAGACGTTTACAAGATTGGAGGTTTGCTTTGGTTTTTCCTTTGAAGAGATTTTAACGAACTATTTTAGGTATTGGAACTGTGCCTGTTGGACGTGTTGAGACTGGAATTATTAAGCCTGGAATGGTCGTTACCTTTGCGCCTCAAGGAATTTCTACTGAAGTTAAGTCTGTTGAGATGCACCACGAGTCTCTTCCTGAAGCTGTTCCTGGAGACAATGTTGGATTCAACGTTAAGAACATTTCCGTCAAGGACATCCGACGTGGTTCAGTCACTTCTGACTCCAAGAGTGACCCGGCAAAGGAGACCAAGCAATTCACTGCTCAGGGTTAACTTTGGTTACAATTTTTTGTTTTAAACTCCCTTCTTTCAGTTATCATCATGAACCACCCTGGACAGATTGCTGCTGGTTATACACCTGTTCTTGACTGCCACACTGCCCATATTGCTTGCAAGTTCGCTGAGCTTAAGGAGAAGGTCGACCGTCGAACTGGCAAGAAGGTTGAAGACAATCCAAAGGCTTTGAAGACTGGAGATGCTGGTTTGCTTTTAACCTTATTTTCTTTGTAAAAATAATTTTAGGTATTGTCGACTTAATTCCAACCAAGCCAATGTGTGTTGAGGCTTTTACTGACTACGCTCCACTTGGACGCTTCGCCGTTCGTGACATGCGTCAGACTGTGGCTGTTGGTGTTATCAAGGCTGTCGAGAAGGTCGAAGCTGGTGGAAAGGTTACCAAATCTGCACAGAAGGCTGGTGCTGCTGCTGGAAAGAAGAAATAGCAGGCTTAAGATGTTAATTATTTAAAAAAAAGAAAATCCACACATCGTTATTGCAAATATATGTCTGTCATTTGATTTAAAAATGTTGTTTTTGGGATTCTTTTTTGTTGTTTGGTAATTATTATATTTGTTTAAAAAATTAAATTTCCTCATTGTTTTTTGGTTTCTATAAAAGTTTCCTTATATTTGTTGAATTTTATAGTTGTTCTGATTTTAGTTTTGTCGTCTTGTAATCCCCTAGAATGTTTTTAGGATATTTACAATCACGAAAACGTAGGAGAGAATTCCCCAATCCAATTGGATAGTTTGTTTTCTGTCGTCAAGCGTTGGCATTTCCTGGGAAGTCTCCAAACCGAAGATTTAGGATATCCTGCCTTTTCTTGGTTCCCACGAACATTGGAGGTTCTTGGGAAATCTCCAAATTGAACCGAGAATTTCAAATATCCAGCCTTTCTTCGATTTGGGATATTGGAACTAGCAGCCCTATTCCCTCATCTATCGCTTTTGTCGTAAAATTTCTCGTCCTTATTGAATGATCCCTAGGAAATGAGCTCATGACCTGTCTTCATTAATATTTTCTCGTGCAAAATTTGCCTTGACAAGAAAATTTTATTTTGTTTTATAGTAATTTTAATGATGGAAAATATTTCTGACAATGAGACTAGTAAAGAAAGTTTGGTTAAAAATTCACCTAAATTAGAATCTGAAAGAAGAAAACATGTAAAAGAGAATTATCAAAAACCAATAATTGAACCCTTACTAGATGAGGAAGAAGAAAAATATATAGCTGATTTAAATGGAATGGATATTATTGTTAAATTGCCTTTACATGCTCAACGAATATTTTCTATGGTTTTTTTTTGTTAATTAAGAGGAGAATTAAATTTTTTTTAATTTTAGGGGAATTTTGGAACTTTTGTTGGTCAAAGAATGAATTTTGCTAATTGGAAATGTTTTTCTTCTGATGAACAAGAATTGTGTGAAGCTGGGACAAGTAAAGAAAGTTTGGTTAAAAATTCAAGTTTTGATTCAAAACAAAAAGCAAAGGAGTGGATTGGTATATTTTTTTAAATTTTTTCAAGTTCAGGTTATTTAGGGAGATAAATTCCCGGAAGATTACCACTATCCTTTAGGTTATAGATTAATACTAGCCTTTGGTGCAATAATCTCGTAGGAACCGTGGAACCTCAAAAAGTTTTTTTCTAACCTCTAAGACCTCTAAAAGTTTGAAACATTTGGGAACCGTTTAATTTTTTGAATGGGAGCATCCTTGATTTGGAACTGATCTCTGATGTATCTTGGGGTCGATCCGAATAAAAATGAAAAAAGTATAGGAGAGAGGTGATCCTTTTTCGAATACTCACTTAAGTCTCGGGACCGAACAAATTTACCATTTGCTGTTAATTTTTCGCCTTTTGAGGTCCTATTATAAAAATGAATCTAATTTTCAGCGGCAAACAGGGAATAATAAGAGGGCAAGTGCGTATGTAGCTAGGGGGTCGATTTCAGGGGGGCTAAAATTGGGCTACGCCCTTGTAAGCGTACTCTATACACATCTCTCTAATCTCTTTTTTTATTTTTAACGAATTTAATAATTTTAAAAATTCCAAAAAAAAATTTTTTTTCAGATAAAAATACTGGAGGTGGTTTACTTCATTTAACACCTATTGAAGCTTTTTATTTGGTATAAAAAATTTTTTTAATTAATTTTTCAATTTTTAGTTAAACGAATTAAATGTAATTAAAATAAATGGAAATATTCCAAAAGAAAATGAACAAATTTTTGAATATTTTCGTTCAATTTTTGGCCCTTCTTTTGTTAGGAAATTTATTGTCTACAAATATTTTCGAAGGCTTGGTTGGATTGTAAGGGACGGATTGACTTTTGGTGTGGATTTTTGTAAGGGAATTTTTTTTAATTTATTAAAAAATTAGGAATTTTTAATATAGCTTGAACTCTCGCTAATACGTTTCCACAATCTTACGTCGATAGATTTGATTTAAAAAACCAATGGTCACACAAGGGTATGGCCAGGGGGGTCGATTTCAGGAGGGCCAGAAGCCTTCCTGGCACGCCCTTTTGGTCACATCTTCCTCAAGTCAATCCTTTCTTTTCTGTTTAGTCTCGAGGACGACATATCAACGAGATTCAACTCTAACTTCTTTAAAAAATTTGGTTGGCAAAAATTCTTTTAGGGCTGCCAACTTTAATCGTATTTTATCGCCAACTAAGTCTATTTAGAAAACTTTTTAACCGAATTTGCTTATTTCGACGAGGGGGTTACCAATTTTTGGGGTCTATTTAATTTCACTATCATTAGGACTTGTTTAGTACTCCTTCCCCAACTTTACCTTTTCCCTAAATTTAATTCTTTTAAAGTACTTTACAAAGATGGAATAGAACTTCACCATTCTTGTGCAGGAATTAAAATAGTTTCAATGTCAGATCCAATAATTACAGATATTTCAATTAGTGCTGTCCAAAGAGAATTAAATAATTGCAAAAAACAATTATTAATTGCTGCTATTGATTTTAAAATTTTGGAAGAAAATGTTAAATTGGCGGATATTGAAATGGCTAAAATTAAAGTAGGGGACTTTAATTAAATTGAAAAAAAATTAAATATGGGGATTATTTCTTGAGTGATTTTTAACTCTTTCTGCCTTCTCAAACATGCCCCTTTGAATTTTTATTAAAATTTAAAAGCCGATAATTTCAGAAAAATGAATGATTTTTTAAAATTCATTTTAAAACAAAATCGGATATCAAAATCGAATTGATCAAAGACCTAGGGTAGCCTGTTCACTTTTTACTGTTTGAACAATGCTCGGAAGGAATTTATGTATGAATTTTATCCTTCTAAAAAAGACCACTAAATTCTAACTTTAACACCTAATCCTATGGACCAAAATAGCTGAAATATAAGCAAGTAATGTTTGAAGACGATTCGGAGATCGAGCTCCCCTTCGGAAAAAATTGAATACCTCATACTGCCTTTTTGAAATCCTAAAATGTGTTTTGGCAAGTATAAGGAAAATTATTTTAAAAAAACTTTTGACCAACAACAAATTAAAAAAAAATAAAAATATTTTTAAAGGTTCTATTCCTAAATCATTGGAATTTACACAAAAATAGAGCAATGGATTTGGATTGAACCAAAAATTATTTTTTTAAATTTCTTATCTAGGTAAATTACATAATTTATTTTTAACTTTATTAACAATTTTTCTCCAAAAAATTTATTATTTTTTAATTTATTTTTTTTTCTAATTTTTGCATAATAAAATGACATGTGAGGATTGTAAATTAAAATAGTTATTAAGGTAGCTGTCAATTTATTTTTCTAAAAATTTTTTTTGAAAAAAAAAATTTTTTTACAAAAATTTCTATTCTCTTTTTGGTTTATTTTTTGTTATTTTTTGATAGTCATTTTTATAACAATTAAATTTAATAATATTTTTGTTCACGTGAGATTATTTTTTATTTTCAATTTTTGGTTTTGATTATTTTAATAAAAATTAATGTGATTTTTATTGGACTAATAATTTAATTTTTAAATAAAATTTGAAAATTAAATTTTTTAATAAAAAATAATATTTTTGAATAACGAATCCCGATTCCCTAATTTTTTAAATAAATTTAGAATAAATTTAAGTTTTTATTTTTTAACGTTTAAAATGTGGAGGGGATATGTATTAGGTATTTACCTTTTAAACTACAATAATTTTTTAAGATTTTTTTATCTTTGTGTAGTAGACTGCACTAGGTGTAGTTTATGTTTTTTAAATGTAGTTGGCTACAGGTTGAAAGAGGGGATTTTAAGATGTCCAATTTTTGTTCCAATTGTTCCAAATATGTACAAATATAACAAAATTTGAATGTGTTTTATTTAAATTATTTATGAAATTATTTTGACCTGAAATTCCAAAATTTTTGAGGCAATCTTTATAAATTCGAGCCCCGACTTTAAGTATGTAGAAAAATTTAAATTCAGTTTTGGACTTGTCCTATTTTAATTTTTATATTTGCCAGACTTTAATATTTTTTTTATTTACCTTTTAGATCGTCCATACTGTAAATTTAATCTTTTGTTTACTCTCAAAAATTGTTTGTGTACTTTTTGAGTTGATTTTTTGATTTGTTTGTGTCTCCCCAATTTTATCAAATTAACATCAAAAAGGGGTCTTTTAAATTTTAAAATTAATTTAAAATTCAATTATCTATTAAATTTAAAATTCTAAAACGATTTTTAAATTTTCTTTGTAAAGTTAATACCCTCCCCCTCCCTCTCCCTGGGGTGGGCGAATTGCGTTATTTGCGTTAAATTTTGGCCTTGCGTTGCGTCTTGCGTTTTTGAGATTGTCTATTGCGCCCACCCCTGCCCCCCTCCCCTCCACCTTCTACTTAATACCTATTCTCCTCTTAATTACTAAAAAAATATTATAATTTTCTTTCCCCAATACTTAATACCTCCTTTTTATCATCCCCCAATAATACCTCCTTTTTATCAAAATTTTTTTCCTTATCAATTTTTGAATAAAAACCACCACCAACCACAATACTTATATTTAAATTGATTTATTTTAAAAGATTATTTATTTATTCAATTAATTAAATACCTCAATTTTGTTGTTCTCTTTAAACAATAAAATTTATTTTTTGTTTTTTTAATGAAACAAAATAAAGAACAACAAAAATCAACACCAAAAACAACACAAAAACCCCCTTCCTTAAAAAAAGAAAATAATCCAAAATTAATTAATAACCCTCCCAATTTCCCCAATTTTTTTTCCAATTTTTCCCCTTTTGTGTCACTAACTGCTCTCTCTGCAATTATTCTTTTAATTGTTCCAGGAGAATTGTTTTATAAAGAATTACCTCCAAGTGGGGCTGTGACGATTTTGAATGTTTTGAGGGATGAGGGGGAATTTAGTTGTGGAGGTGGACCTTTTTCTTATTATGCTGCGAGTCTTATAAGCCTTACTTGTGATCGACAATCTAGTAATCTTTTTAATTTTTAAAAATTCGCAAAAAGGGACATTTTGTCCCAATTGTGTTGGACGACCTTTAGGCTATTTTTGGCCCTAACTTTCTTTGTAGTTAACCTTTTGGAGTGATTTTTGTATCATTCGAAAGCTCTAAATGTGGGGATTATTTTAAGTAAAAGAACTGTTAAGGTCAGACTATTCATTAAAATGTTGTGAATGAAAGAGTTGGTATAATCGTTATTTTGTTAGTTATTTAAGTTTATATTTTATTTAAATAATTTTGGGCGAATGGTCCTTTTAGAATAAATAATTAGCAGCTTCTAAGCTTTAGAATGACACCAAAAATAATTAAAATGGATGGTCCTTAAGGGAAGTTGTGGGTCTTAAATAATGAGATGTTGCCCTCTAGTGTAGCGTCGTAACCGCAAATTTAGCCTGAGCTGGAACCGGCCTATCGGAACTGGAACTTCCGGAGCAACACTGTTGTCCTGTTTGAAATTTCTTTTATAACTCCGGAAAAAATATTTTTTAAATTTAAAAAAAAATTTTTTCCTCTAATTTTCTATTAGTTCATCTTTGTTGTGAAAAACACGACATTTGTTACGACCAATTACAATTAAACCAAACTTTTTGTGATGATATTTTTTGTTCCTGTTTAAATTCAATAAATTCAAGTATTTATTGTGAAAATGTAGCTCAACCAGGGTTGTGTTTGGCAACGAGAACGTGAGGGATTTTAATTAAATAAATCCTATAAGTAGATTTAGAAATGTGATTTTTTGAGATTTTGAAGCCTACGGGGGTCTGGGGGTTGAAAAAAAAGTTTCGAAAAAATTTTAAAAATTTCAAGGTAATAGTGTCGTTTCCCAGCCCCATTTTTTCCTCCCAATTTTCTATCCTATGTTTGTACGGAATGGTCAAATTTTCCCCTTTCTTTCATCAAATTTGCCTTTCCATATTTTGCCTAAAAACAATCAAAAAAGATTAATTTGTGATATTTAAAAAAGTATTAGAGTAATGAGAAGAATCATTTTCCCAATTAATAAAAATGGAAGAACTAAAGAATTTCAAACCTATTGATTTATATGAAAAATTACGTTTGAGTGATAATGATTTCGATGCATGGCTTGAGAAGCTTGGACTTCTTCATGGAACACACACTATTACCTCATAGGTGATCTTTTTGATTGTTTTTAGGCAAAATATGGAAAGGCAAATTTGATGAAAGAAAGGGGAAAATTTGACCATTCCGTACAAACATAGGGTAAAAAATTGGGAGGAAAAAATGGGGCTGGGAAACGACACTATTACCAATTTCAAAAAATTTCAAAAAATTTTGAAAATTTTCCAAAAATTTTTAAAAAATTTTTAAAAATTTTATAAATTTTTTTTTCATGTTATTAAATGATTTATTCATTTTCCCAACAGTTTTGGTCACCTTTTTCATTGGAGTGCAAATTGTACAGCCACCGAGGGTGGGCAAATGCCTGTTGAATGTTTAATGCTTAATAGTGAAAGGGATGATGATAATCACAAAAACGAATAAAAATAACTAGTCTTTCACTTAAATTTCTATTTTTTTGTATTTTTAGTATTCCAAATAAATTAATAAAATAATTTTTTTTTCTGAATTTTTTTTGAATAAAAATAAATTAAAAATTTTAGAAGTAACGTTACTTCACGCTCTATAAAACAACTTTGGGATGTGATAAAATTATGAAATTTTGCTGGGTTATCCCCAATAGAGTTATCTAACCTCCCTAAAAATTTTAGAATTTTTGGTTTTATATTTGCAGAGTTACTGTCAAAAATTTACCTAAAGTCGAAGTCTTTTTTAGTCAAAAGCTTCAACCTCTTAAATAAAAAATTATTTAATTTAGGTGTATTTATAAATTAATTACTGTAGATACTCTAATAATTACCCCGCTTTATTAATTACCCCCTCGAACAATAGGTTAAAACTATAATTAGTCAGGGTAATTAATAGAGGGGTTTTACAATAAGTGCTTCATTAACAGAATTTTTAAATAAATTTTAAACTTTTTTTTTGTCAAAAATTCTACCTAAATAACTATGACAATCTTACACATATTTTTTACAACAAATTTTGTTTATCTTAATTTAGTAAATTGTCAAAGAATTTATTTTTAATTTTATTTTTTAAATTTATTTGTTATTCGATTACTAACAAAAATATATTTTTTTATTAAAAATAATTTTTTTCTCCCTTTTTTAAATGACGATGCAAAATTAATTTATTAAATTAATTTCACCTTTTGCAATCTTTAACCAAAATTAGGAATGCAATTTTTGGAGAGATTCTCGAAAGAGTTTTTTTTAATTAATTGCCCATTGATTATTTGAAGGTTATTCACCATTTAATTTTATTTAAATTTTTCTCAAGTTTTGCTATTTTACAATTCAAGTTTTAAACCTTTCGAAACAACTGTTACATTTAAGTGATTTATTATATAGAGATTATTTTGTAAAACAAGTTTTACAATTATTTCTGTATTTTTACAATTTTACCCCCCAAGTTTTGTAGAAATTGAAGAATTGTAAAACTTGGGGTTAAATAAAATAAACTTGGAAAGAAATTGTAAAAAAGTTGTAAAAAAAGTTTTAAAACTTGAGAGTAAAATAAAACAATATTGAAAACTTGAAGGAAATTGTAAAAACATTTAAAAATTGTAAAACTTGTAGAAAATAGAGGAATTGTAAGTTTTACAATTTTTAAATGTTTTTACAATTTTTTTCAAGTTTTAAATTTTGTTTTATTTACTCATCAAGTTTAAAACTTTTTTACAACTTTTTTTACAATTTTAAATGTTTTTACAATTATCTTCAAGTTTTCAAGTTTATTTGTTTACTCGTCAAGTTTACAATTTTTTACAATTTTTTTTCAAGTTTTACAACTCTCTTTCTTCCTTTTTAATTTTTCCAACCTTTTCTTACAAATTAAATTAAACTTTTATTTTTCAAAAAAGAACAAAGAAATTCTATTTACGTAATTCTTTTTTCCTTTTTTATAGTTTACTCACCCTTTCCTCGCGCAACTTTACAAAGGTCATTTACAATTATTTAATATTTTTCTAAATTTTATTTATTGTTTAAATTTATATTTAATTTTTTCATTTTTTCTATAATTTTATACTCCTAACTTCGTCAAATATTATTTATAGTCACCATAAATTACATCAACCAAACATTATTATTTTACAAAATTAAATTGTTTAATATTTAGAATAAATTATCGTATATTATACTCAAATAACTACCCTGGGTAATTACTATTGTTTCGATCTCTCGATTAATTATTTAAGAGGGGATAAAACACAGCAATATTTACAATTACCAAGTTTTACAATTTTTTAATTTTTTTCAAGTTTTACAATTTGTATTGTTTTTACAATTCCCTGCAAGTTTTAAATTTTGTTTTGTTTACTCATCAAGTTTTAAAACTTTTTTTTACAATTTTTTCAAAGTTTTACAATTCTCCAAGTTTCCAAGTTTCTCCAACTCTTCGTTTTACAATTCTCCTTCCAAATTTTACAATTTATTTAAAATAAAGTTTTTCTATTTAATAAAAAAGGAAAAATTAAAAATGAGGAAAAATAACAGGTTTTGACTATTTCTGAGGGCAAAGTTTGTGAAAAAAAAACTTTTTATTTAATTCCCCCACAATAAAGAAGGGATAATTGCCTTTTGGAATAAACAAGATTTTAAATTGTTTATTTTTTAAATTTTATTTTATTTTATTTCCTTCTTGGCCAGAATTAAAATTTTTTAAAAGTACATTTATTTAAAAATTTTTTTTTGTCAAATAATTATGTGAAGAGTATATTTAAAGTACTTTCTTTAAACTAAAGAGCGGACCGAAATAAGAGCTCGAATAGAAATTTTGGTTATCGAGAGAATCGTACAACCCTCCAATTCCGGTCTCTACTAAACGGAACTGTATAGAAGAAAGATGGTTGATTAACAGGAGAGTGCCGAAACTGATTTCAAGGAAGCAAAAGGCGAAACTGGCTGCTTCACACTTGACTCATTCTGTTCTATTTATTTTTAAGTTTTCCAAGCCTCTTTCTCTCCCACACACTCCTCTAGTAGTCCATGAACTGATAATCCCATATTTTTAGAATTCCATTTCCGCTCTCCTCTCCCCTCCAAATCCCCAAACTTTGAAAATTTTCTTTCTCTCGTTTAAATCCCAATTTATTTTTTTAAATAAATATTAGTCCCACTCCTTAATAATCTCCTCTATATTTAGCTAATTTAACTAAAAAAAATTCTTTCCTCGGGGGGACAGTGTTCTCCTACAGAAATTTTTTTTATTTCCCACACAATTCTTGTTTTATAATTCTTTCTATGTTACGTAACTATAACAACTAAAATTATATTTTTACTAAAAAGTATTCACAAAATTATAATCTCTTTTTTAAAAAATATTTTTTTTAAATATTTTCTGTTTAAATATTCTGGATGTTTTTAAGTTAATTTAGAGTCGTTTTGGCGTGGAACAATTTGGCGCGAACTTGTATAACTTAAACTGGGGATAAGTTAAAAAGCTTAAATTTTGCCCTTTTATTTCTTATCTTATTGATTAACAATTCTGAAATTTTCAGAATTTTTTGTTAAATATTTCAGAAGTTATGGGTATAAAAGTCCAAAAAATGGTTAATTTTTAGGAAATTTTCTGATATTTTCGCCCATAATTTGATTTTTATTTTGCCAAAAATTCTAAAATTTTAAAGAAGCTTTCTCATCTATTTTTTGTTTTATTCCCAAAATTTCAGGTCTCTAGGTTAACTTTTGACTTTATTATAGTTATTGCCATTAGTGTTACCTCACCTTCATTTTACATTTAAAAAATGTTGCAAAACAAATTAATTAATTTTTTTCTTTCTCTTTTTCTTTTATTTATGTCATAGAAAAACATAAAAAAAATACAAAAAAATACTTTGACATGCTGATTTTGCCGAATTTTTTTTTATTATTTTATTCGTGTCCTTTACGTAATTAATTATGTAATTAACTAATTCTGTTACCTTCCCGCCCCTCTATTTAAAAATTACTAACTACTAATTTTATATTCCACACCTGCAGCGTATTTTATAGTTTATTTTTAAATTAAGTTTAAAAAAGCTATTTAAATTTCTTTATATCTTTCATTCATAAAAAATTATTTCCTTATTTCGAAACTGACAACTCACCGAAAAGACAATTCACCGAACGGCAGTAAAAAAATTTTTTTCATACTAGAACTTTTGGACACTAGTTCTGGCCATGAATTTGCTTCTAATTAAGACTAGAAAACATTCTCACCTTTAATAGAAATTTTCGTTTTCAGGCGTTTTTATATTTTTATTTTTCGGTAAATTGTCGATTCGGTTAGTTGCCCCCTTATTTAGCTTAATAATGCCTATCATTTTCAATTTTAATTTTCAGTAAATTAACACAAATATTAATAAATGGTTACAACTTCAATTAATTCTTCTTCCTTTCCTTCATTTACCCATCCCTTTTGTATATCCGCCAAAAAAGTATTTTCATCTTCCTCTACAAAAGATTATCTTCCTTTACCTTATGCTTATACAGACAAAGGCCCAGTTGAAGGAAAATTACATCAAATGAAAGATGGAAGATATGTTAATGTATTTTTGGGTATTCCTTTTGCAAAGCCACCTATTGGACAACTTCGATTTAAAGTAATTATTTTATAGCTAGAAGGGGGAGGTGAGAGCTTGACTAATTTTTTTAATAAGACTATCATGGGAAATGGGGACTGAAGAAAGTTGAAGGGCCGTGTAAATCTTCATACATAACTCGAAAAATTCCATTAACTCTCTGGGTGGAAAACTATATGGAAGTCAAACTAAGAGGGCGAAGGCTTTGGTGGACATCCTCCTAGTTTCAGAAGGTTCCCTTCCCTTTCCAGAGATAACGACGCTGCCGCTTATCCCAATAAAAGAAGTTTGGTAAAAATGGGAAATCTCAGAGCATCAGATCTTTAGTTGGGAAGGTTACAATAATGACGTGGTATTTATTTTAGAAGTGTATGCTAGACCACAAAATATCCTAGGATGACTCAGAGCGTCCAATAAATAAATAAAAAATATTTTTTTTGCAGAAACCAGAGGAACCAGAGCCTTGGGGCCCTCTCGCATTACCAACACGTAAATACAAATCTAGACCAATTCAAAAAGATTTTATTTGGGACAGAATAGAATTGGGAGGAGTTGGGAAATCAGAGGATTGTCTTTATTTAAACGTTTTTACACCTTCTTGGAACAAACCTGCAGAATTTGGGAATGGATGGCCTGTTATGGTTGGTAGATTTTTTAATAAAATGAAGAGGATCGGGGAGATCTTAAAGAATATTTTGAATTTATTTTTTATTCTTTTATTAGGTCTATATCCATGGTGGTGGCTTTATTATAGATTCAGCAGTCAAATACCACTATTCTCTTGTCTCACGGTCAGTTCTTTGTCGGCTTCTCTTAACCCCAAAAGCCTCTATCTCACGTACACCTTTATAACCGACAAAATTATACAATACACAGGGGTGTTTATAGACTAGAAAAAGCGTCCACTAGATAGAGGGTATAGCTATAGAAGAGTCCAGATATATTATTGAGTGTCCATTGTATAGAGGTCAATCCCAATTTAACTCCACAGGGGTGTTTATAGTCCTTAAAAGTGTCCACTAGATAGATGGTATAGGTATAGAAGAGTGAAAATTATATTGAGTGTCCATTATATAGAGGTTAATCTCAATTTAACCCAAAAAATTTTTTTCAGTGCTCTGGTACGTCACGGCGTAATAGTAGTAACACTCCAATACCGCCTCGGACTTCTCGGCTTTCTCTGTACAGGCAACGACGGAGTCTGCCCCGGCAACATGGGATTGTGGGATCAATTATACGCCCTTCAATGGGTTAATAAAAATATTTCTTCTTTTGGTGGAGATCCAAACAAAATTACACTTTTTGGACATTCTGCCGGGGCGGCAGCAATTGATCTACTAAGTCTGTGTCCAAAAAGCAGAAATCTTTTTTCTCAAATGATAATAATTGGAGGAAGTACAGAAACTACTTGGGGAGTTACTTCTAAAGATGTTATTGGTGAATATACACGTAAAAGAGCTAAAGATTTTGGTTTTGTTGATAATGATAGTGAGGGAGGGAAAGAATGGAATGAGGAGAAAAGTAAAAAAATGATGAAATTCTTGAGATCTTTGCCAGCTGAGAAATTTGGTGAATAAAAATTATAATGTTAAAATTAGTTTAAGTGAATGGAGAAAGTAATTTTTCAGGGAGGGGAAGTGGAGGGAGGTTCTCTTACGGTGATCTCCTTCTCTTAAGAGAATCTTCGTTACCATTAACACGGGAAAGACATTTCCCGTGGGGGAGACTGGCTTATCCATTGTCCCTCGATTGAGTCTCTCCCCTGGATACGCCTTCTAAGTGGTTCCTTACGGACCCCCCTCTCCATAGAGAACAAAACCCGATAAAAATATCAAAAATTTCAATAAAATTATTTTCAGAAATGACACTACTCTTAGACCAAACAATCATTAACGAGATGCGTTTAGCTGTATCACCAGTAATTGATGGGGAATTAGTGCCCAAATCGCCTAGAGAACTCAGAGATGAATTAGATGTTTGCAAACCGGTGATATGTGGTCATAGTCAACATGAAGGACTTTTATTTCGTAAGTTTAAAATATGAAAAAATTTTTAGTCAACTAGGACTTTTTAATATTAAAAGTTATACAAATAAAAATAGTTTTCCAACAACGGGGTTCGAACCTTCCCCATTTGGTAGCAAAAACCTAGCAAGTTTGCACTAAACCAAGGATAACATAGATTAGATAAAAAATGCCAAATCTTTTTTTAATCTTTTTTTAATCATAACTTTTGTTTATGGAAACCTTTTCTAATAAGTTTTATACAATTCGAAAGCTCTTAATGTGCTGATTATTTTTTCTGAGGGGTTTGATCTGATCAGACCTCTAAACAAAAAGTTATGGCCAAATAAATGAGGATGATCGTGATTTTACATAGTTATCCGGCCATATCTTTTTATTGAATGAGTTGATCAGAAAGGTCACTTTAGAAGAAATGATCAGCAGATATAGAGCTTTCGAAAGATATAAGATTCACTTGGAATGGTTGAAAAATAAGAGAGTTATGGCCCCAGGATTTCACGGGACTGGAAACCGAAAGGCCCTCTATTAAAATAAACTTTAATTAATTTTTCTTTTTTTTTAAAGTTGCAATAGGAATGCGTCGTGCAAATAATAAATTACTAGATTACTGTAAAAATAGAGTATGTGCTCTCTTAAAAGAAGCAAGAAAAAGGATGCCAAATGAACAATTAGCCAATAAATTAATTCCTTTAGTCGATGAATTTGATCAACTTTATAATATTCCAAAAATGGTAGCTGGAAAGAAATTGAAAATTTTTGAAGATAAAACACAAATACAAAATACGTGTGTTACAGTAAGTTTATTTAATTAAACACAAATTACATAATTCTGAAATAATTAATAAAATAGGGAAAGGGCAAAAGTCATTTCGGCGCGAAAATGTTATGGCGCGTCTTTATACAACTTCTGATGAGGATTACCTAGACTCATGAATTTTTGCTGATATATTCCACATATAGTTAGCTACATTCTCTAAAAATTTCAGAATTTTTTATTTTATATTTTAAAAGTTATGGTAAAAAGATACGAATAATAGGGATTTTCAAGGGGTTTTCGAACTTTTCCCTCCATAACTTTTGAAATACTTAATGAAAAATTATGAAATTTTTAGAGATGTTAATTAAGTTTATCTAATATATCTCTGCAAAATTTCAAAGTTCTACGTTCTTGCTAAACGATTTTATAAGGCCGCAAACACTCTACGCCGAAAGGTTAAAGTCCTTCATAAAAATAACTTCCTTCCCCTTTTACTCATGTCAACCTAACTTTGAAAATTTTTTTTCTAATTTATTAAAATAAAAGAATATAAAATGTGATAGATAATTAATTAGTATACACAATTGTTGCGCGAAAAAATTTAAAAAAAATAAAAATTCTTTAGGGCGTTCTTTGTAGTTAATGATTCATGCAAAATGGAAACCGGCGATAAAAATAAGTTTAATCACCCAAATAATTTAATTAATTTTATGGTTTATATTTTTAAGAGCAAAAATTAAAAAAAGAACGAGAAAATTAAAGATTAAGTGATTATCCGCAAATAATTTGTCCGCAAATATTGTCCGCAATTTAAAAAAAAGTTGCGGACAAATTATTAAAAATATAAGAAAAAAGTGCCCTTCTAATAGAAATGCACTTGTAGTAGAAAGGTACTTTCTATTAGAAAGGTACTCTTTAAAAGAATGTACTAGACAAGAAGAGAAACGGTCACTTATTCTCATAGGGAATGAAATTTTTTTTTCACCAATCAAAATTAATCTTTTTTTACAGATAATGAGCGATTTAATCAGCAATATAGCCACACAAAATTATTGTCATCTCAATATGAATAAACCAAAATCCCATATTTGGCGTTTTATTTTCGAACATTACAATTCGGATAGTACTTGGTCTTTAAATCCTTTCTTCCCCTTCAAAGCCAGTACTCACGGGAATGAATTAAACTATATTTTTGGAATTAATTTTTTTGTTACTCCATGGAGAAGGACAGAAGCTGACAAAACTGTTAAGAAGTTGACCACAAAGTAAAGAAAAAAGAAAATAATTTTTTTGGTTTTATAGGGAAGGGACAGTGTCCCTTTCTGATTTTATAAAGTTGACTAAAACTGCCATTCGGTCAGACAGTATTTGGTAACTTCCCAACTTTCTCCCTTCCCTTTATTTAGAAACCTTTTTTAACTAAGGATAATCTAAGGCTATAAGATTCTAGGAATCTTAGCTTCAAGGATTGGGGAGGGAAGAGGAGGAATAAGGGGATGGGGTTTAGAAAAGGCTCTCCCAAATCGCTCGGAAACTCTTCCTACTCAAAAAATTTCCTCTGCATAATAGCAAGGAGAGATATTAAGATTTTAGGAAGATTCTCAGTTCATATATAGTGAGCCTTTAAATTTTCAAAAAATTCCTTTTAACACTAAAATATAAACATTTACTTGACAGATACTTTACAAACTTTGCCAAATGGGGCGATCCAAATGAACCTGCCGGATCTTCAGAAATTTACCCTCATTGGGATCCTTTGAGTGAAGATAATATAGAGAAATATTTAAATATTACAAGCGAACCAGAAATGAGAGATGGATTTGATGAAAGTAAAAGATGGGAAAGAATGGGTTATGCTTATAGAGCTTTTGTAGAATAATGAAATTAATTAATTTTTTATTTAATAATTTTGTAGATTTTCTATATTACTGACAATTCTTGATAAATTATTAATTAATTATTTTAATTTTTCTGTTAAAAAATGGGTAAAACTCTAGCAAAATGAACTTTGGAATTAAATAAAATAATTCCGCTTAATTTCCGACTAATTTGGCATAATGTAATTAATATTCTAGAAAATGACTTTTTATCCCATTTAATGAATTTAATTTACTATAAAAGCAGATTATTTCTTCATTTGAGAATTTTTCCTGGAAACATAGGATTTTTCTTTTTGCAGTTTTTTGACTTTAAATTTCTTTTTGTTATTAAATTTAGATTTTATTGATTATTCAAATTTTAAAAATAATTATAATGGGTACTCCAATGTACAATCATCCTGATTTGCAAAAAATAAAAAGTAAAATTTCTCCAGAAAAATTTACTTTTTTCATTTTCTATAGCTTGTCCTCATCGTTGCCTTAAATGCCCTGCTGGTGGACATCCCGATCCGGATGAGAAAATTCCAGATGCCATTCTTACTTGGGAAGTCTCTGATGGCCAGTCGGATGCAGAGGTTTCTCTTGAATATTTTTGTGTTAAATTAATTTTTATTTTTTGTAGCCTGATGTAAAGCAACCACAACAAGAATCGAAAACAAAGCAGAAGAAGAACCGCAAATTCTCCAATTGGCAAAACAAGAGAGAGGAGCCAAATTTGGATCCGGACGCCTTTGACTTTGGCGATGGATTTGCTAATAAGGCGTTCAGAGAGGAATTTCCGGAGAATGAACAGGGTAAATAATCTGTTGAATTAATTTTTGGGAAGGGGTTGTTTAAATGGGCTTTGAGGAATTTGAGCTGCTGGGAGGTAGAAAGAGGAGTCATCTCATTTCCCCTTATTTTTAAGGTACTTCTGACACTAAACAACCAAAAGAGCCAAAAGTTCGTTTCCAAAAAATTCCCAACACTGACGACTTTTCCAAATCAATTACTGAATATGTTGGCCAGGAATTTTTGGATCAATTGAAAGCTAAGGGCCTCATTTAAAGAAGGAAAATAAATAAAAATATTTGATAGCATTATTGCTGTTTTTGATATAATTTTGTGAAATTTCTATTCATTTCTTGTTTTTCTATTTTTTTGGTACGTTCTTGTACTTTTTAAGATTTTTATGTTCAATAATAAATTTTATAAAATTTTAGTTTTTAAGTTTGACGGTACGGGGACGAGTCCTAGGAATCTGGATTTTCGATTGGTCAGTCTTCCCTTTGACCAATTTTCCCCCTAAATCTTCCAATTGTTACTGAAATTTTTAAACTTTCAATTTAAGAAAAAACAAAATATAACAAAAAATAAAATTGAATTTTTAATTAAATCGACTTCCTCTTCCACCCCTTTTTTTAAATTTATTCTTTCCATTTTTTAATTCTTTCCTTTCTTCTCTAGAGTCCTCTTTATCATTAACATTATTTTTTGTGTTAGATTTCTTCCGTCTTCCTTTTGATAATAATCCAACTTTTTTATTAATTACTTTTATTGGCTTCTCTTCTGATTCGTCATCCGCTTCTACCTAAAAAATTAATATTATGGCTATTTTTATTTTTGCGGACAAAATAAAAATTTGCGGACAAATTTTGCGGATTATTTTTATTTTAAGCCAGAATTTTTCGGATCCCGAAAATTCATGTTTTGGGGAATAGTAAGCGGTCTAGGACATTTTATCCTGATTCTAGCCTACCCAAATCTCCCCAAAAATATACTTACATCCTCAGCTCTACCATTATCTTCATCACCATAAGTATAATTCCCAGTCACTTCCCTTTGTCGTTCAATCATTACTTTTTCCATTTTATCTTTGTGTTCAGCAAAATAAGCATCTTTTTCCGAACGGGCACGCATTTTACGAATTGTTTCGTGTTCAATTTGTTTTTCGTGTCGAAGTCTTTTCTTTCTTAAAAAAAATTGAGTTAAATTTACGATAAATTTTTAGAGAAAAATTTTAAAAATGGTTAACAAAAATTTTTTTTTGAAATTTAACAAGGATTTCAAATTTTTTTCGTTTACTGTGAGTACGGATTTGATATTTATTGGTACCATTTTAAAGAGGACTCCCGACTTCCTAATTCGAAGATTTTTGCAGAAAAGTTTGCGTATTAATTTTTGCGGGTTTTTTTTCTGAATAAACTCGTAGCTTTTTAAATATGGCTTTGTATACAAAACTAAATATCCTCCAAGAAGTTACACAGTTTTAAGAAGTCTCGACTCCTCTTAAAAATATTTATAAAATTATGTCCGTAAAACTTATCCGCAGAAAAAAAATTTCAAAAAAGTCAAAGCATCAAAATTTTTTTTCAAAATTAACTAAACCAAAACCATTCTTATTTTAGAAAAAAATAAAGAAAACTTTCAATCCCACAAAAAAAAGTTTTTAAAAAAACCTTGAAAGAGGTGCTTGTTTCCTCAATACTGCAATTTCTTTCACATCCTTCTCAACAAAAGCGTGATACAAAACTTCTCCATCATTAATTCCCGACTCAATTTTTGTTAAACGCAAAGTCATTCTTGGTCCTATTTCAATTAATCCTTTAAAAATATTTTTAAAATCTTTCAAAAAATTTATTAAAAATACTTAATTTTGTTTTCTGCCCAGCTTTTTTCCCTCTTCCACCAATATCTTGTTTTAATTCCAATTCTACTTGTTCCCCTTCAAATTCACTATCGCTGAGTTGTCCAGGCCTGAAAAAACTTTTTTTTGATTTAATAAAAATTTAAAAAATACTTTAACATAAAATCACTAATGTCCTTATATTTTGATAAATCGGGAACTTTATTTTGCAATAATTTTTTTGCTGAGCGACAAACACCTGCTGGAACTGTTTTTATTGAACTAAGAAAATAAAAATTGTTCAAATTAAATTATAAAAAATATTTCACAAACTAATGTCTAAGTTCAAATAAGCCTTCTTCGGGGTCATAATGAAGTAGAAGAGTTCGTCTAATTGTTCCCAATTTGACCTAAAAGGAAAGAATTTTTGATATTTTATTTTATCTCGTGTTGAAATTAATTTCAAAAACTTTTATGAACGTAAAAATAAGGGGAAGTAATTTAATCCAAAAACTAGCACAAATATAGGATATAAGAGCGATTAGTCAGTCAACTCCAGAGCTGCGCCTAAATTTCGATTTTCGACGTTTTTTCATTCGATTTCCGATTTTCGAAAATTTTTGTTTCGACGTAGCTCTGGTCAACTCTAGAAAAAAAAAGTAGGAACAAAGTCCTGAATAACAACAGCTGGTTGGATGTCCAGAAGGTTTAGGTTGCCGTTTAAAGTGAAGGAGCCCTTGATAGAAAAGCAGCAAGCACCCAACACAAATTTATCCTATCATGCTATTTTTACTTATATTTTACAAAAATATTAAAAAAATTCCAGATACCCTATCAACATCAATTTCAGGAAACATATTTTCCACAACAGTTTGTACCAACTGTAAATGTCTTTCATTACTTGAAGCTAATCCTTTCATAACAAGTAAAGGTGCATTTTTAAAAAGTTCTTCATAAATAGGGGGACGTTTTTGAGTTGATAAAACATCATGGGCCAAGCAATATTTCTCCACTAGAAAAATAAAATAGTTTGGCATCCTTTTTACATACACCCAATAATAGGTACATCTCAATTTAAGGTAAATTGTTTAAAATTTGGTTGGCCACTGAATGAGGGAGCTGTCTAATGGAAACGATACCCCAAGAATTTTCCAGCCCCAAAAGTGAACGTAAAATTGAAGTCTTTACCCGGGCTGGGCTAATTTCGCACTTCGCTTATTTTTATATTTCGCCCAGCCCTGCTCTGTAAAAAAATAAAACCTTTAAAGTGCAAAGTTGGTCCTTGTGAATTTTTAATAATTCGAAGGTTTACAGACAACTCCGATCTCGTCAAAATAAGTAAATGTGAGACACCCAAATATTGCGAATTTACAATAAAATCTTTTAAATTGTTTCGTTTTTTGACCTTAAAAATTTTTTTTTTGGAAATTTTAAAAATATAGAAAAGGAAACCTTCAATTCCCCAGAAGTATGTGGACTCATTACTCTTCTCAAATCCCTTTCTAGTTGTCTAACAAAAGGGCCAACTTTCCCAATGTGAATAATAAAAGAATGTGGAGGTCGTCGTTCAGCTGGCTTTTCTTTTAAAGAAACATTTTCACGTAAAATATTTTCCAATTTCCGCTCATCTTCCTTACTTTCACGATTTTCAGACCGTTTTTGCTGAAATTTAAAGATTTTTGAAAGTAATAGAAAAAAGAAAATTAATTTTTAAGTTAATCCTATGCGTTTTTGGATAAATTAAGAGTTTGACAGTTATTTTTAAAAAATTATTTTTGACTTCCGAGAGACTCAAAACCCCGTGCGAAGCGCGGGAATTTGCATAAGCGTCTCGCGGACACTCTACGTGGTATATGTATTTTGTATCATTCCATTCGCCAAAAATTTTAAGTTAATCAGTTTCAACATCCCCGTTAGGAAAACCTTGGTAACATTGATGTTTTATACATAAAACAAAATAAAAGTAAACCCTACAAATTGCTTTGATTTTTTCTTCCCAATTGTTGTAGCACAAATACCAAGCAATCCTCTACGTGAAGCTCTTGCTGTCTTCCCCTAAATTTTTTTTGAAATTTAAAATAAAATCTTTAAAAAATTAACCTTCTTTCTCTTTGTTATTCTCGCCATTTAACTTTATTTTTAAAAATAAATATTATTTTTAATAAAGAAAAAAAAGAATTAAAGGGTTATTTCCTCTCATTTTTTCCATTCCCAATTAAAAACAAAAATTAAAAAATTTATCAATTTATTACTGCACAATGTGTACAAATCTGTCAAAACCCCAAAAAAATTTTTTTAAATCACCCAATCAACCTTTTAAAAAAAATCAAAAAAATTTAACGAATTGTTTGTCCCTTTCCACTAAAAGGCTTTAAATTGTCATTCTCTCCAAACTCGTCATCATGTTCTTTTGCAAGTTTCTCAAGAACTGCTCTACTCTTGTAATCACGACGAACAAAGGTTAATTTACCCGGAACATAATTTTCATCGACAATAATTGGTGTAGCAGCCAAAACATCTTGAATCTGGGTTTTTGATTCAGCTCTCTAAAAATTTTGAAAAATTTAGTGAAATTTTAGGGAAGAGATTTTTTCTAAAAAGAGTCCAATCCGCTCTCGGCAAAAATAAAAATATAAGGAAATTTTATCAAATGTGGATATCGATCATGGATCAAAATTTACGGGTAAAGTTTATTGAACAAAATGCCCGTTGAGCCGAAAATTCAAAAATGAAATTATTCATGTTAAAGATAGGACATATCAAGGCTAGTCCTTCTGCATTTTAAAAAAAGGAAGTCAGAAGAAATAAAAAATAGAAGACATAAGTGGAAGAAAATTTAGCCGAATGCTCGAATTGTTTAAATAGAGAATTATAATGAGGCAGACCTTCACTTCATATTCAAAATCAGATAATTTTATTTAAAGAGAAAACCTGTCTAGAAGTGGAAGGAGCTGTTTGAGCAATTTTTTCGTTTGTCTTCGCAACACGATTCACAAGTTTACGATCATTTTCAGGATTATTGTTTGAAACAGCTTTTCCATCCAAACGATAGCCTGACCCACCAAAAGGTTTCCAGACATCTTTAGCTTCCTCTAAAGGAGTTCCAGCAATCGAATCCCTCTCAAAAATTATTTTCTAATATTAAAAATAATTAAAAATAACCTTAGCTTCTCCTCCCAAAATATTTTCTGTTATAGGAAAAGTTTCTTTTTGTTGTTCCGGTTCAACGTAACCCTCAGCGGCGTCAAATTCAATATTTATATCACATTCAATAATTGTTACGGCATTTTGTGGTTTGAGAGACATTACTTTGAATTCGAATACTTGTTCATTGTACTGTTAAAAAATTTTAGAAGTTTTCAAGAAATTAAAAAAATTACCCGAACAGCAATTATATCCCCTTTTGTGAGACAAGCAAATTTGCGAAGTTCAACCTGCCAAATTAAAAATATTTTTGAGTTTTGGAGAGAATAGATTCCTGTAGTAGAAGAGCTACTCTAATGAAGACTCGATTGAGAAATTTATGTTAAACATTAATAAGATGTGCAGTATGCCCTATTATGGTAATATGTATCATGACGAACCAAAACGAACCATCCTCTACGTCCGGAATCCAAAAACTTTTAATAAATATATGTGGAATCACAAAACGTAGTAGGATCTCGGCGTAGTGGGATTACTGATTACTCACTCCCTAAGATGCAATATTTTCTATTGCCTTTTTCAATATTTTATTTTAAAAAAATAAAATATCGAATAACCTCCAGCATCGCTTTAGGATTCGAAACGTGGTAAAAGTCGGTCGACATTGGTTTGAACTTTGCATAGGTAGCAGCTGGGAGTGATCTAAATTGATTTTTCGATTTTTTTTTGAAATTAAGAACAACCTGTATTCGACTAAAATTAAATCTCCTTCCATAAGACACAATTGATTCATCATCTAATTTTAATAAAAAATTAAATTCAAAACAAAAATTTACCCATGAAGGCAAGTAACATCTTCCCTCTTCCGCTAAAAATTCCAAAACACCAGCATGAGTCGATTTTTGATGTTCAGGATTTATATTAGTCAATTTAAACAGCATCGGCCACTGAATATTTCGACGGACCAAATTATCCAAACAAGAGGTTGGTAAAAGTATCTAAAGGAATAACTCAATAAAATAACAAAATTTAAAAAACCTTTCCTCCATAAGTTATTTCATTAATCTTTTGGGTGTCATAATTTTGAAAAAATGGGGGAGAGAAGCATCTTAGTTGAACAGAAAATGAAGAAGCAGCTTCACCTAGACCCATAAAACGTTCAAATGAAAACATCTAAAAATTGAAAAGATGAAAATTAAATTAGATTTAAATTAACCTTTTCTGTAAAATTTAAATAAAATAAATTTGTTTGGTTGTTGAAAGGAAAAATAAAATTATAATTTTTAATAAAAAATATTTTTTTTAATTTTTCTAATTAATTTATATAATTTTTAAAGACGGAAAGAAAAGCCACGAATTAAAAAAGCCAAAAACAATACTGGGACAAGCAAAAAAGCAGAGTAAATTGCAATCAATGTAAAGCTGGCCAACAACATTTTTTTCTAATTTTTGGACAAAATTATTTAAATTTTTTAATTTTTGGCGAAAATAATTAATTTTTGGCGTTATGTTTTTTATTTTTATAAAAACTTGCAAAACGGGCAATCGAGTTTTTAAAACTTTTGGCTTTGTTTTGTTCTTTTTTCTATCAATAATTGTAAAATTATTACATTTTAGACTGTTTAAAATTATAAAAAAGACGAGAAACTATCGATTTTTCGACAAAACATTTGAAAAAATATTACTCATTTTGTGTTCTCTTTGCTTTAATATTTTTGATTATTCCCGAGAGATTTATTTTTTGTTTTTTTAACAAGTGTGTAAATTCTTGCAGTTTATTTTTTTAGCGTTTTTTACTTTAAAATATCCTAAACTATTTAATTTTCAGAAATATTATTTTGAATAATATGGAAAACGCTATTGAAGCTGTAGAATCTGTTACCTCATCTCGAGAATTTCAGGATTCTATGGCTAAAATTATAGAAGAGAGATTAAATAATAATCATACAGCGTCAAAAGCTGATAGAATTATTGAAGAATGTTCGTTAGCTGCTAATGGTGAAAAAGAATTGGCTGCTTTAATTAAAGAAAAAGCTAATGAGTTTTTCAAAGGTTAGTTTAACATTAAAATTAGTTTTCAAATTAAGATATGGGATAGTCTATGAAATGTTTTTAAAATTTAACCTAAGTTTGCCGGGTGGAGGGTGTTGTTGGGAATTAAAAAATTAACCCGGTGTCATTAACCACCTCCAAACCAGAGCTGTCCGAAATTGAAAAAATTTTCTGCAGCCGCGATCCACAATTTTAATATAAGATCCGCAAACTCAATCCGCAAGTCAAAAAAAACGCAATCCTCAAACGCAATTAGCAACTGCGGACAGCCCTGCTTTAAACATCCAATTCCTTTATAAACCCACTCAGATAAAATTTAAAATTTATTCAGAGGATCAATATGATATTGCTGCTGAATTATACACAAAATGTATTCTTTTGGATTCTTCACTGGCCCTCTATTATGGAAATCGTTCTTTTGCTTATTTAAAGAAAGAGCTTTATGGTTTAGCTTTGTCAGATGCAAATAAGGCAATTGAATTAGATCCAACTTATGTTAAGGTTTCTTTAATGTTATTTTCAGAATTTATTTTTTGCTCTTTTAAAGGCTTATTATAGACGTGCATCAGCCAATATGGCTCTAAGCAAGTTTAATTTGGCTTTAGCAGATTATGATCGAGTTCGAAAAATGAGTCCAACAAATAAAGATGCTCAAAACAAATATCAGGAATGCAATAAAATTGTTAGAAGATTGGCTTTTGAGAAGGCAATTTCGTCTGATCATTCGACTACGAGTGTGGCAGATTCTATTAAATTGGATGATTATGGTTATTTTTTATTTTATTGACTTTTCTTTTTCAAAAAAATCTTTCTTCCCTTTAATTTCCCCCAACTTTTTTTATTTTTAGTAGTGGAAACCACCTATTTTGGTCCTCGTTTGGATGGCGAAATTACTATGGAATTTATGAAAAAATTAATCCAAACATTTAAAGACCAACAAAAATTACACATTAAATATGCTTATAAGGTAAATATTTTTGGTTTTAATTTTTTAAAAATTTTTTTCTAGATTTTATTGTTAGTGCGTGAATATTTAATTAAACTTCCTTCACTTGTAGACATTAAAGTACCTCCAAAACATAAATTTACAATTTGTGGAGATGTAAATTTTGTTTTTGACTTTATTCGAGTAAAATTATTTTTATAGATTCATGGACAATTTTATGATCTTTGCAATATTTTTGAAATTAATGGTCTTCCATCAGAAGAGAATCCTTATCTTTTCAATGGAGATTTTGTTGACAGGTTTGGCGTATTTTTTAGAATGTGCAATTTTTTGAAAAAAAATTTTGTGGGTAGACCGAAAATTTGGTTATAGTAAATAGAAAACGGAAATTAGAAAAAAATGACCTTGATTTTGGTAGAGAACCTTGACCGGATTTTTGACTTTGTATTTGGGAAAAATCAAGGTCTTGCTCCAGATTTGGGCTTATCTCTAGGGTAAAGGAACTAAAAATCAATCCGTCCTTCCCTAAGAATGTGGGTCAAGGATTTTTGTGTTTTTTAAATTCCCAGATTTAAAATCCTGCTAAATTTAATTTAACAAAAGTATTATTTTTTAGAGGTTCTTTCTCTGTTGAGGCAATTTTCACTCTTTTTGGCTTCAAATTATTATTACCAAACCATTTTTATATGAGCAGAGGAAACCATGAATCTGATGTTATGAATAAAATGTATGGATTCGAAGGAGAAGTTAAAAGTAAATATAACACAAAAATGGCAGAACTTTTTACTGAAATATTTAATTATTTACCTCTTTGCCATGTTATTAATGAAAGAATTTTTGTTTGTTTATTTTTTAATTTAATTTAAAAATTTTTATAATTTTAGGTTTGTCATGGAGGTCTATTTCAAGAAGATGGTGTTACTTTGGATAGAATAAGAAAAGTTAATCGAAATAGACAACCACCAGATGAAGGAATTATGTGTGATTTGCTTTGGTATTTTTTTTAAATTTTTTTGACTAAAGGAGGGATTTTTGGGGGTTTCTTAAGCTCAGCCCTACATTTTGAACCTCGAAATAGAAATAAAAATTTGATTAATCATTTTTAATGTTTTTTTTTGATTAGTTGGAGGGTAAACTAATTTATTAATTTTTTTATAAAGGTCTGACCCCCAAGAATTTTCTGGACGTTCTCCATCTAAAAGAGGCGTTGGCACTCAATTTGGACCTGACATAACTCAAAAATTTTTGAAAGAGAACGGGTTACTTTATGTTATAAGGTTTATTTTTTGTTTGTTTTTTAAATATTTTTTTCATTAATTTTTAGAAGTCACGAAGTAAAACCTGAAGGTTATGAATCTCATCATGGTGGGAAATGTTGGACAATCTTTAGTGCTCCTAACTAGTAAATTTTTTTAATTTTTAGGGGGTTTTATGGGATGAATTTACTTCTTTAATGATGAGTGAGCTTGTTCTATCTTCCTCTCTGTCCTATTAATGACTTATAAGTAGGCCTGGATTTATATTTAAATAAATCACTGAGACCTTGCCCGCTAACTGATCACTGTCTTCTTTTCGAACTCAATGGTCGGACACGGGTCAGCCAAGGCTTGTTCATGACCAAGGTAGTTTTTGTGCCTTATTTCAATATAAATCCGGGCCCTATTTATAAATCTCCATTTGTTCCTAGAGGGGAGGGGAAGACAATGTGAGGACATCCTAGTTCTGATTCGTTCATTTAAGATGAATTACTTGGGGATTTAAATTTTTGGGCTATAATGAAGTTTTTAACTTTCACTTGAAAGATTCCTCATCTCTTCATTTAGAATTAATTTTTTTATTAAATTTATTTTTTTTAAGTTGTGATACAATTGGAAACAAAGGCGCCTTCATCACTATTACGGGAGATAAATTATTCCCTCCAAAACTTGTTTCGTTTGAAGCTGTTCCACATCCAAAGGTTCGGGCAATGGCATATGCTTCTTCTATGTTTAGCTTCATTTCTTAGTAATTTTTTGTTTTTTGAATTTTAAATTTAATAATTCACCAAAAAAATTGAAATTTGACTATTATTCTTTTTAATCAAAAAATGTTTAGAATATATTTTAAGTTTGTCTCTCCGATTTTTTTGAAATTCATTTAGCTTATAAAATATATTCTTTGTTAAAACCTTGAAAATTTATTTTAGCTTTGTTTCAGGTTGCCCGTTTAATTTTTACTTGAAACTGAATTAATAACTTAAAAAACTCTAAAATGTAGGGAAATACAAAATTTTGAACAGCGAATTCGATCTGATAATGAGCTAGGTTCTTACGTCTTACATATATTAGTGGCTTATGAAGTTACATTTTCTATCGAGATTTTTTTAAAAAAAAGACTGAAAAAGTGAATCGTTTAGTGGGCTGACTACCTGAAAATTCGAGAAAAAAATCGGTTGTGGGGCATTGAAAGGGGGTATAATTGAGATTATTAGAGATGTCCAAGGTTTTGAGTCTTGTTACTTTTTGGTCTTATGTCTTGAGGTGTAGTCTTGGTCTTGGGGTGTAGTCTTGGTCTCGAGTCTTGGAAAATTTTGGGTCTTGGACATCTCTAGAGAAAGTTTATGATCACTTTCAACCCCCCTGAATATTCAGTTTCAATGATAAAAATTAAATTTATAAAAAAAGTTTGTTACAAAAAAAAATATTTTCTCTTTTACTGACCTCATTATCCTACAAAATATATACGCGTTGATAATGAAAATTTTTTGTTTATTTTTTTTGTTGTTGATTCTTTTTTTTTGTTTTTTTGTTTGTTTTAGATTTTAAAAATATATAAAATATTTTAGGATATCGAATTTTGTTTTTTTTAATTTTTACACTTAAATTGTCTGCCATTTTTAGAAATTTTTTTTTTGAAGTTTACAAAATTTATATAAAAATATTCTTTTTATTTTGACCCTTATTTTCTTCTTAATACGTGGGGTTTGAGTTTAGAAAATAGAGGGTAATACTTGTGAGGGTAATATTTGGATTTAGAGCAGCGTCGGCTTCGACTCCAGCCGGAGCCTAAATTTGTATCACGAAAGTCGAAAGATGAAACACCAAAAAGACGAAAAGTCAGAGAAAGGTCCGAATCGGAATTGTGCCCATAAACTAACTTAATTTTCCATCGGAAAAAAATTTGAAAATATTCGGAGTCTCAAAACACTCAATACCTCCACCAATTTAGAGTTTGGTGGGTTTTCTCAGTTCTTGAAATCAAGGAAAAATTTTCTAGCATCAATTCATAATTGGAGCGCGAGGCTCAAGAGAGCTTTAGGGGGTAGGAAACTCGATGACAGACAAGGGGGGAGGCGCGGTAAAATTCAATCCTAAATTAATCAGCTGAGGGGGGACACATTAATTCAACAAATATTTTATAGGCATCCAAATATATAGGGTTGGAACAAATAATTTCAAGTTAAAAATAAATTTAAATTAAAAATAAAGACGATTGGAAAAATACAAAAATCAGAATTAAAAGAATTAATTTATTATTTCAATTTCTCCATTCTTCTCAAACTGATCATTCCAGAGTGTATTTGTTGTTGAGAGGGGCGGGAAAGGAAGGAAAGATATGTGAAACAAATAAAAGATTAAAGGGGGAGATAAATGGTTGGGAAAAGGGATATTGTGAAATTGAAGAAATAAAACAAATTAAAGGGGAATGGTATCAGTTGTCCCCATTATATTTCCCTAGGGTAATTATTGTTTCAACCTCTCACTGGAGGGTAATTATTTGAGAGCCCCGCTACATCATTCATTTTAATTTTCTTGGAGCTAGTATAACAATAATTAACTGCAAAATCCTTTAATTTTGTAGTATTAAAGAAGTTGAGAACTTAAAGAAGTTGCTAATCTCTCTCTATTTTTTAATTTAATAAGGAACTAAAATATTTGAAAATTTAAACTGAAAAAATATACGTATTTTTAGGTTTGCGTGCTAAAAGTCTATGAGTTTATTTTCTCTTTTTTAGGTAAAAAAACCAAGAAAAGAATGAAAGTGTATATAGCGTTCTATACTTCAATTTTCCTCTTAATAATGTCCTCGAGTATTTTCTCTTCAAATTTAAAATTTTTTAGCACTTTTTAAATTAAACTAAAAGTATATAAGAAATATTTAAAATTGTTGTAGCTTAGTTAAGTGGTCTAAGGTCAGGTCAAAGGATTAAACTTATTTTTATGGACGTGAGTTCGAGTCCACCAGTGGTTTAATAATTTATTCTTGTTAATTTAACCTTTAAAAATATTTTTTGACCATTTTTTAATGTTTTTAGGCATAAAAGAATTTTTATTATCCTTTCTAGTATTTTAAACGTGCATATTTACTACGTAATAGGAAAATAAATATACTCTTTTCTTGGCCAACGGAAGAAGTGTTTTTTAGACAAATTTTTTTTCCTTCCAGTCCATTCCCAACTTCTTGCTTTTTTATGCTAGAGCAACACGGAAAAATAAAGAAAATTTTGCCTAGCATGAAGAAAAAAAAATATAAAAGGAAAGGCAAAAGAAGGGCACAAAACTCGGTTGAAAAGTATATACAAACATGCCATTTCTCTCCTCTTTTTTTCTCGACTTTCCCTTCTGATTTTCTCTATATTGGCCCAGCCGTCGCGGCCTTTGCTGTCCCCCAAACACCAAAAATTTATCGAATTGTGTGGGAAGCTGTGAGGAAAAAAGAAAAAAAAGACAGAGAGAAAAGGAAGGATTATCCGGATGTCCTTAGCTTTTACAAACACAAAACAACAATACTTTCTCTCTTTTTTTTGGATAATAATAATAATAATTTCTAAAAGCGTGTCATTCATAATAATAACACTTTTTTTGTTTTATATTTTTCTGTTTAAATATTTTTTGTAAATTTTTTTAGTTTATTTTACCTTTTTAGTTAAAATTTACTGACTGGAGAAGGCATTTTCGGCGCAAGAACATATACGGCGCGGGGTTATATAAAACGGCCTAAAAATAACTTAAAATTGCCTAATTTTGTGTGGAGATGCTAAATAGTGTTGGCTACATTCTCTAAAAATTTCAGAATTTTTGGTCAAATATTTCCGAAATTATTGTCAGAAAAATGCTAGGCCTAGAAAAATGCTTACTTCTCTTAATTTTTTTCTTATATTTCCAGAAATTCTGAACCAAAAATTCTGAAATTTTCAGAAGAGTTATTTAATAGTGTCGAGAATATCTGTGCAAAATTTTATGGTTCTAAGTTCATTTTTGATAATTTTTTAAAATTTTTATTGCCAGTTTAACGTCATTTATTCCTCTGTTATTTGTCTTTCTAAAAATGAAAAAAACTTTATTTTCCAACTTTATTTTTTCCCCAATTTTAACTTTAAAAATCTCTTAAAAGTTTAATTTGTTAATTTATTATTCCATATTTTTTTAAAGTTTTTTTTCCTTTCATTTTTCCCCCAATTTTCCCTTTAAATTTATTATTTCCCATTAAAATCACAGATCGCTTAAAAAAATAAAATAAAAATTTTTTGGCGTGTGAATGAAAAAAAATCATTTAAAGAAGTGAAAATCATTTTCCCTCAATTTCCCATCTTCCTTCCACAAAAAATGAACAACTGACTTTAAAAGAAAATATTGGATGAAATTATTAGGTAGAAAAAAAAACGTTTGGTCGTTAACAGAAAAAATATTGATGAGGAAAAAAATGTGTTTACATAATATTTTTTGGACCCAAAAAAAATCTCTTTTTCTTTCATCCACCTCTATTTTAAAATTTAATTTTTCTTTTACAAATTTTAAAACGTAAAAATTTTAAGGATACCTCTCCGTTATAATTTCTTTACCAACCCAAGAAAGCATATAAACCATGGCTGTCTGCAATTGAAAAAAATTCGGGAGCAGGCCACTTTGACGCAGCCCACTTTGCCGCGCCCACTTTGACGCAGCCCACTTTGACGCACGCCCACTTTGACGCGCTCCCACTTTGACGCAGCCCACTTTGACGCACGCCCACTTTGACGCAGCTTATTAAGTTCAGCCGCCGGACAGGTTCGAACGGGAGCAGGTAGTATACCTACGCAAATAACTTAATAATGTTAGCGGGTATTCTTTCAAACAGAGGTGGGTCGTAACAGTCAGAGGTGTCGGAAATCGGAACTGCCGGAAATCGGAAATGGCTCAAAAGTCGGAACTCAGAAATCGGAAATAAAATTTTTATTTTCATAACTGAAATAATATTTAAAATTGTAAGGTGGCAAATTTTGGCCTTCTTGAGTGTATGTAGTTTGAGTGAGTAAATGTTCTTTTTGCAACTCAAGAGTCAAATTCGAAGGGATTAAAAGAGATATTGTGAGCAGGGTGGTCCTTTACAAATCACCAAAAAGGGGCATGGCTCCTCAGAAAAGGAGCGAAATCGGTCAAAAATGTGGCAAAAAAAGGTGCGTTATGATTAAGAGTTTGTGCCTTACTTCTTTTTTTCAGTTGTCCTTTTTTATTTTTTTACCTGCCCCTGTATTTTTATTGTATTCAATCAATGGGAGCGCGTCAAAGTGGGCTGCGTCAAAGTGGGCGTGCGTCAAAGTGGGCTGCGTCAAAGTGGGCGTGCGTCAAAGTGGGCTGCGGCAAAGTGGGCGCGGCAAAGTGGGCTGCGTCAAAGTGGGGTGTACCCAAATCTTACCTAGTAGCCGCAATCAGCAACCCGCAATTTTAATTTTAAAATCCGCAAACGCAATCCGCAACTCAAAAAAACACGTAATTTTACGCAATCCGCGGACAGCCCTGATAGACATACAAGTCTCGAATTCAATTAAGTTTTGGGGGCTATTAATCAGTCTAGTCATTTGGATGGAGGGTTATAAAAGAGGTTTCACAGTTTAGACCCTCCAAATAATCAAGACCTCCAAATAATCACCCTCCAAATAATCAACTTTCTCTATAAGAGACTTTTTTTTTGATTTTCTCGAGCTGGCCACCCAGCTTTTTAAACTATTTCTCGGACCAGTAAAAATTTTCAAGGCCAAAATTCCTACTATTTAATTTACATCTTCATTGGTATTTTGATATTGTCTCGCAACACTTTCCGTATCCATTTATAGTACATTATAAAAATTTATTTTTGTTTTTTAAAAACAAAAATCGAGCCAATTTTTTCCCCTTTTTTAACGCCCTTTTGTCTGGTATTTTTTAAAGAAAAAAAATAAAAGAAAAGGAAAATAAAGAGTTTTGTCATTTTTCCGATTTTATCCATTTTAATGCCTTTCTCTGTTGGAGGGATTTTTCTTGTTAGCATGGTTACTTGGCAAAATAAAAAAAATTTTTTCAAAGATTTTTTTCTTTTTCTTTTACTTTTCTTCTAGTAGTTTTACCCTTCATTTTTACTTGACCTTTTTTGTGGAAAAAAATTTTTTTGACAAATTTTTTGGTATTTTTTTCGTATTTTTAAAAGCTTTTTTGGAGCCCAATACGGCGCGCGGCCATAACGGCGTAAAGCCATAACTTGCTGGAATTCGTCTGGCCCTTAACAATTTTGGTACCAATCTCTTTAGCTCGATGAGAGGAATCGTTTAATACTAAATTTGTTATGATTAGAAAATCTTGAAGTAAGTTATAGCTTTGCGCCATTATTGCCGCGCGCCGGTTTGGCCGTGTCCCTTTTTTGGACATTTTGAAAATTTGGTGTTTTGAAAATAATCAAATAAAAAATAAATGACGTTTTGCCAAAAAAGGAAAAATTATTTTTCTTTTTTGAATTTTTAAAAGCTAAACAAGAAATGAAAATTTAATTTTTAAAAATTCTTTTTAGTGACGTTTACATTTGTTTAAACAAGTAAAAAATAAAATTTAATCAAAATTTTGCTAAAAATAATAATAATATTGAATGGGGTTCCAGTTAAACAACTAAAATATTCGATTTTCTAATTTTTGTTTGGCTGGTAATAATTCTTTTCTTTTTTTTGGAATACAACCGAACACATCTCTATAATCTTCACCAAATACCTTAATTTAAGAAACGTTTTTCAAAGGTTGGCTGGACTCCTGAGTGATGGGGAGCCGTCTAAAAGTTACCCTCCTTCCTCGCTTTAAAATATTCTCCGTTATATTCTCCGAGGTCTGTCAGTATTTTATTTTTAAATCAAAAAATATAGGCCAGACAATTTTTTTCAAAAAAAAATTTTTTTCAAATTTGTCTTTCTATTTTTCACTTAAAATTTTTATTCTGCCAAAAAATCCCCTAGAGTACCATTACAAAAACACAAATCTTTATTTTCTTTTAATTTTTTTCTTTTTCAGATTTATATGTAAAACTCAAAAAAATTATGAAAAATTATTTCTTCTTTTCTTCTTTATTTAATTTTGAATATTTTATTTAAATAAATTAATTATTTAAAAAACAACAATTTTTTGGGGGGGATGTTGTCATGGATTTTATTTCTATTTATTTTTCTTTTATTGATGCCAATTGTTGAAAATAATATTATAGCTTTTGAAAGTGCTGTGGATTTTATATCTGAGGTTTTTTTTAATTTTTTTTTGTCCGCAAAAAATTTTTGCGGATTTTTTTAATTTGCGGACCAAACTTTGCGGACTTTATTGGAATTGCGGACAAAATTTACGGACTTTCCTATTTTTTATCCGCAAAAATTTTGCGGACTTTAGATTTGCGGACTTCTTTTTTTGTCCGCAAAAATTTTCGCGGTTTTTTTTAAATTTGCGGACAAAACTTGCGGACTTTCTTGGAATTTGCGGACAAGACTTGCGGACTTTTTTAAATTTGCGGACGAAACTTGCGGATCTTTCTGTAATTTGAGGATAAAATTTGCGGACTTTTTTGGGATTGCGGACAGAATTTGCGGCCTTTCTTATTTTTTAAAAATTTTAATTTTTAGGCTTCACTCCCAACAACTTTCCACTCAATAGAAAGGCGTAGAGCTCCAATTTCCCGTTCCTCAACTTCATTAAAAGACCTTTTAGCACAATTAGACAGCCTTTTATTATCCTGCAATAACGAAAATAATCAAATAAAAATAATAAATGGCCAATTAATCCAAAAATTAATAAACGGGTCAATTCAGAGAATTTTAAAAATAAACACAACAAATGAGGATTTAAAAAAATCGTCTACACAATTAAATTTGTTATTATCTCTTGCTCAAATTTATTCAAAACATCCATATATTGTTAATTCTGATTATTGTAAGTCTATTTTAAATTGTTCTATTTAAAATTTATTTTGGGGTGGCATTCCACAATAACGAAAAATTGTTCAAATTTTATGTCCGCAAAAATTTTGCGGACATTTTTTAATTTGCGGATTTTTTTTGCGGACAAAGATTCCGGATTTTTCCTGGACCGCTACATTTTTTAGAATCTCCCCTCTTTATTTTTCCATCAACTAGACATCCAGCCACCATAAAATTTAAAATCTATATTTACCTATTTAAGCGCTTCCCCCAAATTCAACAATAACTTCAACACCCGTAACACAGCCAGATTCGATTAATTCACCTGCCTTTGCATTCCAATTAATATGTAATGACCATTCCAGTAATCCTTATTGGGTGCCTTTGGCAATTTACAAAACTGTTGATCCCCACAAATATCTGCAGATGAGGTTGCCTAAACTTTCTTTGGATGTTTGTGAAAATGCTGATTGCCAAACACATGTAAGTGGTTTTCTTGTTTCTGACTATTTTTTGGTTAAAAAAATTTTTTTGGCTGACCATTTCTCTAAAAGTGTCCCTTTTAGAAAAATATGTCCTCTGACCATTTTGTACCCTTTCCATTTTTGACCCTTTCGAGACTTTGGCATTTTGACCCTTTTAAGCGTTGGCGTTTTGTCGCTTATAAAATTGTTCATTTTGATTCTTTTTTAGTGCTCTTATTCTGTCCACGGGGGAGTAAAAGTTTTCGCGCGTTCTTGCTGCCATGAAGAATATGGTGAGCAACTATGCAGAGTTGATTGGCTACTCCTTCAAAAAATATTTTTTCTTCTCTCAATTGTTTGCATTCTTTTTTGTTTTTTTATGATTATTGTAAGAGTCTTTGTTATTTTTTTATAAAATTTATTTTAAGTTTATTGTCCGAGAAAAAAGACACGAACAAAATGATAGAGGCTGGGCTCTAATGGAAGCATTTTTTATGGGTGCTATTATACTTTATGCTATTGTATGTGTATATTTTTTCTATTTAAATGTTTTTTAAAGCCTCTACTTGGCTGGCCAGAACATATTCCTTGGAGTTGTTGGATTGCTGATTTTGGCAGGCAACTTGGTTTTACTTTATTTTATGGCTCTGTGATTCTTAAAATTTATAGGTTTCTTTTTTGGGTATTAATTAGGGTTATTGGCGTCAGTTGATCTAGTCAATAACCTTCCATATCTTATAAGGGTGACCGATTAATGACCAATCACTCAAGTTATATTTCCTTTTCAATATTTAAAACGCGCCGTTCTCACTCCGTGATATATTTGGAATATTATGCTTTCTCGAGATCGATCTGTGTCTGGACCAAGGCCTGGGTTTTTCCTGTACCCAGAGTCCATGCCCATGCATTTTTTGACTTCCTGTGTTCTTTTTGGGCATGGGTTTTTTCTAAACTACAGGCCCAGATCAATAAATCAAACCCAGAACGCAGGAACAGGCATATGCTTTTCAATAACATTATCGGAAATCTCGTAAAAAATTTTTTCAACTCTGGTCTACCTTGACACTCTTCCTTATCTTATTTTTTAATTAAATCTTTATTTTAATAATAATTATTTTTTAAGAAATTTACAAGAATATCGAGTACGTAAAGCTCAACACGTTATTGTTAGAGAACTTGATTTAATTTTATATTTACTTTTTGCTATTTTAATTGTGCTTTATGGTTATTTTTTAATTAAATTTTATTAAAAAAAATTTCTTTTTAAAGGAATTCTTGCTTGGTCTTCAGGTTCTTGGACCCGCTCAGATTTATGGTCGTCCCAATGGCCCCAATGCCCTGTGGAAGAATTTAGAATGTTTTTTTCTCTTTGTGAACAATTGGTTTTGTTTTATGGAATTAGATTATGTTAGTTTTTTACTTCTTTGAAATTTTTTCTAATTTTTTAAAAATTATTTTTTGGAGGGTGGGAAGATTTTTTTTAATAATTTTGGGAGATTTTTTGGACTGTAAAATTTTTTTATTTTTTCCAAAAAAATCCGCAACTTTTGTCCGCACATTTTCATCTCTTTTTTCCTAAAAATTGTTTAAGGCTCGGGGCCTGTTTTCTAATATTCTTTAATTTTTTTGAAGGTTATAAAGCAAGAAATAGCAGTTGGGTCGAACGCTATCAATTTACAATGGCTGTTATTTTGGAAGCAATTATTTCACTTGTAGCCTCTTCCATTAGGTTATTTTAATTTTTTAATAATTATTTTCCTGGGAATCCTCAAAAAACTTTTCAAAATTATTTTTAAAAAAAGTTTTTGAACTTTTGGCCTCTATTTTGTATTTTTCATTTTATAAATTTATAATACCTTTGGGATTCAATAACAAAAAAAAGTTCATTTTCTTTAAGATTAAAAAATTTTTTTTTAATTATGAAAAATGTATATTGGACTAATAAAAATAGAATTTGATTAATTTTTGCTGAAAAAAATTTTTTTTTGTAATTTTATTTACGGGCAACCACAAGATATAAAAAAATAAAAAATAGAGGTTTACGTCAAAAATTTGTAAAAAAAATTTTTTTAAAGATATGCCCTAAATGAGGTTGGTTCAAGAGATGCACTCTTTCTTGTTGCTGTACTCCAACTTCATTTAACAATTTCTTTAAATATTGTAGCCATTATTGCTCCGAAATTTTTGGTTTTCCTTTATAATTTTTTAAATTCAAATTTTCTCGTTTTTTAAAGTTTTCAACAGAAAACACGGCTAGAGGGACTCTAAATAGTGGAAATGCTACAGCAATAATTGGAAGTAATAGAGCACATCCTTCCCTAGCCAAAATGCGTGAAAATTTGATTAATGGAACTATTGACTTTCAAGAAGTGCCGATTGTTGATATGAATCCTGAAGATATTCGAGTATTTTTTAAAAATATTTTTTGGGGGGTTTGGGAAGACTTTTTTGGGTTTCTTTTCCTTTAATACTCCAAAAAAAATAAATTCTATAGGTTCACAGATTTTCCCGAAAATATGAACTGCTTGTGAAATTTGAAGAAGTAAAATTTTTTAGGCTCCAGAAAGTCCTCATATTTTTTATGGAAAAAAATACTAATCAACCTTTATGCCTTCCAAAAATCCACGAATGTCCGCAAAATTTTTTTATCTTTTTATTTTTTCCAAAAAGTTTAGAACTTTCTTGAACCTAAAAAATTTTTCTTGTTCAAAATTGCATTGAGTTTTCTGTTTTCAGAAAACATTGAAGACGACTTTAGTTACAAATAAGGAAAAAATTTGGCGACTTTGTTGCGGACATTCTTAAGTACAAAACATCTTTCCCCTTTTAAATTATTTTCTAAAAATTTTCCCAAATTTTTTCAGGCCGAATTAAAACGTGTTTACACCCAATTAAGAATGTACAAATTAAAAAATGCTTATCAAGACAATCCCCATATATCAAAAAGGAAAGGAGGGGCCGGAATAAAAAAAGTAGTTCATCATCAACAATCAACAACAGAATGTAATAATAACAATATTGGGGGAGGAAAAACTTCTAGAGCGGCATCAGCCTCAGCAGCAATTGACAGAAGAATATCTATACCTCCCCAAATAATTAATTCTTCTTCAAATAATTCCCCAAATAAATTTCAACAGCAACAACAAAAATTAATTGAGGAAGAAAAAAATAATGATTTGACAGTAGAATCAGCTCCTCACAATATCCATTTGTTAACAACTTCGAGTAATTCTTCAATTAAATTAAATTCTCCAACAGATATTCCTTTAATTTCTTCTTCTGATCAGTCTATAAGGGTTTAAATTTTGAAGAAAAGATTTTTGGATGAAGAGAATCTCAAAGAAAAGATTAAAAAAAAGAGAGAGGGAAGAAGTAAAGGGGTTGGTGAATATACATAAGAATGGGAAAAAAAAGACGTTAAAGTGAAGAGAAGGAAAGTGGGAATATTTTGATGAAAAAGACAATTCAATTAAAATTTTAATAATTTTTGTAGAAAAGACAATTCATACACACTAGAGGTCGGCGCGGGACGGGATCCCGCGCGGGATACTGCTCCCGCAATCCCGCACTTTTTCGATTTGCGGGAATGTGGGATTTATCCCGCGCGATCCCACAAACGCGATTTTACCGACCTCTATTACACGCACAAAAAAATTTTTTGAAGAAAAATTTGTTGTTTTTCTTATTTTAAAAGAACCTCGAAAAATTTTGGTTTTTGATGATTTGTCTTTTTCTTTAGTTGTTTTTTCAACAATTCTAATTGTGAAATTTTTGATATTTAAAATAATTATAAAAATTGAGACTGGAAAGATTTTTTAGGGAAATTAAATTTTTAGGGAATTAAAGAAAAATTTTTCAACAATTTTTAAAAGGACTATAAAATATATTTTTATTAATTAATTATCTTTCCAGTCACAAAATATAATTTTTTCTTTAAATTAAAATTAGAACAAAAAATTTTTAAATTAAATTAATTATTACATCATTAATTTTACTAAAATTTAAATTTTGATCACTTAAAAAAATGATTTATTAAATATATTTTATTTTTTTTGAATTTTAATAAAATTATAAATTTGTTTCAAAAGAAATTTTTTTTGAATTTAATTTGTCATTTAGACAATATAAAATAATTAATTTTTTGAAGTTTGTATTTTCCAATAGAATAAAGGGAACACGCTCAAGTAGGCGCACGGCCATGTAGGCGCAAAGCCATAACTACCTTGAAAATTTCTGTTCCTTATCAACTTTGGTATCAATCTCTTTAGCTCGTTGAGAGGAATCGTTTAATACTAAATTTGTTAAGATTCGGAAATCTTGAAGCAAGTTATGGCTTTGCGCCTACTTGGCCGCGCGCCTACTTGGGCTGTACCCACAAAAAAAGGAAAGGAAGAGGGGAGACTAGAAAGTATATATTTTTTCTGTTCTTTGTTTTATTGTCTCTTCCTTTTTCTTATCAGAAAGTATCTAGTATAAAATACAAAAAAAAATACTAAAAAAGAGAACATATATAAATAATTAATTTTTAAGGACTTGGTAACCCATTGACCTAATTAATTTACTTGTGCCTTTTTAAAAATTAATTTTAAAAAATGTCAACTAAATTGGCTTATGTTGTTAATTTAATTTTACAATTTATTGCAGTCTATCACCATATGTGAGTTTATTTTTTAAATTTTAAAAACTTTGGGGGGACTAGCGGGATTCTCAACTTTATGTAGACGGTTTAAGGAAGGATTCAAAATAAAAATTCGGTGTCATTTAAAAACGAAAGCAGAGGTGGGTTGGAATTCCGCCTCCGATTCCGGAAAAAAATTTTGATTTCCGAGTTCCGACTTTTGAGCCAGTTCCGATTTCCGACGCCTCTGACTGTTCCGACCCACCTCTGCTTTAAAGGTAAAAGTTTGAAGAATAAAAGATATTCTTTTTTATTTCGAAGATGAAAGGTTTAATTTTGAGGACGAGAAAAATTAAATAAAGATAGTCCGCAAATTTTGTCCGCAGTTTTTTTTGACAAAATTTTTTTTTTCGATTCAAAACTGTGATGACAATGATTATTTAATGGGTTGATATTCAAAATTAAAAAAATATTTTTAATTGGTTTAACTTTGAAAAATTTCCTAAAAAAATTCTTGGTCTTCAGTGTTTTATTTTTTTTCTCTATCGAAAAAAATTTTTTTTAATTTTTTTCAGGTTTTTATGGATAATATTTCCAATTATTACTATTTGGTTGCCTATTTATCTTTTATTTTTTACTCGTTATTGGTGGACAGTTTGTGTTTATGCTTTATGGTTTTTGTATGATTTGGAAACTCCTGCTAGAGGTTCTCGGAATTGGGTAACTTAGAAATTTCTTAAAAATTTTTCAAAAATTTTTTTCAAGTCCTGGTACAAAAATTCTTCTATATGGAACCACTTTGCTGCTTATTTTCCTATAAAATTGATTAAGACGACTGACCTTCCAGCTGACAGAAATTACATTATGGGGTTTGTTTTTCTACTTTCATTTTTGCCTACACCCTTAAGGTTGAAAAAATCCGTAGCTTATAATGAAAATGTATAAGCTTGGATTTTGCAGAAATTCCTCTTGAGACGGGGTATTCCTTTATTTTATTGGGCTTTATTCTTCGGTGTGCGCCAAAAATAATTTTATGGTAAATGAAAACGCCAAAATTGGCGTTTTCACATAAAACATACTATGGCGCACATTTAGATAATAGTGTAGAATTGAAATTTAAAGAGTGAAAATAAAGCATTTTGATCGTTTTTGTTCTCTCAATAGCTTTTTTGAAGATTTTCTTGCCCAAAAAATTTATTTAGAATTCCATTTCAGATGCCACCCCCACGGACTCTTCAGTATTGGCGCTTTCACTCATTTGTGTACTTCATCGACTGGCTTTTCTGAAAAATTTCCTGGTTTAAAACCAAATTTACTTACTTTGAATGGACAATTTTGGTTTCCTTTTAGACGAGAAATTGGGATTGGATTAGGTTTGAATTTTCGAAAAAATTTTAAAAATTTTTTTAGGAGGTGTAGAGTCTTCCGCAAAAAGTCTTCGTTTTGTTTTAAATAATCCAAAAGGGGGAGCTCTTGCTGGAATTGTTATTGGCGGGGCTGAGGAAGTTTTGGATTCGAAGCCGGGAAGTACCGATTTGAATCTGATGAGGAGACTTGGATTTTGCAGAATTGCTCTAGAGACTGGGTATTTCTTTATTTTATTGGGTATTTTTTGGGTACAATAGGGAGAGGGCTGTGGGATAGAGGAACTAGATTGGGTAGGATTTCGGTAGAGTTTTCGAAAAATTTCTCGGATTGGGTTTTAATGGGTACAGCCCAAAACGGCGCGCGGCCATAACGGCGCAAATCCATAACTTAACGTAAAATGTTTTGTCCTTGACAATTCTGGAACCAAACTCCTCAGCTCAATGAGAGGAATCGTTTGGTATTAAATCTGGTGAAATTAGGAAATTTTGAAGCAAATTATGACTTTGCGCCATTATGTCGTGCAGCGTTCTGGGCATGTCCCGGGTTTAAGTTATGGTATGTCCGCAAATTCTGTCCATGTCCGTAAGTTTTGTCCGCAAAAATTTTCCCCTCAACAACCTATCAAAATCTTTTCATTTTAGAGCTTCACTAGTGCCATCCTACAGTTTTGGAGAGAATGACGTTTATGAGCAATATACACATCCCCGAGGTTCCCAAATTAGAAAAATACAGGTTTTTTAATTTAAAAAAATTTCAAAAAAATTTTCAGAGTTTAATCAAAAAATTCTGTGGTTTCTGTCCACCAATATTTTTCGGCCATTCATTATTTCCTTTATTACCTCGAAGAAGACCAATAACAACAATTGTAGGAAAACCAATAAAAGTTGAAAGAATTCCCTACCCTTCAAAAGAAGAAATTCTTGGACTTCATAAAAATTACTGTGATGGACTTGAAGAATTATTTGAAAAAAATAAGGAAAAATTTAATATTGGAAAAGATGTTCATCTTAATTTTTATTGAGAAGAGGACTTTTTAATTTTGTATTTATTTTTTTATTTTTTCAGACCTCTCATTTTTGACTTTAATTTTTTTAAATGGTTGCTCAAATTATAATTTTTGTTTAAAAATTTTTAATTAATTTTTTTTGTTCTTTATTTTAATGTCCTAATCAAACATTTAAATACCTAACTTTTTAAATTTTGTATAGCCCTTTAGCAAACTAGCAACTGAAGATGGAGTCCATGTACCTCAAATTTGTCAAAACTTGATTTATTCCTAACGGAAACCTTTCGGTTGTACCGACACTCTTTCGCAGGAGTTTTTCTTTTCCTTGAGGGAGAGGTTTAGTTGGCAATATTCTACCGATGCTATTTCCTTGTTCCTTCCAAAAATGACTAAAAAATTCCCAACTTTGTTAATTTCCTCGTTGCTGGAGTCGTGGTGCGGGAGAGATATGATGTTCATCTTGTTGAATAATTTAAAGTATCTCAATTATATCGATCTCTATAACCGAGTTTTTTGTTCGAAATCTCAGTCTCGTTTCGGCCTCTAATCTACTCCCTAAAAATTAAAGTTGGGGACCAAAAGTCCCAAAAAATCTTAAAAATAAATGGGACACGCCCACATTGTCGCAGACCACTTTGTCGCAGGCTTTCCTTTGATTTTTATTTTAAAATTGGCCTAAATTTTGCTCGCCACGTGCCGTACTTCATTCCACGGCTACAACGTTAGGAAATTTGAAAAAGTTTTATTTGGTTTTTAAGTTTTTCTTTTTTTTTAATTTAGTTGATTTCCGTCAGTTTCTGACTGCCATTTTCGAGTTTGCAGTTTCTGAAGGAACGAAGGTGTTGAAAAACCAAACCAGATTACTCCGGAAAACCCCGGTCATGCCCAAAAGGCCCTTTCCTACCCTCCATAGCAGCACTAAAAAACCTTTGCGACAAAGTGGGCCGTACCCAAAATAAATACGGGAACTCAGCCGCCCCTTTTTTTGGGGGACTCAAACGGTGGAACTTAAATGCTGAGACTCGATAGTCGCTTTCCGATGTTTGAGTAATTTAAAGTACATTTTTAATTTTTTCTTATTTTTCTTTTCTAGTCAAATTCTTTCCTAGTTAAAGTTTTAATTTTTGTGTCTTTTTTCTAGTTTTTTTGTCATTATTTCTTGTATTTGCGAAAAGTTCCAAGGATGAGTCAGACTTTATTTTTAATTTTTTTTTTAATTCGCGAGAGGTCAGCATCGAGCCTTTTTGTTCTGAAGCTTGAGCCAACCTATCTCCCGGCACTATTAATTGCTGTTTACGCCCTGTTTTACAATTATTGTTTTTTTCTTTAAATTTTCTTTCATTAATTATTGACGCTATTTATAACATTCTAAATAGGGTTGCCGTTTTCGGTTCGAGCCGACGTTCGGTACATATTTTTCGATCTTGGTTTTTTTTCGATTCGGTTTGTTTCCGAGCTTTTCGAGTTAAAAAGCCTCGGCTCGCTTGATCTTTCGAGTTTCGCGAGCGAGCTGGGAACCCTAATTCTAAATTTAAATTTTATATTTTTAGAGACTTATCAATTAAAAAAAATTTTATTTTGAAATTATTTCAATTAAAATGACGAATGTTCAACAACTTCAACAGGTTTGCATCTTTTAAAATTTCTTTTGGGGTTTAAAGATTAACTTTGGGGGTTTTGTTAAACGGACGCCGGTCTGTTGATTTATATGTCATTGCAGCGAATTTAGTGTTGAGTTGAATGATGATAGGGATCAATCCGAACTGTCAATGAAATACGGGCCCTGAAAGTTAAAAAACGATGAGGAGGGGGGATCTATATTTTGGGATAAAAGGTCCGATTCCGAATAATCTCTCGAACGGTGTTGTTGGTGCATCGCCGTTATGAACGAGCGAGCGAACCCAGTAAGGGTTTGCAGTATTCATGAATCCGTATCTTAACCCAGAATCGAGTCTCAATCAAAATTTTGATGTCATTCGACTCAGCTAGATGAGCTCTTTCGAATGATGTATAAATCACAGAGCAGCGTCTGTTTGGTATTCCGATATTTTTCCAACTTGTTGGGATGTTATCCACCTTTTCATATTATTTTCGGCAAACTTTCCCTATTATTTTTTGATTGACTAGCTTCGACGCTAATAAATTTTAAACTGTCCATAGTAATTTTACTTTTATTTTCTTTCTTACATTTAGCGCCAAAATAGGGGGGCAGTCATTCTCTACTTTTTCTAATTTGTCATTAGAGTAAAGGGAATAATCTTGGCTTTGGATTAACAAATTTTTAGAGTGAAAAGAAATCCTTCCAATTCTCCCCTTAAATTTTTTACATTTTCTGGAAATACGCTTACTTTCATCTAAGCTCTAAGATCTTTAATTTTTCGATATTTTTGAAGAATAGTTGCACTAGCTTTTTTAACGTTTCTGCTTGAGTATGGGTGTTGGGCTCATTTTGTCGATTCCCTACTCATTTATTTCTATTTTCTGCGCATTCCTATACACACTCCTCCAAAATTCTTCACAAAAAATAATGGAAAATAAAAAAACATTTTTCCCTATAGAATTATTATCAGAAATTGTCCATTTTATTCCTCTAAATCTAAGATGGGTAAGAATTCGGGTATACAAAATATTCGATATTTTAATTTTTAATCATCTGAAAAGGTGGATAATTCGTCTAAAATTTGTTAGTTTGTATTATTTAAAGTTACAAAATTTGCCTAAAAATTAAAATTTTGTTTTTTAGTACAAAGACAATATTCTGTCTCATCTGCCTGTTCTAGTGAAGGCTTTTTCGCGAAAAGTCAATTTTGACCAGGTTCGACGGGAGGATTTGTTAGGTCTTCATAAAACGATGGAAAGTGAGTTTATATTCTTTTTAAAATTCTTTTTAAATACGTGTATTTTTAGATATCTACCTCCAACTTGTTGAGTGGTCTGTTTATGTAAGCTTTTATAACTGCAGCAATTTTTTTTACCTTTCCATTTATTTTTAAAAATATTTGATATATTTCAAACTAATTTAGTTTAGAAATTTTTTTAAATGTTCTTTTGTTTATTTCAGCATGATCAAGTTCCGCGTTTAATTGGATGGCCTAATGTGGATAAGAACCGACATTTTCCGCATGTCTGCGCGTTCTTTTATATTTTTTGTCAATTTTTATTTTTTAGCTCAAAGATACTTATATGGCAATGCGTAAGAAGCTCAACGAATTTTTTGTTGCACAAGCTGATTTTTTTGCTGGGAAGAAAATTGAGGAATTTGATGAGTGGAGTCTTATGAGGGGTCTTTTCAATGGTTTCTTTTTTTTTACCTTCAGCTTTTAAATGCACCATTTACTTAAGGCTAAAGTGGGATCTTAATAGCCAATTTCTCTATTAAGTTAGGTTCATTTAGGAGTATATCCAAATGTTTTGATATTTTATCAGGGCTGGAGCTTTAATGAAAAATCCACATTAAAACGACATCTTAAGAAAATTTTCAGCGTAATTTTTATTTTAGGGATACTTATAATGACCAATGGATTGGTTTCCGATGAGGACAAGGCATTACAGTGAAGTGAGGGGGAATTATGTAATTTTTTTGAGGATTTAAAATTGGAATAAAAATAAATTTGTTATTTTGTTGCCTAAAGAAAATTAAATTTTGTTGCATAAAAATTTGTTGGCATATTTTTTAGCAAACTTAAAAATTATCTTAAATAATCGAAAATAAAGTTAGGACGAAAAGAACATGCCCAAAAGCATTTTAAAATAGGGTTAGTGTTGTAAGTGTTTGTTGCAGTAAAGCTCAGATGAGCAACTACAAAAGAATAAATCTGTCAACTTAATCCTGTCCTAATGGATTTTGGAAATTTGAAGTAGATTGAAAAATTCACCACACCAGATATCCATTCAGAAAATCGAACAAATGTCAACCAAGTCTCACGCTGCTTGCGAAAAAAAAACTGGACCACAAGTTTCTTGACCTTATGCATGTCTCTGCCTTTGAAGCAGCAATGTGTCTGCTTGAGTATATATTTGGGCTCCTTTTGTCGATTTCTCACACAATTTTTTAGTATCAACAAAAATTTAAAAAAAATGAAAAATAAAAAGACATTTTTCCCAGTCGAATTATTATCGGAAATTGTCCATTTTATTCCATTTAATATAAAATGGTCAAAAATTCGTGTATACAAAATATTCGATATTTTAATTTTTAATCGTATGAGAACAAGGATGCTTCGTTTAAAATTTGTGAGTATATATCTTTAAAAAAATAATTTGTAATATTACTTTCAAAGCCGCCACTCCACCAATTTTTCCTTTCTATTTTTTAAAATGTTTCTCATTCGAAAGAGCTCTTCAAGCTGAGTTGAATGATACTAAAATCAACGAAATCTGACTTGAATGGACAAGGTTATGCTTGGACAACTTTAATCCCTTGCAACGGGAGTAGCTTCATAATTATCAAAATGATCAAATTTAACCGATCATGGTATCATACGACCCAGCTTGAAGACTCGTTCGAATGATGACAATCAAAAAAGCTCATAATGGTCAGGGAAATGGGGAAAGAAGAGGGGCGACGACCAAAGCATCACCTTATATTTTTATCAAATTCAGTACAGAGATGAAGTTATTGTCTTTCTGACGGATTTGGTTGATATATTTTCTCGCCCCATTGATTATGACAACATTAGTTGTGAAGATTATTCAGTACTTGATAGGAATATTTATTGTTAGTTTAAAATATTTTTTCCATTAAACTGATTAAGCCTCTCAGAACTATATCCAGTCCCAAACCCCCAGTATAACAAATTTATCAGAGTCCGCAGAATCTCGGCCGGATACATTCCGGCGCAGAAAAAGTTGTGAAAGATAGTTCCCCGATATGATAATTGTGGATAAGGATTAAAAAAATATTGTTACAATACCAATTTCCAAATTATAGGGTTCGAAATTGATATGATTGCGTGGCATACTTTTTCAAACGTAAATTTACCACTCATATTCTTATTCAAACAATATTTATGAATTAAAATTTTTAGGATGAAAAATTATCTCGTCTACTTAAATGGACTGTTGTGGAGAGTAAAATAGAAGTTTAAGCATTTATTATCAGTTTTTGCAATTTTTTTTTAATTTTCAGCTTAAAGTGTGTTATATTAGTAAGAGACAAAAGCTGCATGACTTTTTTAGTAAATGTCTAAATTTTTTTGGTGGGAAAAAAGTTAATGAATTTGACGAATGGAAGCTTTGGGCAGCCATTTTTAGATGTTTATTATTTTATATTTTCCTTATAATTTTTATTTATTTTAGGCAAACTTAAAATAGCGAAAAAATATTTACTTAATGTCGGCTGACAATTTCCAAATTATAAGGTTTGAAGTTGATATGGCTGTGTGGCATTCTTTATCCAACGTCTTTTGTGACAATTTTATTTAATGCTTGAATTGTTAATTATTTTGGCGAGATAAATTTTTTTTTAAAAATTTCACTAAGGTAAATTCTTATGCCCGAGAACCTTAAAAAAATAAAAATCAACAAAACCGAAGATTTTATTAAACAACAATAATAGATAATAGAGCAACAACATCCACTTCAAAAAAATTAAAACAGCACCAAACGTCAATCAAGCATTGCGAAGTGCTGGCACAACTGGACCACCAGTTCCTTGACCTTAAAATTAATTTTTTACAAATTTCTAAAATTAAAAAAAAATAACCTCCAGTTCCACCTCCCTGTGCTCCTGGACGCGGTGCACGATCAGCTGCAGAACGTTGTCCAAATCGAGGCGGTGGATTTCTATCCTTGCGAGCCTCACGAGAACGATTACGAACGACTTTGCTGTGAATTGCACACGAAACACAATAATGCAATTTGTGGTACAGCTTAGGCAGAGCATATTCTGAAAGATTATTTTATTAGTATTCAAGTTCCACGTTTTAAGAATACAAAAATTAAAAGTCTTAAGTTTTAAAAACCATCCACTTCCCATAAAACCTGATTAGTTTAAACCGACTTCAGTGGAGCCATTGAAAAATTCAAGACAAGAAAGACCTCCTATGAGTGGGACAAGCTGGACATCACTATATGACACCCATATCTCTATATGATTTTCAGGCTGGTTGGCTAAAAAATTTTACTAGAGAACTTTTCGTAGAACCCCAAATTTAGGATAACCCCACTAGATATTTTGGTAATAGTTTGGAATTCGCCCCCTTTTTTTCATCGTTTCCCTGACCATTTTGAGCTTTTTTGTTTGATGCATAATTTAACATGTATCATTCGAAAGAACTCTTCGAGCTTGGTCGAATGATACCATGAATGGCTAGATCTTATCATTTTTACCAAAATTATGAAGCTAAATGCTTATCGGGCAAAATTTTTGTGTCAATGCAAGGGGATAAAATAAACGGTCACAACTTTTTTCACTTAAGTCAGATTTCGTTGATTTTGATGTCATTCGACTCATGTCAGCTTGAAGAGCTCTTTGTAATGATATATAATTTGCCATAAGATGAGAAGAAACTAGGAAAAAATAGAAAGGAAAAAAAAAGGGGGGCGAATTCCAAACTATTACCGATATTTTCCAGTCCAAAAGGGTATCTTATAGCGGGTTAGACTTGCATTCAAAATTAAAAAACAAACGCTCATAGACAGAAGCATCAGTAATATCTCGAACAGCAGCAGCCTCTACGATGTTGCGAACAACAAACTTCTTGATAGCCTTGTCCTTTGGGCAGGAACGTCCACAGTTGGTACAACGAATAGGCTTCACATGTCCACGACCATTTTTGTTTCTTCCATTATTGCGGCGCTTCTTTGTCATTTTTAAAACTTTTTAACTTTTCTAGTTTAAAAATTTTCTAAAAATCAAATTTCAAAATTAAAGTTGTAAACAGACAAATAAACAAATGGAAATCCATTCATAAGATATCAAAATTAAAAAAATATTTATTTAAGATGAATTACAAAAACATGAATATGCCAAGAAAATATATATTGGTTGAACACTAGTTGAAAAAGGATTTCTTTAAAATAACTTTCAGGAACAAAAATAAAACCAAAAAATTCAAGAATTCCTTTTTTACATAAAGATGTGTCAGGAGAGCTGTTTCGAAATAAAATCTTTTTTTAATTGTAAGTCGAAAATCAAGAGTTAGGAGCAAGGCTTGTGGATCACGTAAAATCCACGGATAACCAGAACCAGGATCAAACCAAAAAAATCTTTGGATCTAATTTAGTGTGTAAATAGTCTTTTTAAAGCAGACCTTTCAGTTTTGGAAATAACTAAAAAGTCTAAACCGAAATAACTCAGAAAATTTGAATTTCGAAACAGCTCTGATTCATGGGGTTTAAGATATAGACATAAAATCCAAATAAAACAACCCCTCACGTATTTCTTTTCTCACAAACAGCCAAATGTGTCCAAACTGAAAAGTTAACAAATTTAAAATTTTCAAAAAAATTTCAAAGAAAACCTTCAAAAATCGCAAACCATCATCCATAAACAGCCAAATTAACGTGAGCGGGAACGAGATCGCGAATGCGAACGTCCACCACCACCACCACCACCTCCTCCACCACGACGTTCATATGGAGAACGAGATCTACATAGTAAGTTGAAGTAAAGAAATTTTAGTTGAGCAGGGTTAGTAGCTTGGGAAGAGGAGCGTGCGAAGAAGACACAAACACAAGAAAAAGTTGCAGAATGGGAGGTTCTTATAGGGCAGAAACAAAAATTGTATTATTTTTGTTTTTAGCCGTTTTTGTGTTTTATCCGGCGCTTGTAAACCGTTGAGGCGATTTGTTTATTTTTTGGGTGCAGAATGTGAGGTAGTGAAGAATGATTTGAGTAAAGAAGAACATGAAGGGAAGTGTGGAGAGAAGAGTTAGTTGAGAAGATTGGGAGTTTTTTGTAAAGCTGAAAACAGCACTCGTAAATTAGATAGAGAAATAAAGAATAAAAAGTATATAAAAAGACTGCCGCCAAAACAAGAGAATCGTGGCCCATGTCAGAAAAATGTGGCGGCAGCCATTAACGGTTTCCAAAAAACTTCCAAGTTTCTAAATTAAAATGTTAACCTTGAACGCTCACGACGATCATAAGATCGATCACGGTATCGACTCCCGCCGCCGCCTCCTCCACCACCACCACGGTAATCATTATTACGGAAGCCTCCTCCACCACCACCCCCGCGGCCACCACGTCCTCCACCTCCTCGTCCACCAACCGCAAGTTCTACACGAACTTTAACGCCGCAGAGTCGTCTAAATTTGAGAGGATTTAGTTTAAATTAGAATAAAAAAACTAACGATCCATCCAATGCGTGTACTGCATCCTCAGCATCTCGACCGTCATCGAATTCTACAAAAGCAAAGCCTGGTGGACGACGAGCTACCCAAATTTTGCGGATTCGACCAAATTTGTGGAAAGCATCATCCAACTATAAAAATGAGTAAATGAAGCTATAAACAAATTGTTTAAAAAACCTCTTCAGATGTAGCATCTTCAGGCAGGCCTCCCACATAAACTTTTCCTTCTATCAAGTTTCCACGACGACCAGACATTTTATTAACGAATTTTCGATTTAAAAGATAAAGTAAATTCTGAAAATTAAAAATTTTATGAGGAATTAGTCATCTAGTAATTCGCAATAAACACAAAACAGAGGAAATGCAACAAATAAACCTGAAGGACAAATACCGCTCGTAAACAAAAATCAATAACGCTTAAATAGAAATTTTCAGTTTTCCACACTCTCTAAAGGCTCCCCTACAAAAGATAGACTCGCCAAAATATAGATGCACTAAAAGATAGATTAGGCCAAAATCGATTAAAAGATAGATGCATTAAAAGATAGATGCACTAAAAGATAGACTGGGGTAAAAACTATTAAAATATAGACTGCGAAATAGGCCGGTTGAGTCTGGACAGAAAATTTAACTATCTGAATCTCTCGCTGGAAAAACTGTTTTTGTGCCGCTGCGGAGGAAGCCGGGCATGGTCTTCGCTACACGATGGCCGTGCTTCGCTGCGGTCGTGCTCGCTTCGCTCGCGGCGACCGTAGCGAAGCGCCGGCGTCGTTCCGCTCGACATGCCCGGCTTCATCCGCAGCGGCAAAAACTTTTTTCCGCGTATATACTAAAGTACAAATAAAATAAAAATCAGAACAGAAACATGAAATCAGAACAAAGATCTGAAAAAAACAAACAAAGATCAGGCACTCAACAGTTGGTACTCAACTGGACCCCAAACTTTATCTGTGTTTTGCCCAATTTTAGACTTGTCTATATTTTAATAGATTTTACCCCTATCTATCTTTTAGTGCATCTATATTTTAGTGCATCTATCTTTTGATCGATTTTTGCCTTATCTATCTTTTAGCTGCTTTTGGCCGCGTCTATCTTTTAATCGCTTTTAGCCGTATCTATATTTTAGTGCGTCTATCTTTTGAGGGGATACGTCTCTAAAAGTAGAGAAACAGAGAAAATTTTTGAAGCGAAGTATACTGTAGTGCGCCAATTTGAAAATTTAATTTAGTACACTTTTAAGAAAATGCCGTTTCCATGGCAATATCTGGGAAGATTTTCTTGAAAGAAAACACACACATAGATTAGGTGGACTTTCTAAATCACAAAAATAACAATCTATTCTCTTATTAATTTTTTTTTAATTTTATTTCCCAAAAAAATGGAAGGTAGCTATATTGTTGCAATAGCAGCCCATGGATGTTCTCTTTTTTGTATATTTTTTGACAGAGTAAGTTACTCACAAAATAAAATTTTTTCAAATTAAAAAATATTTTTTTTTCTTTAAAATTAAATAAAAAAATATTATTTTCCTTTTTAAAATTTCAGGAAAAACACATTTTATCTTCCTTTCCCCCCGGAGAAGTTGACAATTTAATTTTTGCTGACAGCGATACTTGGCTAGTTATAATCCTCTCAATTTCCCTCTTTTCTTTATTAATTGAAACTTTTTTTATTTTAAAATTAATTCTTCCTATTCAATTTAATTTTTTTGCTTTAATTTCCCATACTTTTGCCTGTCTAATTTTGCTAAAGTTTGTGGTGGATGAACATCCATTTAATCATTTTTGGATTTCTTTTGGAATTTTTAATTGTCCACAATTAATTTTTTTAGTTTATATTTTTGTTAAAAAATATTTTTTGAAAATAAAATGGAAACTTTGTTAAATTTTATTTTTAAAAATAAATTATTTTTTATGCATAAAAATTACAAAAAATTAAAATTAAAAAATTTTTTTGAGAAAATTTTTTGAAAAAAATTTCAAAAATTTCCAAAATTTTTTTCTTAAAATTAGAAATTTATTTATTTTTATAAATTTTTTAAAATCCACAATTATTTATTTTCCTCTTTTTCTTTAATTTCTTTAATTAATTTTTCATCTATTTTTTCCGAGTTTTCGTGAAAAAGACATTTTTTATCACATTGTTTACATATCTTCTTTTTTGGATCGCGAAAATGTCTTTAAAAAATTATTGATTAAAAACCCCCAATTTATTAAAAAATTTTTTTTATATAAATAGAGGAGCTTAAACTTAAAAAAAGAGACAATCTGACAAACTTACTTAATTCTGTTAAATTAATATTGAGGTAAAATGGTGTCATGGCTCACAGGCCCGAAACCAGCATTTTTTCGGGCCTGTCATGATTGATGGAAAAAGTTCCGATATTCAAACATTTCGGATATCCCGGGGATTACCCAGGATCCGCTAATCTTAATCATGTTCTTTTTTAAACTGACTATCCTCCCTCGAAAAAAATTTTTTTAGAGAGAATAAGTTTCTCACCTCTTACGAAATTTAAAAAAAGTTTGCTCAAAAATTCAAATAACCCCATTCCCCCTCTTAACTCTTTCCCTACTTTTAATTAATTTAAAAATTCAAAAGAAACTAACTGGCAAAAATGTGTATCTTTAATATCAATTTCCCTGCAAAGATAACATTGGGTCATACCACAACGACAAGTCATTTTATTGCATCCCTTTTCTTTTATAAATTGAATTCCACATCTTGAACATTTACGAACAATTATTTCATTTAATTGTTTTTCGCTTAAAAAAATATTTTTTTTAATTAAAATTAGATTTTTGGTTAAATTATTCTAATTTATCCGCACTTTTGAACACTTAAGTCCGCTTGTTAAATGGGAATTTCTTGATTAAAAAAAGTAAAAACTAGCACACAGACTGGGAAGTTTATACAGGAATTGAGATAGTTATCTTGGAAAATATCGTTTTCGATAACCTGGATTTTTATTTGAGATTCAGGGTTGTCGTTTCCAAACCACTAAAATGGGGCGCAGCCACTAAAAAATAGGGAAAAAATAGGGCGAAATTAGTCAAAAATATGGCAAAAACTAGGGAATTATTTTAAAAACCATAAAAATAGTTAAAATTTTAAATAAAAAGCCTTATTCCGCATGTTCTCCATTAGTTTTAACTAAACCTCTTAAAACAGAAAAGTTAAGATTATAGACCAGATTGGGAGTAAAAAATCTGGTCTATAATCCAGAAGATTATAGACCAGATCTTTTACGACCAGATTGGAAGTAAAAGAATCGTACGAGATATCTCGAATCTCGAAAAACTGAAATTTTTATCGCACGACAATAGTACGAGATGTCTCGAAAAATCTTGATCTCGATAATCAAGTTTTTCTTCAAGATTTTAGGTACCGATAGATGTCTTCCATTTTTAGCAAAATTTTGAGAATTTTGAAAAGTTATGAAGCCAGATTCTTTTCTTTCTTAGCGCCGAAGGCGAAAATTTTGAGAAATTAAGCAGACCAGTACGAGAGATTTCTCTTTTTTCAGCGCCGCAGGCGAAAATTTTGGAAATTTTTATGTCCAGGAGTTAGATTTCTTTGTTTTTTTCGCAATTTATATACAAAATGCCTGAAAATTTTAAAAATATTACAAAATGTTAAAAATAGGGCAAAATATGGCAAATGTATAAAATAGGGAAAAAATAGGGCGAAAAGGTCGAAAATAGGGAAAATCCCCTATAAATAGGGTAAAACGACAACCCTGTTGAGATTTCGTCTCGGTTCAGGACCACCCAATATAATTAATTTTTAACTTTATAACAACACTTATGCCAATCACTTAAAAATTTAGACGTTAAAAAGTTCAAAAATACCACAAACCCAAACTTGCGGACATAATGTCCAAAAAACACCAATTTAATTAACTAAACCTCTTACATTTCTCGTTCTTTTTTGTCTTTCTTGTCTTTGTATTTTGCATCCAATTCCTCACAACTTATACCAAAATGTTCGTCATCCCAATTTCTTTCACAAATTCGACACATTTTGGCCCCACATCCCAGACAATCAAAAACTTTATTTATTTTCTTGTCCACCTCCATTTGCATTGCAAAATTGCAATTTTTACATCTTCAAAAAATTAAAAATAATTTTAAAAAATTCGAAAAAAACCTTTCTAATTTATCAATTGAAGCCATTCCAATACTTTCTTGAAGAATTCTTTCGTCCAATTTCTTTTGCACATCCTCAGAAAGAACCATACGGATTTCAGCTTTAAAGATATTTAAATTTAAGAAAAAATCTCTAAAAAATCCAAACAATATAAAATTGGATTGTCACAACCAGTTGCCATACAACGCAATCCAATACCTCCCTTAGCCATGGGAATTTCTCCGACTGCTGCTGACGCATGTCCAGAAACACAAGTTAAACAAAATGTATGTGCTTCTGGGTCGGAATCTTCTAAACACAAAAAAATTTAAATTAAGAATGCAAGTCCATTAATAATTTAAAAATTTCCTTTTACCTGTAGCGCTCACAGGAATATTGCAAAAAACAACATTATTGAGCTTAACTTTGTCATAACAAACAAGACATTCAAAAAGTTGAGAAATAAATTGTTTAGATGATTGAGGAGTGGTTTTGGTGTCACTTAAATTTAGCCTATTGTTAGTCAAAAGTATAAAGTAGGGTAGCACCTCCATCACGACTACCTATTTTTTTTTGGCAAAAACCCCGATCCGAACTCCAACATGGCCTCCCCGGCAAGCCCCGATCCCCGACACTTCGACCCCGAAGGCTCGGGGTGCTACCCTAGTATAAAGTATCTGATTATACCTTGCACGTTTGCGATTGTCATTAGACCGATCCTTCTCCTTGGGAGGAGTTACGGGAGAATAATAAGAGTCACCCTCGAGTCCGATTTCTTCATCATCATCTGCATTGTGGAGTCTTCTAGGACTAAATACATTGTCGAGTCTATTACGACTAAAATAAAAAATCGAAAAAATGATAGATAAAACTAAAACCTGTAGCGTTCGTTATTGTCATTAGACCGATCCTGCTCTTTGTTAACATTTCTTTCCACACCTTCATCGTCAGTACGGGAACCCCCGCCTTCACCACGACCTCTGCCTTCTTCTGGAACTTTGCGCACAGTTCTAAAATGGGTGTTCAAAAATGATAAATAAAAACAAAACCTGTAGCGTTCCCTGTCATAAGATCGAGATCGATCCCGATAACTGGCACTACTTCGAAAGCCACGTCCACCACGCCATCTTTTACGTGCCATTTCTACACGTGCTCTAGATCCGCAGATATAGCTAAAATTAAAAAATATTTCTAAGTAAGTTAAGAAGCCCCTCCCTATCTGAAACACTCCCTCTCTCAAAATCTGAACTTGTATGGTTCATACAAGCAAATCTTAAAGAATGGTCTAGCAAAAATGTGTGGCGACAGGAACATTGGACGCTTTTACCCCGCAGAAGAGATGCCTTCACATAGCCATAGTTGCTTCCGGCTAGTATGGGTGAGTGAAGAAAGCCTAACCAAAGCCATACTAGTCTCGCAAACTACCCCCTCCTCCCCTAAAATCATGAGAAAAATCTGAACGTGTATACAAGCAGGTCAAATGGTCTAGCGAAAAATTGAGTATCGACAGGAACAGAGGAGATGCTCTAAACACACAGAGGATGCTTTCACATTATCAGCCAAAGTTGCTTCCGGCCAGTATGGGTGAGTGAAGAAAGCCTAACCAAAGCCATACTAGTCTACCCTTCCCCAACTTCCACCCCTAAACTCAACAGGAGATGCTTTCACATAGGCCATCGTTGCTTCCGGCTAGTATAACCAAAGCCACACAAGTCAAGCAAAACCCCAACCTCCCCCCCCCTTAAATCAACAGAAAAAAAAACTAACGTTCCGTCAAGCGCCCGAATAGCATTTTCGGCTTGTCTAGTGTCGTCAAACTCCACAAAAGCAAAAATAGGAGGATAAGAGGAAATCCAAATTCTGTGAATCCGTCCAAATTTGTGGAAAACATTATCTAACTATAAACAAAGAAAAAAATAAATTTTTTAAATTTAATTTTTAACCTGATCAGCTGTTGTATTTTCTCGAAGACCACCAACATAAACTTCGCGGTGACCGAACATTATATTTAGTTAAAAGGGTTTTAATCTAAAAACTAGTTTGTCAAAATAAAGGAAAAATAAATATTTACCAATATAAAGGATTTAAAAACATAAATTTCGCGGGTAATTTATTCGTCGGGCCATTTAGGCGCAAGGAACTGGGCGCGGTCCGTTTGGGCGCCAGTTATTATTTACCTCCTCAGAATAAATTTTTTTGTGTTTTAATTCTGATTTATGCTCTGGTTTGTTCTTTTAATAATTTTTTCAAGTCAGTTTTGTACTAATGCATTCTTTTCTAAGATTTTTTTTATTTTTAAGAATTTTCTTTTTATTAAAGGTCAAAAATATCTTTTTTTTTTGACTCCACCCCAGAAAATCGACACCCAAAATATTGCCCCTAAATATCGAATGACCCTAAATATCGACACCCAAAATGACGAATTACCCAAAATATCGAAAATTATAAAAAATTGAAAGAATATGGTAAATCTGAATTATTAAGATATATTTATTTAAAACATAAACAGGTAAAAATTAAAATATAAATGAGAATAAAAAATTTATGCAATAAAAATCTAAAAATATATTTAAAATGGTATACTAGATTTAAATAAAGTAATAAAAATCATCATTCTGGGGTGATCCCCTTTTTTTTGTTTAATCGTGCATAAATTTTTTTTCTTCTCTGTTATTTTTTATTTATATTCTTTGCACCTGCATTTTTTATTAAACACATTTTTTATTAACATTTTATTTCCGCTTGGGATTGCACTATTAACTGGCCACACAGTTTCTGAAGTTGGAAAAATAAAAGCTGGCGCCAAATCGTGCCGCGCCAAAAAATGCCGCGTTAAACAAAAGCAATAGACAATTAAAAAACGAGTTTATCAAATCAACGAAAACGGTTGTATATAATAGATCCCGGTAATCTTCTAGTTTACTGGTCCCGAGAAAAAAATTAGGAAGTGCTGTTTCGATATTTTTGAGGGTTACCAGTAGATTCGGACTCAGCACACTCGATTACCTACTGGTAACCCTCAAAAATATCGAAACAGCACTTTTTCCTAATTTTTTTCGGGACCAGTAAACTAGAAGATCACCTATATCCCCAAATAACCACATTAACTATTACTAAACCAATTGTGATACCCACTAATAATGTCACATCTGTATCGGAACTTGTTGAGTTTGTTGTAGCTGGATTAGAAGTGGCTCGTGATGCAACATTAGACTTCCGATTTGGACTTGTTTGAGTTGTGAAACGAACAGAAGCCTCTCCTTTTTCACGAATTTCCTTAATCATTTGTTGGTCTATCTTGTTTGGGTCTTCGTAGAGAAGACATTTTTTGTTGCATTGATTACAGCTTTTTTGATATCTATCGCGAAAATGTCTTAAAAGCAAAAATAAAAATTAAACAATAAAAGAGAACGAAAAAATTTTTTAACGTTATTTTTGGTGCAAGATTGCTCTTTTAATATTAAAAAATAAAAAAAAAACAAGCAAAATAAATGTGGTTTACCCTGGAGGGGTTCGAACCTTGCTGTCAAAACTAAGAACGATACCACTACACCACAGAGCTGGTTATTTATTTTACAAATTTTACATATTTACTTACTGGCAAAAATGATCGTGTTGAATTCCAGTTTGTCTGCATAAATAACATTGGGTCATACCACAACGACAAGTAACATGATTGCATCCAGTTTCCTTTACAAATTGAACTCCACATCTTGGACATTTTCGAACAATTGCCTCGTTTATTTTCTTCTCACTGAAAATTTAATTTTGAAAAATCCGCAACTTTTGTCCGCAAAATATTTGCGGATTTCCGGAAAAAATATTTGCGGACAAGTGCCAAAAATTTAAAAAAAAACGTTACATTTCTCTTTCTTTTTTGATTTTCTTCGAGTTTTTAATTTTCTGTTCCACTTCCTCACAACTTAAACCAAAATGGTCGTCGTCCCAATCTCTTTCACATAGACGACAAAACTGTGCATTACAACCGGGACAATCAAAAACTTTATTTAATTTTTTGTCTACTTCCATTTGAATTGCAAAATTGCATTTCTTACACCTTAAAAATTTAAAATTACAATTACCAAATACACCCGATTTTTAGGAATACTCGTTAGAAGTTTTTAATTTAATTATCAATTGAGTGTAATTATCGGGTCGGACACCTCTTCATGTACACCCAATTTTCAACCCAAATGAATATGCAAATTGTGATCTAACTTTAATAAATCTAAAATTAGAATAAACACCTTTCTAAATTAGGTAAAGCCATTCCAATACTTTCCTCAAACATTCTTTCTTCTAATTTATTGCGTATCTTTTTTGGTAGAAGTTTGTAAATCTCAGCTTTAAATTTAAATTATTTTTAAAAATAAAAAATCTCCAAACAATATAAAATAGGATTGTCACACCCAGTCATCATACAACGCAATCCAATACCTCCCTTAGCTAAAGGAATTTCTCCAACAGCTGCTGTAGCTAAGCCGAGAATACAGTCACGACAGAATGGATGTGATTGAGGGTCAGATATTTCTGGAAATTTATTTTTTTCAATTTCCCAATCCCCTCCCTTACCTTCAATTTTAAGTTTCACTTCCTTCTTTTCACAAATTTTTCCATTCAAAACTCGTTCAAATTCAAAATTATCAAAAACAGCCAATTCACTCGTTAAAATATCCTTCCTTTCAACAGGCACAAAACAATAAATAATTGACTTTAACGGCACTTGATTATAACAAACAATGCATTCAATACATTCTTCTTTAGATAACTAAAAAAAACAAATATTTTTTAAATTAAAGGAAACTCAAAAATTTTACTTTATTCCTTATATTGACCAAAAACGTTGCAATTTTTTGAGTGAGCATAAAATTTAATTTTTAAAAGTTTCTAAAAAATAAAAAAAATATTATGTCGTCATCTGCCTTAAGGGACACGCCCAATACGGCGCGAGGCCATAACGGCGCGAAGCCTTAACTCGCTGCAAGATTTCCTAATCTTAACAGATTTAGTATTAACCGATTACTCTCATCGAGATAAAGAGATTGGTACTAAAATTGATAATTTTCCAGTAAGTTATGGCTTAGTAAAAAAATACAGATATGCCTAGAGGAGGAGCAGCAAAAAATAACTAGGTCAATCATTAAATATACAAGCCTAAATAAAAAGAAAAAAATATTTAAAGGCTAATGAAAAGAATATTTGTGGACTACGAATTTTTTATTTTCACACCAAGCTATAAAATAATTAAATTTTAGATTTTTAAGTAGAACTTTTTAAAACTAAAGGTTTCGCACACGCTATTCTAATCAGAGAAATAAACAAGGCTCCCCTACAAAAGATAGACTCGCCAAAATATAGATGCACTAAAAGATAGATTAGGCCAAAATCGATTAAAAGATAGATGCATTAAAAGATAGATGCACTAAAAGATAGACTGGGGTAAAATCTATTAAAATATAGACTGCGAAATTGGCCGGTTGAGTCTGGACAGAAAATTTAACCATCTGAATCTCTCGCTTCTCGCTGGAAAAACTGTTTTTGTGCTGCTAAGGAGGGTAGGCCGGGCATGGTCTTCGCTACACGATGGCCGTGCTTCGCTGCGGTCGTGCTCGCTTCGCTCGCGGCGACCGTAGCGAAGCGGCGGCCGTCGTTCCGCTCGACATGCCCGGCTTCCTCCGCGACGTCAAAAACTTTTTTCCGCGAATATACTAAAGTACGAATAAAACAATAATCAGAACAGAAACCTGAAATCAGAACAAAGATCAGAAAAAACAAACAAAGATCAGGCACTCAACAGTTGGTACTCAACTGGACCCCAAACTTTATCTGTGTTTTGCCCAATTTTAGACTTGTCTATATTTTAATAGATTTTACCCCTATCTATCTTTTAGTGCATCTATATTTTAGTGCATCTATCTTTTGATCGATTTTTGCCTTATCTATCTTTTAGCTGCTTTTGGCCGCGTCTATCTTTTAATCGCTTTTAGCCGTATCTATATTTTAGTGCGTCTATCTTTTGAGGGGATACGATAAACAAAAATTGTTAGAGATTATTGTCAGAGAAATAAAGAAAAATTGTTTTATAAAGAAATTACTGTAACGCGCAAATTTGAAAATATAAAAGAGAGGGCATTGTGAATTCGCAGTTTGTTTAACATTTTTAGCCAAAAGCTACTATTGAAATTTTTATTAATCGAATCTTTTATGAATTTTACTTTTTATGAACTTTTCAAAAATATTCTTCTTTTCCTTTGTTTATTCAGGGCTGATTTAATTAAAACAAAATTAATTAGGACAACAATTTGAAAAAATGATTTTATCAAATCAACGATAATGCAAATCGTATATAAGCTTCCCCCAAATTAACAGAAGAATTATTAGCAGACCCACTAGTATACCCATTAGTATATCCCTAAATTCAAGTTCGTTGGTGTAATCTGCTGTAGCAGACTCTGCTGTATTAGTGAGACGTGCTGTATTAGAAGCAGTATTAGACTTCCGATTTGGACTTGTTGGAGTTGTGAAACGAACAGAAGTCTTTCCTTTTTCACGAATTTCTTTAATTATTTGTTGGTCTATCTTGTTTGCATCTTCGTGGAGAAGACATTTTTTGTCACATTGATTACAAGTTTGACTATTTGGTTCACGATAATGTCTTTAAAAAAATAAAAATCAAAAACTTAAATGAAAAAATTTTTTTCCATCGTTTATTAGCGTGAGTTTGCTTTTTTAATGTTAAAAATCGAAAAAAGAACCGAAATAAACTCAGCTCGTCGAGCCCTTTCTCAACACGTCGAGTTCATGCAAAATTGGTCCTGAGATACTACATTATTCACCCCTGATACAAGGAAGAAATATTGGACTCAACTGTCCCTTTTAATCAAAAAATATTTTGATATTTTGAGCCTTTTTAGCCGTCTAGATATTTTGAGCGTTTGATGTTTTGAGCGAATATATTTTACTCCTTTTTAGTCGTCTAGATGTTTTGAGCGTTTGCTGTTTTAAAAAAATATGTTTTGTAGGGTAGCCAAAAATTGTTTAGAGAAATATTATTATTGTCAGAGAAATAGAGAAAAATTGTTTTAGAAAGAAATTACTATAACGCGTAAATTTGAAATATAAAAGAGAGTACATTTCTGGTTAAGTGGAATCGGTATTAAAATAGGGTTGAAGGTTCGAGTCTATTCAAGGATATTTTATATTTTTTAAGAGGAAAAATGTAGTAAATTTCAAAATTACACAAAAAAATTGTTAAGGAAACGTTAAAAAATTTTTTATTTTACAAAAAATCTAAGCCTTCGCCCCTTCTCTTTCACGAATTTCTTTGATTAACTGTTCATCCCTCTTATTTGCATCTTCAAAAAGGAGACATTTACTGTTACAATGCTTACAATTTGGAATAGTTGGGTCACGTGTATGTCTTTAAAAGAAAAATTTTTTTTAATTTTTTCTAAAATTTTACTGGCAAAAATGGGCATATTGAATACCACTTTCTCTACAAATATAGCATTGAGTCATACCGCAACGACAAGTCATCTTATTACATCCAGACACTTTAACGAATCCGATTCCACATCTTGGACATTTTCGAACAATTGCCTCGTTTAATTTCTTCTCACTGGAAATCTATTTTAAAAAGTCCGCAAATTTTGTCCGCAAAATATTTGCGGATTATCCGCAAATATTTTGCGGACTAGGACCATTCCTTTAAAAAGCCTACATTTCTCTTTCCTTCTTGTCCTTATCATTTTTATCCATTTCTTCACAACTTAGACCAACATGTTTCTCATCCCAATCTCTTTCGCACGTACGACAAAACTTCGTTTTACAACTGAGACAATCAAAAAATTTATTTATTTGTTTATCTACTTCCATTTGAATTGCAAAATTGCACTTCTTACATCTTAAAAATTTAAAAATATGATCACAACGAAGGAGAGCCATTTGATCAAATTTAAGGAGATGGCATGGATTGTGACAGTAATGGATCCAATACCTCCTTTTTTAAGGTTAACCTCATTCGACTTAACCGAGAGTCGTCTTTAATAAGCTAGGTCTATTGAAACTAGGGCCGACTCTCGACGGATTTTTAGGTAAAACCCTGAACCGAAGGTTTTTTTCACCCGCCCCCAAAGGCTCGGGGTAGCTCGGTGAAAAATTATGGAGAGGGAGAAGCGGCAAAATATACAAAAACGACCTTTCTAATTTATCAATAGAAGCCATTCCAATACTTTCTTGAAGAATTCTTTCATCCAATTTCTTTTGAACATCCTCAGTAATAAACATACGGATTTCAGCTTTAAATTTTAAATTTACATTAAAAAATTTCTAAAAAAAATCCACACAATATAAAATAGGATTGTCACAACCAGTTGCCATACAACGCAATCCAATACCTCCCTTAGCCATAGGAATTTCCTCGGTTGCAGCTGACGCATGTTCACAAACACAATTGGAACAAAATGCATGTGCTTTTGTGTCAGGATCTTCTAAATTTTAGGGAAATCAAATTTTTGATCAGATCTGTACAGGGTTACTTTAATCAGACGGATTAATCTTGTGGTATCTTTTAAGGGCCATAGTCTGCGCTAACCTCAGCAGAGGTTGGAATTTGTTAGGGAATGGGAGAAACTCTCACCGAGGAAATGTGAATTAGTGTCCAAAAGGAAGTGTGAACCAGTTAACACTAGAGATGGGTATTTTCAAAAATCCTCGATCTGGATCTGGATTTAGGTTAGTAATCTAGACAGGATTCTTGATCTGGATCCAGAAAAAATCCAGGACAATCAAAAATGCCTAGATCTGGCCTCTGAATCCAGGAAAAATCCAGACTGGATCCAGACCAATCTCTAGTTCACACTTCCTTAGACTTAATATCAAAGCAAAGGGCGGATACTTCTCAAATTCCTGATTATAATTTGTTCCCTACTTATTTCCCTATCGTATAAGCTTTATTTTCTCTCAGTATCTAATATCCGCCATAAATTTTTACCTGTAGCGCTAACATGAATATTACAAAAAACAACACGATTAAGTTCAACTTCCTCATAACACACAAGGCACTCAAAAACTTGATTTATAAATTGTCCTCTTTTATCCCTCTCATCCATTTCCTCACAACTAATACCAAAGTGATCGTCCCAGTCTCTTTTACAAATCCGACAAAATTGAGATTCACAAACAATACATTCAAAAACTTTATTTATTTTTGTGTCTACTTCCATTTGAATGGCAAAATCACAGTTTTTACATCTTAAAACAGAAAAAAATGGGATGTTAATTAGTGATCTAGCTGGGTCTGGACTAAGACCTATGTTTTTCTTGTACCCAGAGTCCAGGCCCAGGCATTTTTGACTTTCCTGAGTTTTTCCTGGGCTTGGACTTTGACCTTCCTACAGGCCAAGGATCCGGCCCAGGTCTATAAATCAAACCCGGGAGTCCATGATCAGACCCAGGCTTTAAAAAATCTCGATCACTAATGTTAACGTATTGTTAAATGTGTTACCGTTCCAAATTATCAAGTAATTCAATTCCAACACTTTACTCGAAAATTCTTTCTTCTAATTTATTTTGTATATTTTTTGGAAGAAGTTTGTAAATCTCAGCTTTAAATTTAAACTTTTTTAATTTAAAAATAAAAAATTTCCAAACAATATAAAATAGGATTGTCACAACCGCCCATCGTACAATGCAATCCAATACCTCCCTTAGCTAAAGGAAAACAACTTCCGATGCTTTCTCCAACAGCTGCCGTAGCTTGGCCAAGAATACAAGCGTGACAGAATGGATGGATCTCTAAAAGATTTTAAAAAATACCATTAACTTTTTCTTGTTGTCTTAGGGTATTGTGACTTATATTATGACTGTATATGATATTATGACTTAGGTTTCTTGTTTTTGGACCTATTTGGTCTGTTGAGTTGCTATTCGAAAGAGCTCAGAAAGCATCGATCCGAAATTTAAGAACCGGATTACAGACTTTTAAAAATCGAAAAACCATTGGAGGACCGAGCTCATTTTTAAGACTATGGGGGGTTGGTCGGCATATCTAGGCTGAAAATCACGAAAAGGGATAATCTTATTTCACTTATCAACCGTTCACTCCAGCTAGACTACTAGAAGTCACAATATCCTCAATTTCTAACCCTTTTTTGCCTTCTCTATTTCATAAATTCGTTTACTAGAACAAGGATTATTTTCTAAATTATCACAAGCACTATAATTGCAATAAATCATGTCAATAGGAGGAAATTTGTCAAGGCAAAAAAGACATTCAATTATTTGTTCTTCAGCAGCTGGCTAAAAATTTTTTTAAAAATTTCTTAAAAAATGCTTGCCTTAGGGTCAGAAATTTTAGGCTCTTCAACTTTAAACAGGCCAAAAAACTTGTTCTTTATGACAGAAAAAATAGAAGCCATCTTTAATAAGTAAGAAATAACTCGGAGTTAGAAGAGTCAAGGAAGGGAAAATTGTTTAGAATGATACATGGAAAGGTAGGGGGTATACTTAAAGAAGGACGTGAAGATGATAAAGAATAAATTAGAATATGAGGCAAACTTTGACAGGCACAATTTGAATATATCGAATAAAGGAAGAAATATTTGAACGATTGATTTAGGGGGAAATATGTGAATATAGAAGGGAAATGGAAGGAAAACGGTACTAATCAATTTAAACTTTTGCCCACGAGGCCGGTATTCTTTAAATATCTACAACTCCCTAACAAATAAGAGCGCGCCGTAATAACAAACTTCAAAGACCGCCGAAATACAAAACCAGAATATCGTTTAGAAATTGTTTAGTTGAAGTATTAATAGAGGACATTTGCAGAGTAAACGATTTTGCAGTTTTGTGGTTAAGTGGATAAATCGCTTGAAATAGTGTTGCGGGTTCGAGTCTCTTCACTCATATTTTATATTTTTTAAGCTATAAATATGTATAATAAGGACAATAAATAAATATTTCAAATATTTATGTCAACCTTAAAAATTCAAAAAGTTAAAATTCAAGTTAGAATCAAATAAATTATTTTTAAAGAATTTAAGCCTTCGCCCCTTCCTTTTGACGAATTTCTTTAATTAATTGTTCATCTTTTTTGGTTGTATCTTCATGAAGAAGGCATTTCTTGTTACATTCTTTGCAAGTCGGGTTATTTGGATCACGAAAGTGTCTTTAAAATTAAAAAAAAATTTTTCATAAATTTTTAACTCATTTACTGGCAAAAATGATTGTATTCGATTTCACGTTCTCTACAGATATAGCATTGGGTCATGCCACAACGACAAGTCATTCTGTTACATCCTTTTTCTTTTACGAATTGAACTCCGCATCTTGGACATTTTCGAACGATTGCCTCATTTAATTTCTTTTCACTGAAAATTTAATTTTAAAAAGTCCGCAACTTTTGTCTGCAAAAGTTTTGCGGACAAATTTTTTTGTCCGCAAATATTTGCGGACAAGGCATTCCTAAAAAAACCTACATTTCTCTTTCTTTCTTATCTTTTTTATCCATTTCTTCACACCTTAAGCCAATATGTTCATCATCCCAATCTCTTTCACATATACGGCAGAACTGTGCATTACAAGCAATACAGTCAAAAACTTTATTTATTTTTTTATCCATCTCCAATTCAATTGCAAAATTGCAATTTTTACATCTTAAAATTAAATTTTATACGATCAGTGGTGATTAAAAAAAGTAAAACTATATTTTATCCGTAACCCACAAACCCTAATACAAATTGAAGATCTACTCTTAATTGTCAACGAGTGCTAAAGAGTTTGGAGGGGTATAGGGTATATCACAAAATTTGGAGTGATTAAAAGGGATTAAATGGAATATGGCTTCCAGATTTTCTGAGCCGCTCAATGCTGGCAGATATCGGATAAGATGAGGGATTCCTCTTTTTAGCACCATAGGCGATTTCGAGAATTTTGGGAGGCCAAGAAGCCAGATTTATTAAAAATAATAAACACCTTTCCAAATTAACAAGTAAAGCCATTCCAATGCTTTCCTCAAACATTCTTTCTTCCAATTTATTTTGTATATTTTTTGGAAGAAGTTTATAAATCTCAGCTTTAAATTTTAAAATTTAAAAAATTCAACAAAAATCCAAACAATATAAAATAGGATTGTCACAACCAGTTGCCATACAACGCAATCCAATACCTCCCTTAGCTAAAGGAATTTCTCCTACAGCTGCCGATGCTAAGCCGAGAATACAGTCATGACAGAATGGGTGGATTTCTTAAAAAGATTTTTTTAAAAGAAAATTTGGGAGGGGAAATACGTCCACTAGAAGAAGGCCCATCTTCTTCTACATTATCACAAGCATTCGAATTGCAATAAATAATTTTTTCTTCTTCAAATTTAAATTTATCAGAACAAACAAGACATTCAATTAAAGGTTCGGCTGGCGGCTAAAACGAATTTTTAAAAGATTTTTAAAAATTAAATTAAACTTGCCTTTGAAACACATTTTTTGCGTTTGAAAAATTTAGGTATTAAGTGATCACAAAACCTGTTCATTATAATTGAGAGAACAATTAAAGCCATTTTTCTAATAAATAGTAGGGGTGTCCAAAATATGCAACTGAATAGTTTCTAAAAAAAATTTTATTTTTACGCGGGTCTGAACCTGAGGGGTCAGTCGGAATTCCGATTTCCAAAATTTTAAAAAAATTTCCGATGTCCCCTCGTCATTTCGACCGACCTCTGGTCTGAACACTTTTAGGACCCGGTTCCTAATGCATATATTTGCATATTTCGACCATCTCGAGTATGGTTGTCGGTTCTGGAGGAACCGAAGAACCGAGGATTTTTTGTTTCGGTTCGGTTTCGGATATCTGAAGAATTTCCAGGAATTGACAACCCTACTCTCGAGCATAAATATTTTCATATTGTGTGCATATTGTGGGAAATTTTGCATATTTTGGTGCATATTTTGGGATTTTTCGGTGCATATAGGTATATACGAGCATATTTGCCAATTTTCCGTCATATCCTGGACAACCCTACTAATAAATATTGGAGTTGAAAACTGACTCGATGAAGGAAGAATTTTACATAAATAAGAGATGGAGTTGAGGGAGAATATAGTTGAGAGGCAAAATTTGAAAGGTCAAAGGAGAAATATTTGAAAGATTGATTGAGGGAAGTATTTGGGAGTTTTGTAGGGAGAATTAGGGAATGTTGGGAATATTTAATAAAAATATTTGAATCAATGATAGAAGTAAAGGTGATAATAGTTTGGTTTATACCCCCCCTCCCTAGGGGTCTAAAGACCCCTCTAAAACCCCTCCCCCATTCGAAAGAGCTCTCAGAGCAAAGAATAAGAGATAATAATAGCCTTCGAGTAATCATTTGATTCTCCTTCTTAAGAATTAAAATCGTTTGGAAATGCTTAAGTCTACAATTGAACGTGACTAATCGCCAAAGGAAAATAAAATTAAAATTCAGTAGGGAAGTCTGTCCATTATAACATCAATTTTCTTTGAGTCCACCCCAGAGTATCGACACCCAAAGTATCGACACCCAGAGTATCGACACCCAAAGTATCGAATGACCCAAAGTATCGAATTTTTTAAACTTCATAATTAAGTATTCCAAGGACGGGGAAGTCTTTTTAACACAGGGAAATTGTTCCAACAATGGATCAAACATCAATCATGATCAATATGTCCAATCAAAGAAGAGTGATCGATCTCCAAGTAGATTCTTGTTCGGTCGCTATGCTCAGTTCGATCGAAAACAATTCCCCGATGTTAGAACATCATGCCCGATCATTGGAATGCTTAATTATGAAATTTAAAAAATTCGATACTCTGGGTGTCGATACTTTGGGTGTCGATACTCTGGGGTGATCCCTTTTCTTTTACCTAAACAATAGAAAACTTTTTAAAACCTCTGCTCCTTTGTTTAGTTACTTAAAATGGTAGTTTGTAGGTTATTTAAACTTTTTATTAACTTTTTCTTTCCTTTACATTCTCTCATTAATTTGATGATATTTAAATGATTAAAAATTACCTGTATTTCCTTAAATTTTTTTTCTTTAGTCCTTTTTAACAGAAAAATACTACCAATTTCCTATAATATTCCCCACAAGTAAAATCAAACAAAAATTATAGATCAAAAAAAAAATTTAAAGTAAAATGTCTACAACAAACTTATCAAAACAATTTTTATTAAACCAATACAAATCTTTTTTAAATTTTTTGGCTATTTGCTCCAGCATTGACTTGCTAACTTCTGAATTTAAATTTTTCAAGGTGGACATTCTTTAATTAATAGGCAGACCTTACTTGTAAGCAACACCACTATCGAGAGTCTATCCTTAGGGGTATCGGTTAGATAACTATCTCCCCCTCCCCTGGTAATAGTTTGGAAGTCGCCCCCTTTTTTCCCGTTTCCCTAACCATTTTGGGCTTTTATTGTTTGATTAATTTATTATACATATATCATTCGAAGGGGCTCTTCGAGCTTGATCGAATGATACCAAGATTGGCTAGATCTGATGATTCTTACCAAAATTATGAAGCTAAATCCTTGTTGGGCTAAATCCTTCTCCTTCCCTCACATTTCTCTTTCCACACCCTTTTCTATGGCCAACAAAACTTAAAAACGAATTTTAAAATAATTTTGTGAGTATTTACAAATAAGGTCTGACCCTAAAATTCTACTAATCTAACAATAATCTCTTTCTATTTCAGATTGGACTTTTTCTTCTCAAATGGTCACTAATCGTTCTTTTTTGCTTTCTATACATTTTGTTCATTTTCTCTTTCATTTTAACATATCTACTTCTTAAAATTACAGTTTATTTTGTTAAGGCAAGTTTGAGGGGTTTTTTAAAAAAATTTTTCTAAAATAAATTCTTTTTAGCCACCAGAAGAACCTTTAATTGAATGTCTTGTTTGTTTTGACAAATTTCCTTTAAATGATATTATTTATTGCAATAATACTTGTGATAATTTAGAAAATAGGCCTTGGTTTAGTTTGTTTATTTATCAAGCTAAAAATGGTTTGAAACAAAGAAATCTTGTCCTACACAAGGGAGAGCATGCTAGTCTTTCGCAGAGCCATATCTGACCATAGGAAAATCCTAACAGGTCAAACTTTGGTACCTCCAGATGCAACTCAGTGATACTTCTAGTCATTCCAAAGATGACTCGATTCGACTTTCTTAGACTTCGCTTTCACAGAGCCATAACTGACCGTAGGAATGTCAGCAGGCCAAACTTGGTATCATCTAATGAAGCTTAAAGAGATGTTTCTAGTCTTGACAAAAATGTCTCGATTCGACTAGCTTAGACGTAGCTTTGAGCCTTGAAGTAGACTGGACTGGGGTATTTTGGAGTGAGAACAAGAAATTAAGTTTTGGGCTAAATTGAAGATGTTTGACAATTTAGTTTTAATTATCTAGAAAAGTGACTGGCTGGCTCTCTCAAAAATTTTTTGTTTTAATCTAAAAATCTTTTTAAGAAATCCACCCATTCTGTCATGACTGTATTCTCGGCTTAGCATCGGCAGCTGTTGGAGAAATTCCTTTAGCTAAGGGAGGTATTGGATTGCGTTGTATGATGACTGGGTGTGACAATCCTATTTTATATTGTTTGGAATTTTGTTGAATTTTTTTTTAATTTAAAATTTAAAGCTGAGATTTATAAACTTCTTCCCAAAAATATACAAAATAAATTAGAAGAAAGAATGTTTGAGGAAAATATTGGAATGGCTTTACTCGTTAATTTGGAAAGGTGCTTTTATTTTATTAAACTAATTTGTGCTGATACTTTTCCTTGTCGATTGTTATAGGCCCCAGGAATCCCAAACCCGAACGAGTGGGTTCTAAACTTTTGTCATGGCTCTGGCCTCAAAAATAGACCATAAACCACATCGATTCAAACCCGGAAATGGCCATTCTTGAGAAGAATAAAATCGTGTAAATAGGCTATCCACCAACTTGTCACCTTGTAAAATCAGAATCTAACTATATTTTTAATTTTTAAGATGTAAGAATTGTAATTTTGCCATTGAATTGGAAATGGATAAAAATACAAATAAAGTTTTTGACTGTATTGTTTGCAATGCACAATTTTGCCGCATATGTGAAAGAGATTGGGATGATGAACATATTGGTTTAAGTTGTGAAGAAATGGATAAAAAAGATAAAAGAGACAAAAAGGAAAGAGAAATGTGGGTTTTTTAAAGAATGGTCCTTGTCCGCAAAATATTTGCGGATAATCCGCAAATATTTGCGGACAAAAGTTGCGGACATTTTAAAATTGAATTTTAAGTGAGAAGAAATTAAATGAAGCTATCGTTCGAAAATGTCCAAAATGTGGAATTGCTTTCATTAAAAGGGATGGATGTAACAAGATGACCTGCCGATGTGGCATGACACAATGCTATATTTGTAGAGCAACAGACATTCAATACGAACATTTTTGCCAGTAAATTGTTAAAGTTAAAAAATATTTTTTCCTTTTAAAGACATTTTCGTGATCCAAATAACCCAAATTGTAATCGTTGTAACAAGAAATGTTTTCTTCACGAAGATGCAAACAAAAAGGATGAACAATTAATTAAGGAAATTCGTGAGAGTGAAGAGGCGGAGGATTAAACTTGTAAATAATAGGGCTATGCTCTAATTTGTTGTATAAATTGACAAAAATTGTCCTAACAATTCTATAACCTTTTTAAATGTTTTTTTTTTAATTTCTGTAAATAAAGACAATCATTATTAAAATATTTTAGTATTAGATAATGAAATATTTTTGAGTCTTGCGACAAAAAATATCATCGGGCATGAGTTAAATGTTATTTTTGGTTGTGAGAAACAACAAGTCATAAACCGGAAAAAATTTCAGCGAAAGCTTTCAGAAACAAGGGAAGATAAAACTTAATTTGCAAGTTACGAAGGTTTATACCCTCCCAAATTTAAATTAACCAGAATGTAGCAATTTTGGCCTGATTTGACTAAATCTCAAAACCCTCATCTTTTCACTTTTTGTTCAAATATCCAATAAAAAACACGAACAAAAATATATACGCAAAAGAAAAGAAGATATATATTCATGAATTCAATTTAAATTTTTGAATATTTTTATTGAGAAGCGCATCTAACAGCCTGTGCCCCACCACCACCTCCACCATTACGCATTTCCTGTCTTTCTTGTGCCTGCAAAATTTCACGCAAATTGATGCCTACCGGAACCAAATTAATTTCTTCTGTCACATTTGTTATCATAGGCTCTTCTGGAATTTCATCTCCATCAGGCAACAATTTCCGAAGCTGTTCAACACTTTTAAATGGCAAACGATCAGGAAAGTCGACTTCAAATTGAATTAGTAAATCGCCTTTTTGATCGTGACGAAAAACTGGCATTCCTTCTCCATGCACAACACGCAAATCGTGATGATGAATTACTTCACCTGAATAAAAAATTTTTTTTAGGATTTATTTATATTATAATGAGAAGGTTTCTAATTCCTTTTTGGGTCAAAAAAGACGATAAAAAAGTTTAAAAAAAGAACCTGGCAATTGAGTGAACACCAATAACCGCTTGTCAAGTGTTTCAATACGCCGAGTAAACCCGCAAAGAGCTTCAGTCAAAGTAATTTTCATATTCAAAACCAAATTAGATCCTTTCCTAGTGAAGGTAGGATGCTTAAAAAAGAAATTAAAATTTATATTATTTTTTACAAGTTTACCGATTCCTCATCCAAGACGATAATGACGTTACCAGGCTGAAATTTTAGGTTTAAAATAAAATTTAATTTATACAACCTCAAGTCCAATCTGTTGGTCTCCTTTTTCATTAAACACCAACTTCTGGCCGTCTCGCATACCCTTCTCAATATGAACTTCAATAGTCTCATCAGAACGAATCTAAAAATTAAAAAAGATCATAAAAACTTAAATTTAAAATTACCCTCTTTTTTCCTTTGCAATTTTTACAAGGGTCCTTATTAACTTCACCCTCTCCTCCACACTGTGAGCAGTTACGCTGAATCCGTTGAATCATTCCAGGTCCAATTTGTTGATTAAAAACTTCAACTCCTCGGCCTCCACAAGTTTGGCATTTACTAACTGCTCCCTTTGCACCACCCACACCTTCACATTTTGGACAGATAATATGTCTAAAAAATAAATAAAATAATTTAGAATTGAATAAAAACCTATTAATTTTTAAATGCTTGGTACAACCATTATAAAGCTTTTCCAAATTGACTTTCAACTCATGGACAGTATCTCGAGCCTTTGTCGGTTTTTCACTTCGAAAGCCTGAATAAATAATTATAAACACGAAGCCCCTCAATGAAAGAAAAAGCTTTTGGGCTATCAAGTATGAAGCAGAAGAGTAAAGTATCTTAATAAATTTTTCAAACCTCCACCACCAAAGAACATCTCGAAAATGTCCATGGGATTGTGCATACCACCACCATCTCCACCTCCTTTAATTCCATCCTCTCCATATTCGTCGTAAACTTGACGCTTCTTTGGGTCACTGAGCACTTCATAGGCCTAAAATTAAAAATAATAAACGTCGAAAACGAGAACAAAACCTGTGAAATAAGCTTGAAGCGTTCACCTTCATCGGGATTTTTGTCAGGGTGATATTTAAGACTGAAATGTTAGATTATAAATTCAAAAAAAAATAAAATGCCAGATTTCTGTCCTTAATTTGTGTTTACATTTTATTTTATTTAAAAATAGCGAACGAAGACACATTTCAGAACTTTTAAAAGTTTGGTTTCGAAGGGTTTCAATTCAGAAAATTCCCAGAAAATCCACAAAAAAACAAACAAACTTTAGGAAATTTTTGAAAAAAAGCCCTAATAACCCTATTTTCCCTCGTAATTTAAAAAATAGACTTACGCCAATTTCCGATAAGCTTTTTTCAATTCATGTTCAGTTGCACCAGGCTTAACTTCGAGAATGTCGTAATACTTTGTATCTTTAACCATTTTATACAGATCAAAAATATAATTTTATAACCAAAAAGATCTTTAATTTGAAAGATTGATGACTATAAAAACTAAAAAACGAGAAAAAAAATTAAAAGAAAAATAATTTAATTTAAGAAGAAAAAAACGTTGTTGGGCAACACAAAAAAGAAAAATTAAGAAAGTGCTGAAAAGAAAAAATTAAAGAAAATACAAACGATTTTGTATTTTGTGTCTAGAGAACATTCAGGAAGGAAAGAAATTTGTAAAATTAAATTGGTAAAATTTTAAAAGGGTAAGTAGAAGAAAAGTTGACATTTAGGTCAATTAAAAATTTAAGCTTTTCAAAGTGTCGACTTTTAAAAAGTGGAAATAATTCAAAATACCAACTTATTAAAAATAATACGAAATATCTAAAAATATTTTTGCAAAATTTTAAAGTGCATCATTGTTCCTTCTTCATGCTTGAAGTGTTATTTATAGTACTTGATATATATTTTAGTCTTTCTTTCCCTAGGGAGGTTAATGCCCGGTGTAAAGTTATTAAATAATTGATGGGCTTGGTTTTCCAAAATCATTAAAGTATTTAGTTTGGTTTTTATTTTCTGCAAAATTTTCTTCGTTTTCTCTTGAGTCATAATAATTTATCGAATGCGACTTAACGTTCTTTTTGTGTTTTCTTTTCTTTGAACTTTTAGGCTTTCCATCTGCTGCCTTATTTTATTTTACTTTTTTTTGTTGCAATGAATGGACAGCCTGATATTATACAAAATCCACAACCGCCAAATTATCATGCAATACACAAATCTGTGGTAATTAACTTTGTCTTTTTCCAAAATTCAAAATATTCTTTAGATTGATATGTTTCCTGATTTGGACTTGACAAAAGTTCTCTCAGATTTTGGGCATCTAGGTTCGGAGCAACTTGCAGACATTATTCTCAACACAGTTAAGAACATTCCAAAGAAACGGCGAGCTTCGGTATTTTAGTTTAAATGTTGTGTGGATGAATAACTTAATTTTAGAAACGGAAAGCGTCGGATGTCGGTCTTGAAGCTGAAGGTGGTCCTCCAAGTGTTGGGTCTGAACAGTTAGTTGTTGTTTTTGGCTTTTTACTTTAATATTTAATTTTCAAGGTCTTTCACTTCGGAAAATTCAAATACAATCGGGAGGTTATTGATTGACAAAATGTTATGGGATATGTATCAAGTATTGGTGTCTGAATTGAACAAAAGCAAAGAATTGTCTAAAGATGGAGTCAAGTTTAATTTTTTGAAGACTGCTCTGGTTCTTTTTTGATTTTTGACTTTAACTTTTTTTAAATTCCAGGCTGATCGCTTCCCAACTATTAGGCTTGAATTCATTAGCAAAATGCTTTCAATCTTCAATGGAGCTGTATTTCCTGTTGCAATTTCCTGCTTCTTTCTTGAAAATAACTTTACCGACAAGCTGCGTCGATGTAAGATTTCTCTTTGTTTTTTTATTTTTTTCCCTTTTCAGTTCTTCCTTCCAAGTTTATCACCGCAAATTTTTGGCTTACTGCGACTGCACCTTTACTTAAAAAACGGGCCAAGAAAACTTGCGTGAATGTTACTGATGATTTTGTTAAACAATTCAAATTGTATACTGATCTCTTGGCAGGTTACCGCGATGGGGAATATGGTGCTCTGTTAACTCCAGAATTAAAACTTTCCAATGTATGCAACATGTTTTAGAGCTTGCTTTATTTTTCTGTTTTAGCAGTACGATCAAGTTGAATGGGTACGTCCACCAGAAGAAGAACGTATAGAATGTCTTGTTTGTTTTGACATGGTCCCATTTAACCGCATCATTTTCTGCAACGTTCCAGCTACCTCAGCTCGCGATTTTCTAGCTTCTCAGTTGGCGGCTTTTGACGAACCTGGTCCTAGCAGGGTAATCTATGAGGAGCTCAAAGAAAACGGTAAAGGTTAATTATATATTTGCGAAGTAGCAGTGAAATGTTCGGGACATCCCTTATCTGTACGGATTTATGGTCTTTAATTGTTCTTCTAAAACGAATTTTTATCCCCAAGTACTGTTTGCGAGTTATTTTGCCGTCACAGTCTTTTTTAATCAGCATTTGCGGCCTTATTCACTTGTTCTTTCTTTTAGAAAAGTCTGAATCTCAAGTCCATGCTTTCTGTCGGACATGTGTTCGTGGATCAGCTTCAGCGGCGGTTGGCGAAATTCCTATGGCCAAAGGTGGAGTTGGACTGCGTTGTATGGTGCCTGATTGCGAAAATCCAATTCTTTACTGTAAATAATATTATCTTTAAAAATTCTAAATTTCATTCTTTTGCAGCTGAAATTCGTGTGCTTCTTTCAAAGGAAGTACAAAAGAAATTGGACGAAAGAATTGTTGAGGAGAATCTTGGAATGGCTTCTCTTACTAATTTGGAACGGTTTTCTTTTAAATTTTTATTCAGTTAATTTTTTGTTTTTCTTAAAGTTGTAAGAAATGTAATTTTGCTATTGACATGGAAGTTGACAAGACTGTCAACAAAGTTTTTGATTGTATAGCTTGTGAGTATAAAATGTGTCGTCTTTGTGAACGTGATTGGGACGACGAACATTTTGGTTATAGTTGTGAGGAGCTTGATGCAAAGAATAAAAAGGAGAAGCGGGACAGAGCACTGTTTGTTTAATTTTTTTAGAAATTTTTATGAAGAAAAATTTTCATTTTATAGTGAAAAACAATTGAACGAAGCACTCATTCGCAAATGTCCAAGGTGTGCTGTTCAATTTGTCAAAGAAGCTGGTTGTAATAAAATGACTTGTCGCTGTGGAATGACTCAATGTTATTTATGCAGAGAGTCTGGTATTAGTTATGATCATTTTTGCCAGTAAGTTTTGATTTTTATTTATGTTATTTTTACTGTTTTTAAAAAAGACATGTCCGTGATCCGAATAGACCGTGGAATGAAATTTGCAAAACTTGCAAGAAGAAGTGCCTTCTCCATGAAGATCCAAAAAAGAGAGATGAACAATTACTTAAAGAAATTCGTGAAAAAGGAGTTGTTGATTCACCAGTAGCTGTAACAAATACTGATAGTGTACAAATTGTTCGTGTACAACCTCCTCAGCAACAACTTCCTGCTCTTCCGCCATTTGTTCCTCCACGTCTACCATGGCAAAATCAGCCGGTTGATCCACGTCTACCATTAGGAAATCAACAACGTGGTGGGACACCAGTTCCTCCTCCACCAGTTCATGAAAGGTGCCAAATTGCAAATTGAGAGTTAGCCAAACTTTTGTTGTTTTGAATAAAAAAATTAACAATTTGAGGACGATACGGGAAAAAATAATTTAAAAAAAATTGACTCTCACTATCCTTTAAAAAAACTTAATATATTTTTTTCTATTTATTTTGATGATTGTTTTTCATGTTGGGGAAATTTTTGAGATTAAATAATGTAAATTTCTGATTTGGATATAAACACATCTGTTTGCTAACTAGCAGTTTATTTTTTTAATTTTATAATTAATTGGATTAATATAATGGTTTGAGAATGGTTTAATTTATCTGAGCATTGATTTTAGTCTAAAAATATTGATATTTTTCAGTATTAATTTGTAAGCTCTTCAAAAGCCTAACAAGGGAACCTTCCGGAACTTTGTGTCAAAACTTTGTATTTTTTTTTGTTACTAATCGTTAGAGCATCATTGATCTACTATAGAAATAACTTGAGCTCCATAACTTTTTAGTTTCTTATTCCTAGCTAAAAAGGGTAAATGGGTGATGCTTTATCGATTGGTACCAAAAAAGTGCAAAGTTTTAACACAATTGGGGAGGTTTTAAGAACTAAATAGAATTTTTTGTTTAATAATTTTCTCATTCTTAAACCATTATTTTCTATTTTTCTAGGAATTTGGACTTTATCCGAGCTCGAGTTGCTCAAATTCGAGAAAATCTTGAAGGAGGATACAACCAAAATCTGGAAAGATATCAACAGGAGAGGGATCAGGATTTTGAGAGAATTCGTCAAAGGGAGGAGTTTATCAGAATTCGTCAAAATTATCTTGAAGAACTTCGTAATGGTGGCTTTTTAAATTATTTTTACTCAATTTAAAATTTAATTTTTAGATAGAAATCGTTGGAATAATCAACAGCAGTGGAATAATAATAATCAACAGCATCGTTAGTTTTTTTTTTATTTTTGCAGGTTTAATTTTGATTTTAGAACCTATTCAGCCTGTTCAATTTGTGAATGGTGGGTTCCAGATGCCTCCGCAGCCGAACAATTTCGCTGCTAATCCTAATCGATTTGAGGTTTTTTTTCTTTAATTTTTCTTTTTTTTAAATTGTTCTTTAGGCGGATGGTGCTTTTGTGCCTCCACAACAACCACGATTCCAGCAACAGCAATATATTCCACAACAACCACTACCACCTCCGGCTTTTCAGCATCAGCAATTTCAAGTAAAAAAGTTAAATGTTGTATTTATATAAATATTTTTTTAGCCTCATGCTCACATGCCGCCACAACAAATACAACAGCAACAACAACAGCGACCATTAATAAATGATTGGATGGAACATTATTTAGGAGGGGATGGTTTTGTTAATTTTGCTGATTTTCATGACGTGGTTATTTTTTATTTTAAAATTTTTTTTCAAAAAAATATTTTTAAGCCTCAGCCTCAACAAAATCAACAGCAACCGCCTATCCATCAAATTCCACCGCCGCCAGCGCCAGCTGCTATTCCTCTTCCTCCATACCCACAACAGCTTCCACCGCCGCCAGCGCAAGATATTCCACTTCCACCATATCCACCACCACCACAACAGGATCAATTAGGTGACAATTTTGTTGGTCCTCCTAATCTTGGTGGCAATAATAATAATGTAGAGAATGCCTTTCAGGGATTTAATAATAATTATAATGTTGTTGGTGCTCCTCAAAATAATCTTCTTCTTGGTGCTCCAAATATGCCAATCCACATTGATTGAGAGAACAATACCAGTGCTATTTTTTTAATCCAGGAATTTTTTTAAATTTATTTTCTTAACAAAAACGAAAATATTATCTCCATTGCTTTCATTTCTTAAAATCTTGTTTAATATCAGAGTTTTGTTGCATTTCATTACACACCTACTCTAAAATTATTTGATTTTACTTAAAAAATATATAAAATGCATTATCCAATTATTCTAAATAGTTTTGACATTTTTATTGGGCTTTGACAATGAATTGATGACCATTTCAAATTATCTGGAAATTGGGTCCAAAGCAAACTGAGTTAGGGGACCATTAGGCATCTTCAAATACCAGCAAAAGTAAATTCAACGCCTTTATGGTTTCCTATGGGGATGCATGTCCTCAGAGCTTTTATGATTAAGGATTAAGAGAATAGGGTTTTCAGTTTCAAACAATACCGAAAATTTCGGTTTGGGTTTTTGGTCTCGGTTAACTTAAGAATTTTGTGAAACCGACAACCCTACTTAAGACAAATTGTTTTTAAAATTTTTTAAAAATTATTTTGGGATCTAAAGATTCATTTTGCTCACAATCAATAAAAATGTTAAACTTTCAAAATTATTCTCCTTATATTATAAAATTGCTTTCTCCTGTTTCTATATACTTAAAATATGTTTTCTTATATAAATTCAAATGAAGTTAAAAATAATTTAAAGATTTTGTTTATAAAAATAGTTTATTGTAACTTTAAATATTTGATTTTAATTTAAAAATTTATTTTTAATTTTCTTTAGTTTTTTTAGTTATAGACAACTTTTATTATGAAAAACAAACGTAGAGGAAGACCTGCAACATCAGCGGTTACTAGAAAATCACCAAGAAAGGAAGCAGCAACGACTGAAAGGCCGAGAAGATCTGGTAGAAATAGTAGTTCTGTTGAAAGTGTTAATCAGGTATTTTTAATTAAATAGGGGGCCTCTGTGGATGTTAACGTCTGGCTGGTTTATACTAATGCTATCTCTTATTGGTCCTTCTAAATTTTTAGAAATACTGGTCAATGAATTAATATTTTGAAAACTCTAAAATGTTGGGATAATAGGGAAATATGTAGGGCGGTAAGATGAGTGATAGAGGAATCAAATAAAAATTGCAATAGGGAAAAATATATGTTTGTGTGGCAAGGTTGGTGTGGTAATTCGAGGGAATTGTTTGAATATTATGGAAAATGGGCCAAAATATGTAAAAACATAAAATGTTGGAAGACATCATTGACCGCTTTTGCAAACAAATTAAAAAATTTTTTCTAGCCTAATAATGGTCGTTGGGAATTTCGTCCACGTACTTCACATGGTTCAGGCCAAGGGACCAGCCATTCAGCAATGTCAAGAACTATAGAAATGGAAGCTTCTAGTGATGAAAATGATGAAGATTTTTCTCTTTCTTTGGAAACTTTGGTTTATTTTAATTTAAATTTTTTTTTAATTTTTATTTTTAGAAAAGCCTTTTTAATGATCAAATAATTGACGAAATTCAAAAGTTGTCACCTGGTGCTCGTCTAATGGCGATGGCTAATTATATCATTGAAAATCCTGGCCAATTCAGAGCTAAGCCTAAAAAGGTTTTTTAATTTGAACTTTTTTTGAATTTTAATATTTTTTAGAAAGTTACAATTCCTGATGATGAGTTAGAGCCTACTTTTGCTTCAATTGATAGTGCCTTGTCTAGGTAATTTGGCTTTTTAGTTTATTTTTTTCCTGCTTTAAAATTTTAACCATATTTTTGGGTTTATTAATGTTTTTCATTGGGTAAACTCCAAGGGCCTGGAGCTAGTCTGATCCTGTTCCCTCCGAATTTTTTTGCCCTATCCCGGCATGCTGGCAACTTTTGGCTTGCTATGTTGCATTTTCTATATTCCATATCTTCTTCAATTTTTTCAGAGATGCTAATTTTCACCCAAAATTGTTTGATGCATTTTTTCAAGACTTCCGTGACCATTATACTCTACATTTTTCAAGAAGTCATTCTGCTACTTACGATAAAGAAGTGTGCAATCGTTTATTACATCAACATTTTCCTTCGGTTTTTTTAAATTTTTAATCAAAAAATTTTTTAAATTTTAGTGTCGGACACCTTTAATTGAATTTTTGGTGGATGAATTCTCTGGAAGATATTCAACTGCCGCTTGGATTTGTTTTTTTGTTGAGAGCAATTTGGGATACATGGTTCGAAATTGTAAGTGTGGAAGAATATTTTTGAGTTTAAGTTAGGAAATTTGTTGGTCTGGTTTTTTCTTGTTTTGAAAAAAATTTTAGGCGATCAGATTAAAGCCAGAATAAAATAAGTAAAATGCAAAATAAAACCAGAACACAGAATAAAACTAGAATAATATCAGAACATAACCCAGAATAACTCCTGAAAATAACTCCTGAAAACGCTAGAATAAAATTGGAACTAAACCATATATAATCACAATAGCCATTTAAACAGTCAAATAAAAATTGTCAAAAAAGCCCTACTAAACATTTCTAATTTTTTTTAATTTTAGTTTTTCTTCTTCTTGAAATGCGTAGTTGGTCAATTATGAGCAAACCTTTGCCTTTACCACGTAAACGTCGTAATAATTGGATTCCAAATCCAACTGAAGGTTCTTTGGCTGATTCAATTAAAGAATTTACTAAAGTTTTGAAACGTTTCCGTAATGATTATAAACAATTATTTTGTGAAAATGAAGATCGTCTTTTGCCTGTAAGTTCATTTTTTTTCTAAATTAAAAAAATTTTAAATTAAATTTAGAATGTTGAACAAATTGAAAATTTGGAAAATATTGAGAAATTTGAATGTTTGGTTTGCACTGGAGAATTTGCAATTGATAGGGCAATTGGTTGCAATTATCATCCTATTGGTCAACGCAAAAATATTGAAATTGGTGATCTGGTTATACCTTGGGATAAAGAGAAAGGTTTTTTGATTAATTTTTAAAATAATTTAAGAAATAATTTTTTTAGTTAATTTTGTTGACAATACACAAACTGAAAAACACCTTTTTTGTGTTGAATGTTTAATTGGGCATGCTAAGGCAGCGACGCAAGAAATGCCGTTAGCGAAAGGAGGTGTTGGACTGCAATGTATGGCATCAAATTGCCCTAATGCTATTTTATTTTGTTTGTTTTTTAATTTTAAAATATTAAAATGAAATATCAAAATAGCTTAAATTAAAATACTTTCAAGTTTTTTCTATGATTTGGGTTGTTTTGGCTTCTGGACTTTTTTCCGGTACCTAGATAATGCTGTTTTTTCAAATTTAACATTTTTGATTAATTCGTCCAAAGATTTCTGAGTTTTTTTTTAGCAAATGTTTTCTAGTTATAATGGATGGCAAGGCCAAGACCCCTTTTTTTAGAAACTCCTCTTTTAATCTTAAAATTCGATTTTAATTTTCAATTTCCAGCCGAATGCCGTTTTTATATTCCACCGAATATCCGTCGTCATTTAAATGCTAGAATACTCGAAGAGAATCTTGGTGCTGCAAATTTGGAGAATTTAGAACGGTAAATATTTGAAAAAATAAAGAAAAAAACTTTTATTTCTTTAGTTGTACTCAATGCAATTTTTCAATGATCATCGACATTCCATATCAACAATTGCGAGTTTTTTCGTGCCAAAAATGTAAGGCGCAACACTGCCGAAAGTGCAAACATGCTTGGGATGATATTCATTTTGGGAGGAACTGTGAAGATTTACTTAATGTGGCTGAGGAACGAAAACATAATTTGTTGGTTTTTATTTTAAATTTAATTTTGGGGAAAAAATTTATTGGTTTCCATAAATTATTAACTTCAAACTTTTCCCCACGCTGTGCTTATTTATTTAGAAGTCGCTTTGTTTGTTGCGACACGAAATAATATTTAAAATAGGGAGAGATAAAATCGCTCACGTGCTTATCTTTTTTCGCAAGACACGGTTCGATTTTAAGAATGCTATTAATTAACATTAAAGCATGGTAAAGGGGATTATGCTTTAGAGAACTTGTCTACGAGTTTTCTAGGTTGTGAAAGCTTTTTAAATATCTAAAAAAATTTTTGCTTAATTTCTAATTTTTATTTTTCCTAGTGAGAATCGTTTAAGTGAAGCCATTATTCGTCGTTGTTATAGATGCTCAGTTCCTTTTGTTAAATTGGCAGGATGTAACCAAATGAGTTGTCGTTGTGGTGCTGTTCAGGTTTTTTTTTAATTCTTTTAATTAAAAATTTTTCTTTAATTTGTTTAGTGTTATTTATGTCGAGCAAAGGATATTAATTACAGCCATTTTTGCCAGTAGGAACTTTAAATAAAAATTTTATTTAATTAATTTTTAGGCATTTTCGAAATCCCAAACTTACTGGGTGTAGCCAATGTAAAAAAACGTGTCTTTTGTGGCACCCTGAAGATTATGTTGATTCAATTGCTTTAAATGAATTGAGGAAAGAGGCTGAAGAGGAAGGAGTTGAATTGGTAGGGGGATTTTTGAGTTAAAAAATTTCTTTTAATTAAAAATTTTTCTTTAATTTGTTTAGTGTTTAAAAAAATTTCGTTTAAGTGAAGCCATTATTCGTCGTTGTTATAGATGCTCGTCGTTGTTATAGATGCTTACTGGGTGTAGCCAATGTAAAAAAACGTGTCTTTTGTGGCACGTTTTAATTTTTCTAGTTAAATTTTTTTTTCAAAAAAATTTTTTCTCAAAAAAATTTTTTTCGAAATTTTTTTTAATGGAAATGAGATTTTCTTGAAAAATTTTTAAAATAATTTTTCTAGTTAAATTTTTTTAAATAATTTTTATTCTTTCAGTAAAATTTTGCTATATGAATTTTGTTGACTTTGGTATTTGGCAATTAAAAAAGCATGGAAATTATTTTTGTTAAATTTATTATTTCGAGAGCTTTATTCATTAATTTATTGATTGGATTTTTAAAACAATTGTATTTTTTCTTTTTTAAATTTTAATCTTCAGAAAATTAATTTATTTGTTGACAGTTGAACCTCGGTTATTAGATACTCCCAAAGAATTTTTTTTTGTTAGTTAATAGGTAGGTAAGCTATCCAGGTAATCCCCTCTCAATTTAGATATATCTCGTTATATTTTTTGCCTCAAGGTAGGGGGGGGGTATCAAATAGAGGTTTGACTGTAATTTAAGTATATCTGGACAACATTCACTGCCTTTTAAATTTTATTTTTTAACAGAGAAATGGTGTTAAAATTTATTGCCCCGTTGATTTTACACATTTTTTACAAAATAAAAATTTGAAAAATTATTTAAAAATTATATTTTTAATTAATTCAATAGTTCTGTCATCATTTAAAATCCCCATATGGTCAGCCCCATCCAAAACCGTTATATTTACTTGATAACCAGAATTATTGTCAGAACTCCATTGTTTACAAACACTTAGGGAACGTAAATTAACTGTTCCGTCACCATTTCCATAACTGAAGAAATTGGAAAAGAAAGTTTTTGAAAAAAATTCTAATAGACGCCCATAACTATTTCTCTAGAGGCTTCTTTTTTTATTAAATCATTTTTATAGGACTTGATATTTACTGGGAAAAAATCTTGAGATTTTTTAGTACACAAATTAGGTTGGTCGCGCTCAGCTAAGTTGGCCGGCTCTCCGTAGTCTCGACTATTAGTTGCCCGCGCTCAGTTAGCAGTTCTAGTTGGTAGAACTTCCCTGACCCTAACCGTCATTCTTTATCTGCCAACTCTGTCCTTGGAAAAATTTTTTGATTGCGAGTGGGATTGCTTTTTCATTCCATTAAGAATACTATAAAAAGGCAAGGTTGATAGTAATTAACAATCAACTTGCTCTTCTTACTCTCCGTTCTCCACCTCAGTTTCAATTATACGTCTTTGATGTTGCCGGCGTTCATTTTTATGTCTTGGATTGGTATCCTGCTGCTCGCTTCTGTGGCCGTTTTTGTGCCTTGTGCCAAGAAGAAGGTGTGTTTTTTTTATTATTCTTTAACTGTCCTTTAACTAATAGTAATTTTCTTTTTAATTTCAGAAGAACCCCAAACTCAAATCTTCACAAAGGAGTAAGATGCAGTACACCTCAAAGATGGATTCAAAGATGGGAGGAGCATCAAGGAAGATAGACTCGCCTCATTCTGTTATGACTTCTGTCAAGACTGCTGCCCCTCGTTCTCCGGGAAAATCCAAAAAGCAGAAGGACCTCAACAGCACCGGGACTGTCAGGCACAAGCTTACAAAACTGGAGCCGGATTTGGGTTCACGCAGCGACACGGACGAATCAGATGTTAGATCGAGGGAGACTGGACAGCGGACACGTGAAAGGGACGCTTTTGAAGAGACGGGGACACTTGAATTGCAGGAGAGGCTCAGACGGGAGGTGGAAGGCACAAAAACGGTGAGGGCTTTTTGTGCTTAATTCCCAATATTTTTAAAAAATTTTTTCAATCTTTTTTCAGACAAAGCTTCCCGGTCCTCCTCGTACACAAATAACGCCGACCAAATCCCAAACAGTGACGACATCAGTTATGGGGAAAACTGCCACGTCCACCACAACCATGGGAAAGACTGCCACGTCCACAACAACTATGGGGGAAACTGCCATGTCCAAAACAACAAGATCGGCCTCTCTACAAGGTTCAACAGTGCTCGAAGAAAGAAAGCCGGTCCAAGTCAACAGAGCCGCGGGTGTTCGATCAAAGACAATTTCGCAGATCGGAACAGGACAAGAACAAAGTCAACAAGATGAAAATGAAGTCAGAAATAATAGAGGAGGTGGAAAATCTAAGGATAAAACAGGAGAGGTGACAGAAGAAGAAGGGACGACGACGACGACAGTTTTTGGCAAAATGAAAAAAACGATCCAGAAATTGAAAAAGCCATAGCAGGAAAAAGCGAAGAGTTTGATGTCATTGAATGAGAAGGAAGAAGATAAATAAATTGATATGTTTGATGTTGATAAAATAATTATTAATTAATGTATATTTTCTTTTGTGTTTGTTTTTGTGTGTGTATATTTTTGGATTTGGCTTTGTTTGTTGGGAATAAAATTTGTGAGATTAGAATTGTGTTGGGAGTTTGTTTTTAAACGAAAATAGGTTTTTAAGCTGCTTTTTTGTTGTTTTCTTGAAAGTTTCATTTTGTACTTTAAAAACTGGTTGGTTGATTCTCCCTAGAAAGGAGATTTCTTTCTTTTTTCTCCTTCTCCTTAGCCCCCTTAGAAAACCTTTATAATGGCAGCGCCACGGGGATAGAGAATTTTCAAAACGAAAAGTCTAATTCCCCTTCAATTTCAGTGGCGAGGTTACTAGGGTTGTATTTGGATCATATTTCGATTTTTGATGGTAGATTCTGTTGTTCGGCCACCCTTCTCATCTCGTGCCATTTTGTTTTGGATGACATTTTATACAAATAAACTTTTCTAATAAACGCCCATGTCAGGGAAAAAATTTTCTCTGGCCTTTGCCTCAATTTTTGCCCTTGCTAATAAATTTTAAAAATAAATATCATTTACCTTATATAAGGCTGATAATCAGGAAAAAGCCAATTATGATACCAAATATATTGTTCAGGCGTTTTTACTTCACTTCCATAAATACAGTAAACCTTTTTTAAATTAAAAAAATTTTTTCGAATTTTTAAAATTCACCTTAACCCCCGGAGGGTCAATTATCAATGAAGGACTTTCACTTTTCCAGTGTTCCAATCCTTGTGGAAATTCTATATCATTAAAGAAATCTTCAATATTTGACAAGGAATAATTTTTCCTAGTAAAAAATTTTTTTTAATTTTTTCTCCTTTAAAAACCTTGGAGTTATTACAAAAGTCTCGTTTGGCCCCCACAGTTTAGGCGAGGGAAATAAAAGTGCTGAACTAGTAAATGAACGCTGCATTGTTCGTAAACGGGAAGGTGGTAAAACAACTCGCCAATGGTCCATATTATAGCCTTTTAAATGTTTATTCTAATAGACGCCCAGTGAACTTTAAAATTGGGCGTTTATTGGAGAGGGGCGTCTATTGAGAAAGCTTGACAAAGTAGTCTTCTATTGGAGAGGGGTTATAAAAAATAAATTTTGGGTGGGCGTTTATTAGAAAGGGCCACAATTAGAATGAATTATACGTCTATTGGAGAGGGGCGTTTATTAGAATAATTTATAAAAATTATTTAGAGTAAATAAAATTCTCTTACCAGAGGCATACACTTTAATAACTTGTGTAGACCCTCCCCACGCCCCAGCTAAAGAAATATGGCCTTCCAGAAACTTGTCTTTCCAAGCCTTAAAATATTAATTTAAAAAATTTTCTTCAGGGATTTACCTGATTAACAAAATTATGATAAAAATAATTAGCCATACAATTACCCATTGAATGTGCCATTATAAAAATTTTTTGATTTCCATTTTTATAAAATAATGTTTCAATTAAATGTTTAAGTTTAACAAAATATTTGGATAATTCTCTTGGCGCCCTTCTCCAATCATAAGGAGCACCTACAACGTTAATTCCGCGTGTATAGCCCCAAGAGACAAGTGATTCGACGATTGGGGCAAAGTATTCGGAAGGTGATCTTCTGGAAGCATCGAGCCTTTAAAAAGAATATGTATTTTAAAGCATGAACCCAAAAGACCAACACCCTAAAATGATCAACTCTTCCCCTAAAATCAGAGTAGATGAGTTGGGTGTTGCTCAAAAAGACAATCAAAAAATCTTGGGATAAACCCAAAAGATCAACGCTAAATTGATCAACTCCACTCCCTAAAAATAAGGTAGCTCAGTTGGGTGTTGATCGAAAAAGTCAAAATTTCTTAAAAATGTCACCATTCAACAGTTTCAGTATTTCCAAACCCAGGCACCCTCACATGTACTCCTTCAAGTTCCTGTGCCATCCCCGTAGTCATATTAAATTCCAAACGCATATTATCTGCCCAACAATCAATTATTAGAGGGCTGAATAGCTTAATTATTTAAATATTAATTTTTTAAAGAATTTCTTGCTTAAAATTACCTCCAAATTCAACCACAAATCAAAATAATCTTTTGTTGTCTTGTCACAGAATATATGTACTGTGGAAGGTTTTCCTTTAAAGATTTTTAGATTACTTTTAAGTACAACCCTTTGGGACGGGAAAAAGTCCTATAATGAGGTGTATCTGAAGGTATTGCTAATTGCTTTTTAAAGCCTTCCCGTCCAGTAACTAAACAAAGTTTAAAAACATAGTACATACATTAAGGAGGTTCTAGCAGGGGGGTGCCGTTTCGTCTTTCGCCTCTTAAAATTTGTTTCGGCACACCCCTTGGTATATAGTCTCGGGCTTAGTGATAGTTGCTTTAATTCTTAGGCTTATAGTAATTGCTCTAAAATATTCCTTCCCTCATCCATCTCCCCTCATAATAAAATCACCTGTTAAGTTTGCTCGTAACCTACTCCCAGCATCACCAGGTACTTTAAATTAAAGAATATTTTCAAATCATTAAAGATTAATTAAACTTATAACAATTGGATTTGGAGGTTTTTTAGGCTCACTAGGATGTGATTGATGAAATAAATTGTATTTGAAAATATTTTGGGTTGAGTTAGAAATTAATAGTAGAAAAATAAAAATAAAATGAAAAAACATTTTCTAAATTATGCTGAAATTGAATTCTTAAATTAAATTTAAAAATCAGATTTTATAAAGTTTTGGGGGAAAAATAAAATTCTCCCAACAAAACTAGTCTCCGCAACAACAGAACTTCCCAACAAAACTAGTGTCTAACCCCAATAGTTACTACAAGCATTTGTTTCTCTAATTTCAACGTAAATTAGTGTCTCTATTTTCCGGAAAACATCTACTCTAACATTTTTCCGGAAAACATTTTAGAATTATTTTTAGTTGAATGAAAATAAACTTTTGAATTTCCCCCAACCTTTTTAAAGTAAATGAGCAAAAAATATCGATAACTAAATAATTCTTCTTATGAAAAAAAATAATTCCCCTCTTACTTAAAAGAAATATTAGAAAATTAGCTGATAAAAAGTACTCTTTAAGAGAAAATATATGATAATCTTATGACCAGTAATATTTTAATACCTATGTAAGAAATGGTCGACACATGTTAGGTTACCCTTCTGACTTGACAGGAAATTTTCTTGACATTCTCAAAAATTTCCTTGAAGTTAAAATATTTTCTTAGACCTTCAGACTAAATTCCAGGCAAACCCAATCCACTAAAAATCATTTTAAACAAAAATAAACCAAAATCGTCTGTTTATTTTTTTAACAAAGCGCGCCAAAAAATTAAAATAAAACATTAAATTTTTAAAATTGTGGTGTGCTTTTTAGGTACTTTTTAAAAGAAAAATTAAAAAAAAATTTTTTTTGATTTTAAAAAGTACCCAAAAAATAATATTTTTAAAATATAATCAGACGAATAGAATGACAATAAAATAAAAAAAAAGAATATATAATAGATTGGGAAAAAATATTTCTAGGGGAAAGAAAGGTAATTTTGCAGCTTATTTCTCTTTATCCTTCTTAATAATTTTTTTTTATTTTAGTAGTTAATTTAAAAATTTGAGTGTTTCAAAAACTCTCCAACAAAAGTAGTTATAAACCCTATTATCACTAAAATTTCTTTTTCTCTAGTCTCAACATAAATTAGAGTCTCTATTTTCCGGAAAACATCTTTCTCCTCTAATCTTTATTCCGGAAAACACTTCAGAATTATTTTTAGAAGCGTCTTTTCTCTTATTGTTAGAGAAATGTGTTTTTCTTTCAGAAAATGTGTTTTTCCGGAAATTGTTTAATTAAAACACAGAAAAATACAAAAATATAATTTATTAAAAGGACTGCAAAATAAACTGCAAAATTACCTTTTTTTATTTTTTTTTTAATTTCAAAAATTTCCAAAATTTTAAAAATAAAGTTTTATTTAAATAAAAATTTTATTTTTAAATTTTTGCAAATTTTTTTGTAAAGATAATTAATTTAAAAAAAAAAGTTCAACACACACCATATATTCAACCAATTTAAAAAAAATCTCAAAATTTGATTAAATAAAAGTAAAAATGGGAAGAGAGGAGAAGAAAGAGAGTGAAAAAAGGTGAACGATGAAAAAAGATTTTTTTGTAAGAGGAAGGGTTTTTAGTCCAAATTTTTCGTTTTTAATTTTTAAAAATTTTTTGGAAGTCAGAAAATTAAGAAAAAAAATTTTTTTTCGCCATTTTGAAATTTTTACCAAAACGAAAAAAAATTTTTTTAGGACAAAAACCCCGTAGAACACTGAAGAGGATAAAAATTAAATATCCCAACACAAATATTTTTTTAAATTTTTTAAAATCATTTATCCTCCTCTTTTTTTACTTTTTTTTATTCTCCTTTCATTTTTCAATCCTTTATTTTTTTTTCATCTAAGAATGTCTTGTTCACTTTCTCTTTTATTTTTATTTTGAGGAAACAACAACTCCCACTTCCATGACTTCAACAGCCTCAACTTTGCCTTTCTTCGCATTGGGTGCTTCTAGAAAAAGAGAATTTTTGTTTTGAAGAGTAGTAAAAATTCCCCGTTTTAGGGAAAAAAATTTTCAAAAAAAAAAAGATTTGTGTGTGGTATGAGTCATCTTAATTGACCAACCACCGTTGATATAAAATTTTTTAAAAAGGCAAATTTTTTTTTGTTGTTGAGACTTTTGTAGTTTTTCTAACTTATATTCTCTATATAGTGGATAGTGAAAGTGCTCTCTACTTAAATTTTAATCTCTAAAAATTTTTAATTTATATATTGTGTGTGTGCACAGACAGAAAAATATAAAATATGAGAGATATTAGGATGACTCACCCCCATCATGAATCCCTTTGCCGCCAACTGGATCTGTTGCTGAAGCGTCAAGGCCAACAACAACATCATAACCATCATTTTGGTCTTCATTGACGCCGCCAGCAAAAGATCCAGCACGCGCTCTTTTCTGCCCTGTTTTTGCACCTCCTCCAAGTTGTTGTGTTTCTGGCATTGGAAGAGGATCAGGAATTCGATCAATTCCAAGAATTTTGTAAACTTGATTGTAAGCAATTAAACGAAGAGCATGTTGGGCTGAAGATGTAATATCTTCTCGTTCTTGATCGGTTATATGTCCCAAAACATCTACGGGCTCTTTCTCGCAAGGATCCAACAATTTTGAACGCTCTTAAAATTGAACAAAATTATAATAGTTTTCTCTATTCTTCTTGATTAGCTATCACAGAGTATCTTCCCAATACCCACAGGGATGAGTCTAAAGCATTTAAGAAAGCTTTTGTACAGATATACGGTATCCGAACCCCGATCCGAAATTAATTTTTAAGCCAATCAACTCGTGATATATCCCCCACACCATTTCCAATCATAAAACTATAACAATTAAAAACAAACTGCTAAGAAAAATGCCGCTTGAGATCACTTCAAAAATTCGTCGAACAGCATCGCCAGGGCTCAAAGGCATAGAGATAGAAGCAATCGTCTTTTCAACAAGTAAAATGATAGCCCAATTATGAAGTGGAGACCAAGTACGAACTCGTTGACTAATATCTCTAACAGCTTTAACAGTTGGATTCATTGAATGTAACGGCATACATTTTACCTAGAAATAGCAAAATTTTTAAAAATTTAAACAAAATTCTTTCATACTTGATAAAACTTTGCACGTCGAAGTTCTGCCAAAGCATTAAGACAAGCTTCCCTTGGAAGAGGATCAATTGGAGGTGCTTCTTCTTCAACTTTTGCTGCCTCAGTTTCTCCTTCCTTCTGTTGAGGTGATGGTTGATTTCCTTCACGCAAAACTACCGATGTCATAGTCACTCTACATTCAAATGGAATTGTGCTAAGATTAATAATAAAAGCTGCCTCGTTAATTTTTTCTTGAATTGTCAATTTATCGGTATCATTGAGCTTAAAATTTAAAAGAAATTCTTTAAAAACTTGAAATATACTTCAGCAAATTTTTTGAACAGTTCAACAACTTTTTTAAGCAACGTAATAGATGGAATATTTGAGCACAGAACCACAAGATCAATCTGAAATAGATGGAATAAATTGTTTATATTTAAAAAGAGAAATAAAAAATTACCATTTTGTCCGTTTTAAGAAGCAAATGTTGAGCCAACAGACCAACTCGCATCTAAATCAAACATGAAATAAACTTTAAAGAGAATAAGACTTACCACACCCTTCAAGACACGTTTTTGCTCCACTTGTTCTGCTGTTAATTCGGTCGAATTAATCATAGAGTCAGAAACTGCTTTAAGAGTTTTCTGAAAATATAAGATAGGTCAACAATAATCATTTTGAGACATTTAAACAAACCTCAACATACAAAGCCAAACGATCAACTTCTCTAACTTCTTCAATGCTAAGTTGAATTTGCTGAAGTTTTTGAATAACATGCTTATCATCCATAACTTCCTGGTTTCGAGGCATTGGAAGAATAGGACGTGGCTGTTGCATAAATTGGAATCTGAAAAAAAAGGTTTAGAAAATCAGTAAAAATTTAAAAAAGAATTACTCGGCACGTCCATTATAGTATCCATCATCTTTTTGACCACGACGACGATGTCCATCACGACGACCTCCCCAACCACTCTTATTTTCAACTTTTAAACTTGGGTCAACTTTTTGCTAAAAAATTTTAAAGTTAAATAAATTATCTAAAAATTACTTTATATTGAAGACGATGACGCCTTCCTTTAAGATGAACGTTCTTAGCGTTAATATCACTGAATTTACAGTCACAGAGCTTACACATGTATGCAACGAATTTTCCAAGTGAATCCTTGTCTTCTTCAATAAATTCTTCACCAACTGGCTTAACATCCTCATCACCCAACAATGCTTTCTGAAATAATAACCAATAAAAGACCGAGAATTAAGAAAAAAACCTCCAAATCTTGCGGTTTCATAGCTCCAGTAACAGCAGTAGCCGCATTTGTTCCCATCTTATATTCCTCGCCAGTAGTCAAAAGAGTAGTTCCTCCAACAAATTTAGTCCCAGTAACACCAACAACCTTCTTCAGTGGACCAGAAGTCCCAACAGTTGGAATTGGTTTGCCCTGAGCTTTAGTCGTCAAATTGGCCCCAATGTTGTCCAAGTCAATTTGTGGAACAGGCTTGCCCATACGGCGCAATAAAGCAATAGTACGTTGATGTTTCTGGCCTTTAACGTGAGCATCGAAAGTGTCCTTACTGTAAAAAAAATTCGAAAAATAAAAAAAAACAAAAGAAAGTTCAAACCTTGAACAAGTAACCTCACAAACTTCACACCGAAAACCAATGCGTTTATGCATAGCTTCTTCTTTAACAGCTTGCTCCCTTTTCTTATGAGGCTTTCCATCAGTGTGGTCCTTATAAGCTGCTTGCCCAGCGCAACTAATCTTGCAAACTTCACAAAAGAAATGCTGAATATCACGACTTTGATGACCAAGTCCGTAACGTTTCTTTCCTCCAAACTGACCACCTAAAAGAAAATTAAACAGAACCTTCCTATACAAATTACCTCGACCACCCTTCCAATTTGAACCACCAGTTCGAGCCTGATTCTTGTTCTGAAGGTAATTGGATGCAGCAGCATAAACAGCAGCTTCATAGCCAGCATAGTGTGCAGTAACAGCATTTGCTCCAGTCCCCGCACCAGTCTTTGCAGCACCAGTGGTAGGCTTCCCTCCACCAATCACTCCATAAGCTCCAGAACTAATCGTCGCTGTATGAGTTTTTTAAAAACTTTAATGAAGGTAAATAAACCAGTATAACCAGTATAGTCGGTAGATGTTGGTTGACCAGTATAACTGCCAGTAGCGGTAGCCGTTTGTTGCTGTTGAGCAGCCTGACTATAATGAGCATAAGCAGAAGCCGCCAACGAATATTGGGAGGTGCTAGAATTTAAAAGATTAAATCGGCAAGAGATAAAATCCCTACTCATACGTGTAACCACTAGCGGCAGCAGCATTCCCCATCTGTGTCATTGCTGCGGCTGTTCCAGTTCCCGTTGTTCCAGTCTGCTGTTGATATCCAACCAAATTAGCAGTTTGTTGTCCATTTGCAGAAGCGTATGCAGGATAATTATAAGCAGTTTGTTGATAACCAAACATTTTCTTAACAAATAACGAAAAACAATTTTCAGAAAATATACTCAAATTTATCTGAAAAATAAAAGAAAATGTAAAAAGCGCACTGGTTATAATTCGTGATTTTCACAAGAAAATTCCAAAAAATAACTCAATAATTAAGGTCTTACAGTTAGTAGATCAAAAATTTTTTTACCAAACATTCATTGATAAAGACAAGGAATAAAAAAATCGTATAGTAATTGGCAAACTAATCAAGCAAAATCAAGAAAAGGGCAAATTGATTTTTTTACAGTCTCTTTAATTTACAGAATGCCAAAAAAATTTATTTTGGATATTTTGTCATCTTTTGTCACGCAAAAATATAAAAGATAACCTGGATTAAGGAAATCCGTTTGGATATTTCTGTTTTGTTCCACGTATTTAACAAAAGCCAGGTATTGCTTATTGGGCACCCTTTCCTTCAAAAAAAACTGAGGAAATCTCTGCGCGACTAATCGATAGAGCTATACGCGGCAAATTAAATTTCACGGGGATAAATATGTAGATTTTAAAATTGATACCCTCTTTTTTTGTCGATTTATGACGTCATTTTGTTTTGTTTTAATTGTTTTATTTTTAGTTAAAAATGCCTTCACATCGCTCTGAAGAACGTGAACGAGATCGTGACCGAGAACGAAACCGCGACAGAGACCGCGATAGGGACCGTGATCGAGACCGTGACCGTAAATCTACTCGAAAGCGTTCTAGATCGAGAGATCGTGATGAAAGCTCTGAACGGAAACATAAGCGTTCTCGTCATCGAGATCGTGACAGGGAGAAGGACAGGTTTTTCTTCTATTTTTTTTATTTTTTAAAATTATTGTTTAGGAGCTCTTCACCTCGTGATCGTCATTCGTCTACTAAAACGCGTGAGGAATCTTCTAAAAAACATAAATCTTCAAAGCATTCAAATGTGAGTTTATATTATTTTTTGTTCCTATTATTTTCCCTTAATTTTAAGCCCAACCCTTCTTTAACCGGCGAGGAAGATGAGGAAATGATGAGTGTTATGGGCTTTGGTGGATTCAGCACTACAAAGAATAAGCATGTTGATGGAAATGCTGAAGGAGAATCAAAGATTAATCGGCCGCGTAGATATCGCCAATATATGAATAGACGTGGAGGATTTAATCGACCGCTTGATTATGTTGCTTAAATGGTAATTTTGAACATTTTATGGGCTTCATTTTCATTTTTTTCTTTATACTTCCTTGTTTTACCCCTGGGATTTAAACTTCTTCAAGGGGAAATGAACCTGCCAACAAACTACCCAAAAATTATTTTTTTATTGATAAATTTACTAGAGATCGGCCTGGATCTGGATCCAGAACTTGATTTTTCCTGGGTCCAAGGTCAAGGTCAGGGCATTTTTTAAGGTCAGGCATTCCAGGTCAAGGTCAGTATTTTCCTTGATTTTTCCTTACTCAAGGTCAAGAATCTGGTCAATATCCTCAGCCAAAATTAAGATCATGTTTTTTTAAATTTCCTCTCTAATATTTTCTAAGGTAGAACAAAGGAAGGCAGGGAAGAAATGAAAAGGGGTCTATAAAATCTTCAAAATTATCGTTTAAATTTAAAAATAGCTGATGTTTAAATACGAGCTCAATTTTTGTTTGTGAATATTTATTTGGATATTTTATTCTTTTTTTTTGTAATTGTGTGTTAAACTTGATCTCTATTTTTTCTCGTTTTATGGATTTTTATGAGAGTATTTTTACTCTTTTTAATATTTAAAATAATTAATTTATTAATTTTACTTTAATCTTTTTTTAAAAGAAAAATTTTAAAAGAAGCAACAATATATTTCCATTTAAAACATGGCATTGGTACCAGAAGAAGTTCCAACTGTAAATTAATTTTTTCTCGTTTTTTAAAATTTAACATTTTTCAGACCTCGGCAGACGAAGCAACAAAAGAATTTTTTGGTTATTTGGTAGAGGTAGATTGTGGTGAAGAAGGCTCTTATAGTGGTCTTGTAACTCAAGTTGAGCCGGCTGATAATAATTTGTCTACTTGGGGAAAGTTAAAGCTGGAAACTCCGTTTAGGTTAATTTTTTCTGTTTTTTTATAGACCTCGTCTACGAATTTTTTTCGGTAATAGTGTCGTTTCCAGTCCCCCTTTTTCCTCCCCAAGCTTTTTCCTATAATTTGTACGAAATGGACAGACTTTCCTCCCAAATGCCTTCCTTTCTTTCTAAAGAACTGGAAAAATAATCATTTTTGATTGTTTCTGGGCAAAATATAGTGTGATCGACGAAGGAAAAGTCTTCCCATTTCGTACAAATTTATAGGGAAAACTTTTGGGAGGAAAAAAGGGGGACTGGAAACGACACTATTACCGTTTCTTTAAGAAATCTATTTTAAACTGAAATCGATTTTTACTAGAGAATGTTTTATTTTTGCTCGCCAAATTGACTAAAGGTCGTTTGCATCAGGGATGTGCGTCTAGCGTTTTTTAACCGTTTTGGCGTGATTAGAAAAATTGGCGTTTGGCGCGTTACGCGAAAATATTGACGCACATCCCTTGTTTGCATGTTGGCAAAAATCGATTATTTGATTATTATAGATTTTAGGGTCTTAAAAATAAATTAAAGATTTGACCTTTAATTTATTATTCGCTTTTTTTAATCGCTTTATTGCTAAATTAATTTTACAAAATTGTAAATTTGTATATTTCTTAATTTTAATTTTTTTCAAGAAATGGAGTACCTCTTGGTGAACAAGTGGCAATTTTCGTTCCCGGCGAGTTAATTGTAAATATTAAAGTACTTAATATGCCCTCATCACAACAGCCACAACCATTTGTTTTTACACCAACAAAACAGCCACAAAGTGCCCCACAAACTCCACGTCCCGCAATTTCTTTACAACAAACGCAACAGCCACAACGAACTTCTAATCCGCCACAACAGCCGCCAAAATTCCAGCATCAGCTACCATATCGTGCTATACAGCCCTATCCAAAATTCAAACATCAGTTACCAGAACGTTCTTTACAACAACAACAAAAATTTCCTCATCAACAGCAACCAAAATTTCTGGTAATTTTTAACTTTTGTAACTCCCTCTTTTTTCCCGACCATAAAAATGTGTGGGTGGGGTTGATGGGATTCTGACCATTTTTTGCCTTTTGAAGTTTGAAAAATGAGTCAGGGTAGCCGTTGACAATTATGCACCTTTTGTGAATTGAAAAAAGTGGAGGGGATATAAAACTTTGAGGTCGGCGCAGGACGGGATTTTTTCGGGACATCGGTTAAGAAAAAAATCCCGACTCGGGATCCCGGAAGTGCGATTTTGCCGACCACTAATAAGAATCTAATAAAAATTTAAATTTCCAATTTTTTCTTTTCCAGAACCAAAATAGATTCCTTCCTCTTCAGTCACCAAAATTTTCTCTTCAACATCCTCGATTTCCTTCACAACAGCAACAGTCTCCAAAACTTTCTTTACAACAACAACTTCCACAACATTCTATTCAACAACAACAACGTTTTCCTTTAAATCCATTTTCATTTGTGGACAAAATAATTCGACCAAATACGGCAACTCCACAAGGTTTTCATCGAAAAATATTCAAAAATCGAGGTCTTCAAATTACTGAACCGCCACAAAACAATAATAACAACAATAAAACAACAAAATTTGTTCCTCGAATTGTTGAAATAAACAATAAAAAGGAGGAGAAGTTGGCTGATTCAAAAACTGTTGTGAAACAAAATTCTAACAAAAGAACGGAAAAATCTGTTCCAAAAGCAGAACAAAAGAAAAGGAGTGAATCAACAACTTCTTCAAATCAACAAATTCAAAAGACTGTTGAAAATATTGTTAAGGATGAAAAGATTCGAGAACAAGTTGATAGGAATGCTGCTTTGTTTGCTAAGGTTTTTTTTGAATGTTTTTGGTTCTAGTTTAGCTTAGGTGTCCCTTTTTGTATATTGGATTTTCTTTGGGTATAAAATTTGAGGGTGCTGGGTTTTTGACGTTTTTTGGTTCTGACAAGGAAAACGGTCGTGACCGGGCTCTTCGATAGGGAATGTGCCATTTCTAGCAAGGACTTTGTGTCGTTTTTGCCCGGGTGACTTGCAGTTGACTTGCACTATCCGTTAGTCTTTTCCTGCCGATTTTCTAGCTATAATCAAATTTTTGGAAGTTTAAGAAAACCGATCATAACTGCCAAAATTGATATGAATAAACTAACGACTGGTCCTATTCAACTGAACATAGGTTCTAACAATTAGTCCAAAAACGTCAAGGACCAAAACTTGACTTTTAAAACAAAGAAAATCCAATTTACAACTTTAGAGGACGCATAAACTGGACAAACGACAATTTGTCCTATTTTTACTTTTATCGTTCAACAAAAATTTTTTTATTCATTCATTTGAACCTTACAGAACAGTGCGAACTTTCTATATTAAAAAAATTTTTTAGTTAAAAGTTGATGGCCAATCAACAATTGAAGGTGGTCAACAACAATTTGAATCTTTAAAAAAGATTGAAGAGCAACAAAAACAAAAAGCTCAAAATCGAAAGACAATTGGAGATAAATTAAAAAAGCAAATTGAAGATCATATTAAAAAAACTGAAAAGGAAGCAGCTGAAAAGAAGCAGAAAATTAAAAAAGAAGAAGAAAACAAGAAGGACAACAAAAAGGAGGAGGTTGAAAGTAAAATTGTTGAGAAAAAATTTGGAGGAAAACAACGACAAAATAGTTTTGATGAAATTCAAAGTTCAAGTAAAGCACCAAATGATGGGGATTTGGCATCTATTCGTTGTCCTGATGGTATTTATCAAGGAGTTGTTAAGGAAGTTAATGCTGAAGATCAAACTATTCGATTGGAAAATCCATTGCTGTAAGCGCTTCTTTTTTTCATAGTATTTTTTTTAGTTATTATAATTTGGTTGGACAAAACTGGGAGGGGGTTTAGACAAGGAGTTTTGTGTTTAAAAGGTGAAAATGGTTTCAGGGTTTTGAGTAGGAGGGCAGAAGTTGGGTCGAAATCAGAGCTATTTCGAAATTTCGATTTCTTTCAACTTTTCCTTTCGATTTCGCTTCTCGAAGTTTTTTTTTGTGAAATAGTGTAAGGATGATTCACCTCAGCTCCTGTATGTGGTGAGCGAAAGCGCCTACCAATAACTACGAGAAGGTCGCAGGTTCGAATCCTGCTTGGTGCTAAACTTTTGTTAAACTCTTTCTATGGTTGAAATTCTGATTTCCGCTTTTCGACTTGCAAAAATTCCAAAGATTTTGAATTTAACCCGCCTCTGCTTGTTCAAAATTTTAAACTTTGAGTGACCTTGGTGTAATTCTTCAATTTAGTTTAACTAAAAACTTTTGTTTTGTCCAATCCAAGAAATCTATACACACTATATAATACACTCATATACTATAATTTTATATAAAAAATACCTCTCTAAAAATATTCTATAATGTCCTATAATTGTGATTTAGAGTAAGAGATTTTTCTATATATTTTTTATTGTTTAAAAGTGTGTGTGTATTTTTAATATTAGTGTGGCCATAAAAAAAAATTTTTTTTTAAATTATTAATTGAGAAAAAAAGACGAGAGAGCCGTCTCTTCATTTTCTATACTATTTTACTGTTTCTATGATTTTTTTGGTCACATATACACATATCCTCTCCCTATATTTTAATTGCACAAAATATTTTTTTAAAAATGTGTGTGTTTAATTAATTCTAAAAAAAGAGAGAATTCTATACTAGAAAATAATTAAAAATATTATGTTTTCAAATTAGTGAAGAATTCAAAAAAATTTTTATAAAAATTTTTTCCAAATTCCGCTTTAGCCCCATAGACTTTTAATTTATTTTTTCTCCCCTTTAATATTTAAATATTAAATGATATCATTTATTTATTGATCAAAAAAGATTAAATTGAGAATTGCTTGATAGTGACCCAAACGTGTTTGGACATATTGATTTTTACCAAAATGACATTGATCTTTGAAATTTTCTCTTCTTTGTTTTTTTTATTTTTTGGTTAAGAAGGCGCTAAAGTGGAAGAATATTTGGGTATAATTTCGGAATACTAAACATAGTCTGATTGTGACAAATTATATGTCAATCAAAAGGGCTCGTCGAGCTGAGTCGAATATGTAATTAGGGTTGGGGTTTTCGAGTCGGGCCGACGTTAGAGTCATTCTTTTCGGGCCGGCCCGACCGAGTCTTTCGGGCCAAAATTCAATGTCCGACTCGATCTTTCGGATTGGGCTGGATCGGGCCCCCAACCCTACTTATAATAGGACCGGAGTCTGTTTATTATTCCGAAATTTTCCAAATATTTTACATTATTAAATTCATTTATTTCCTATAAAAAAATTTTTTTGTCTTTTCTTTTGTTTTTTTATTTTATTGCACTTTAAAATAGCAATATTATTTTTTTTTTCAATTTTTTTCCGACAAAAAATTTTTTTTCTTTAAGGAACGGTGTGCGTCTTTCAACAAATTTTATTGATTTGCCACATACAATTATGAAAGGAGTTAAATTTTATCCGTATGTTTTTTTTGTTTTTTTTCCGAAATTTTGTTCGTTTAGGGACGATCGTAATGGCAACAATCGTCGCCGTTCATCACGCGAATTGCGTGGGCCTAAAATTTTTGAAGGCGTTTATATGCAAAGTTTACCGGTATCTTCTGTTCAACGAAAGCAACAGCATCAGTCTGAGCGAAGATCTGACAGTCCTAAAGTTAACAATAAGAAGGATTCTGAGGTGGAAACGAGGTCTCCTACGCAATTGGCACATGAGGAATATGGCGAATATAAAAAGTATGATTTGTGTAAATAAGGATGCCTTTTGATGTTTTGATCTATGGGGCTTTGTAAATTTCTTTAGGTCCTTTACATTTGGCATTTTTGGTTATTGTTTGTTTAAGGATTTTATTGTGTTGAATTTACCTCTAGCTATCAAAGACGTATTTAATCATGCCTACCCCCGAAATCCACCATACTTCCTCACTAACGAGTAGAGATTGGAAATCTGAAAATTAGCCTTGGTCATGAGGTTAGTCTTGGTCATCAACTTTTCTCTGGGGACTTATGTTAGTAGCTTGAGAAGTTTGTATACTTTTTAATTGTGGTAATCGGAAGGGAAAGCGTTTGCAAACGAAAGCTTGCGTGTGCTTGAGTTAGCATAAATTTATACGTTTTTAAACTCATTTTCTCCTTTTTATGATTGCTAAACTAAGTGACTGACCAAATGAAATTGAGGGAAACAAATTTTTAAATTTCAGATTTACTGAGCCACAAATCCCATTTCCTGTAAAACTCCAGCTTAATACAACCCCTAAGCGGCATTTGAACAGCAGCAATTCTGGTTATTTTTTAAACAATTTTTTTCTTTTAAAATATTCTTTTGTAGGTCCAACAGGAATTCCAACAATTGATTGCATAAACGGTTATCGAGGGTATGGCGATAAAAACAATTTTGTGGATACTATGGGTGATCCTTTGGATTATGAGACGTTGAATACCGATTTTGATTTTGCTGCTAATTTGGCATTGTTTGACAAAGCGGTTTTTCTCTAAAATTTTTTTAAAGTTTTTTTTCTCTTTTCCAGGCATTCACCAAACAAATTGATCATGTCGCCCTTGGGTTGAATTCGAGTGGTTCAAATTCGCGTAATTACAACCACGATGAGAATGTTCTTTTGGTTTGTTTATTTTTTTTAATTTTTGGTAAATTTAGGGGAAGTTTTTTATTTTGGGACCAATTGTCTTTTAACGATTTTTTTTAGATTTTCTGACAATTCTGTGTTTATTTTCCTTTCTAATCTTGGTCTGTTGGGGAAAATTTTCATTTTTGAGATCAAATGTCTTTTAATGATTTTTTTTATTCTTAAGGATTCGTCTCGCGTTATTTCTTGGACCACAAATAATCTTGCCCCATCATCTAGTGCTGCTGTAAAAAATTCTGTTGGGATAAACGTTGCTCATCATTCTCCAAAGTCTTGTCCTCATCGTCGCCAATAAAAAGGATATATACAATCTTCTCTATATATGTTAAAGTTTTTTTTGTTTTTTGACTATTTCCGTTTTTTTATTGTTACTACAATTACACAAAAATATTTTATAAAAAATGCGTGTATTTAAGCTGGTTTTAGGGGTACACCCAACGTATTGCGAGGCCAACGTCCCGCAGAGCTATAGCTTTGTTCAAAATGGTCGAATCATGGACGCCCTGATATGGTTCGATTTAGATCGTCGAGATGCATCGAACCATACCAATGCGCCACTGATTCGACTATTTTGAAAGAAGTTATAGCTCTGCGGTACGTTGGCCTGCTCCCGTTTTTTAAGTATTTCCTCTAGAATAATTTTTCTGAAAAATTTTCCCTAGGAAAAAAATTTTTTTGCTTTACTTTTTAAAGGGCAATTATATCTCTTATTTATTCCAACCTCTTTTTTTGTTTTTTTTTCTTTTTTTAAGTAAGAAAAGTTGAGATTAGAATTTAACGAAATTAAGTCGACATTAGGATAGATTTTTTTATCGTTAATTCCTTTAATGTTTTGGAGAGTTTGGACGTTGAAAAGGGAAGGGTATAGACTAGAATTTTTTTTGAATTCTTTTTAAATTTGAGTTTCCTTGTGACTAGAGATTAGACTTCTTGTAAACCTTCCAAACTAATCAATCGATGATCGGTACCAAATCCACTTTTCCTTATACTCAACCAATCCAAAGGGTTGAAACTTTGGCTGGCCATAACTCGGCCCAAAGTCGTTTTGCAAGAAAACGGATAACCTATCTAATAGTAAGTCGGGGGTCCTCTATCGAATGGTACCAAAAAAACTAAATTGTGGTGACAGTAACATATGGTTCCTAGTTAGGAAATAAAAAGTTGTGGGGCTTTAAAGTCAACAATCTCCTTCATCTAGGTTGAAATTTCCCTAGATATCTATCTCAAATTTGGATATATCCTCGAGTCTCTAGTTTTACAAGGAAATCCTTTTTTATTCAAAAAAATTTTTTAAAGGTTTCTAGTCTATAACCTTTGGCTAGTTCATTCTCTCAACCCGTCTACTATTTACATTAAATTTTAAAAAAGCCAGTGAGAGACTTTCTTTCATAACTTTAATTATATTATTCCCTCTACATTTATCCAAAATTTTGGAAAATAAAGAAAATTTTTTTGAAAAAATTTTTTTTAATTTTTCGTTTGTTTTTATCTTAAATATTTAATTATTTTTTTAATTAAAAATTTTTTTTTTCAATTTTTGTTTAAGAAAATAGTAGTAAAATGAACAATAATAGCATAGGAGATGAAGCTTTGGAAGAAGCCCAAAAGCAAACAAAATCTGGAATTGCTTGTGATGGTATTCGACAACAAGTTAAACTGTGTCTTCAAGAATCTGATTGTATACAGGTTTTGAATTTATTATTATTTTTTTAATTGTTTTGTAGGTGTGGGGTTGTGATTAGTTATGGAATTAAGTGGTGGGTGGAGAAGTTTTAGTGAACTGCTAGTTTTGGCTCTTGTAAGAAGATTTTTGGCTACCCAAATTTTTGTATTTTTCCCTATTTTAATCAAAATTTTTATTTTATTCTTTGCAAGAGAATGAAATCGTTGCTCTTTTAATAAAAGACCCTTGTTAAGGGTGAAAAAGACATTATTATTAACGGCAACACATCCTAAAGTCATTTTGCAAACAAGAGAATGTCGTTGCTCTCTTTTTAACAAATGACCCTTGTTAAGGGTGAAAAAGGACTGAAAAAAATATAACATATCCCCTAGTCATTTTTCAAGAAAACGGATACACACTTTACAATAGGAAGTCTAGGGGGAGGGGGTCCTCTATCGAATGGTCACTTAACTATCAAAAAAATTCAGTAAATGATGTTCCTTACAATTAGAAAAATTCTTTTTGGCTTTTCAAATGTTTTCCTAAAATTTATTTCAACCAAAATTTTTTTTCTAGATAAAAATGAAGAGAGCGCGTGAATGTGTTGAGGATAATGACCTTCCAGCAAATGTTTGTTTTTTTTTAATTAATTTTTTTAATTTTTAATTTAAGTGTCAACAATTATTGTATATTTTGCATGAATGTAGACGCAATTCAATTGATCCTAGAGCCCGTTTTAGAGGAAGAAGAGGGGATATGTAGACAAAATGTGATTGAGTGAGGGTATATTTTTTGTTTAGAAAAAATTTTAATTTTTTTTTAATTTTTTGAAAAATAAAAAAATTTTTTTTAAAATATTTTTGGGTCTTTTAGGACATTTTTTAGGACTTGCAGGCATTTTTAAAAATACTATGTAAAAACAAAATTATTCGAAAAAATAAAAAAAAAATTAATTTTTGTTAAAAATATTTTTCGATTTTGGCTTTTTTTTATTTTTTTAGTAAATTTAAAATGAGTAATTCGAATATTATTAAACTATTGTTTAAAATTTTTTTTCTAAGAATTAACCAAAAAATTAATTTTAAAAATAATTACTAATTTTATTTATTCCTTTTTAACTCCCCCTCTCTTTTATTTAAACCTACCAATTTTTAAAAAAGCAACTGTTAAAATTTTTTTTAAATTTAATAAAACTATAATTTAAATTTAAAAATAAAGGTAATAATTATTTCTATAAAATTATTTAATTTATACATTTTTTTGTTTTTTTTTTCTTTTTAAAATTTTTGTTTAATTGATTGTATGTTCAAAAGTTCCAAAAAGATTAATTACTAATTAAGTAGTTTCCTTTTAATTTCGTTATGTTGTGGTAGTGGCTGAATGGATAGTGTTTCTGGCTGTCTAACTAGGAGGTGTTGGGTTCGATACCGTTTGAGTCCTAAACTTTTTCTAATTAATAAAAAGTTTTGTTTTTAAGTTTCTTTGATGTTTTGAATGGACAAAATATTAAAAAAAATTTTTTTAGAAAAATTTTTTTTGTTAAAAAAATTTTTTTGTACAATTTTTGCACAAACTCTAAAAACAAGCATCAATAAAACATACTAAATTTTGAAAAAAAATTTTTTTTTGAATTTTAATTATAGATTTTATAGCTTCTTTTTTGTTTAAAATCAAATTTTGTATAATTTTGCAAAAGAAATATATTTAATATTAATTAAATAAAAAATTTCAATTAAAAATAGAAAGTTTTAAATTAACAATTAAAATACAAAATTAATTAAAAATTAAAAAAAAAATTTTTTTTCTGTGTAGACAATTTAGCATAAAAAATTTAAAATAATTTCTAAATATTGTTTATTTCCTCATTTATTTATAAAAAACTATATATTTTTTTATTTTTCCAATTTTGGCAAAAATTATTATTAAAATACTTGGAAATTATTTATAAATTTATTTATTTTTGTAATTATAAGTTAGAAAAAGAAGGCTATAAATTTAATTTTGGTAATAAAATTTTTTTTAAATATGTATATAAAAATTATTTTTTAATATTTTAGTCATTTTTCGACGAATTTTTATTTTTTTATTTTTATTTTCTTCAATTTTTTTTTAATTTTTAAAAATATTTTGTGATATTTTTATTTTCTAAGTTTTACAATCTTGTATTCCCATCTAATCAAAATAAGATTATAACAAGATGTCATTGGTACCCGGTCTTTTTTCGACACGAAGCCTGGCTTCAAAAAATATTTTGAAAGCCCAATTCTGGCCCAGACTCGAATTTTTTCTCTCAACCTAGCCCATCCCTTTTCTGTAGCCACAAGGGAAACTTTTAAATTGTAAGGCTGGACAGAAACTTGAGAGGACAAAATTTTTTTGGACTAGAAGGACACTAACATAACCCTAAACATTTATTTCTGCCATATTATCAACAAAATTATAGACAAAAAATTCTATTAAATTTCCATTAGTTTTGAGGTAAAAATTAAAAAAAATAATAACCGGAAGGCTTACACCTTGGATGGTCAAAAAATAAAAAAAATTTTTTTCTCTCAAAAAAGTTAAAAGAAAATTGTAGATTGCTTAAACGGAAGGCTAAAAAAAGGATTAAAAGTTGTTAATGTTTGCCCTTTTCTAGTACATACTTAGACTTTTTTAAATATTAAAAAATATTTTTTTAATTTCAAAATCCTCTTTAAAAAATTCTTTCCATTCCTTTTTATCCTTCACACTCATCAAAACTCCAAAAAATTTTTTTTTGCAATTTTGCACTTTCTTTTTAGTTATTATTGCCTACATAAAAGCGTGATTAATTTTTGTTTTTAATAATTTAAAGGAATTTTTTTTGTTCTAAAAATATTTGTGACCTTTTTTAAATTTAAAATGACCATAAATAAATTTAGAAAGTGGGAAAAGAAATTTTTATTTTGAGAAAAAAATTCTCAAAAAATTTTTTGGGGCTTGGAGGAGAGGATGGGGAGAGGAAAGTGGATGGGGAGAGGAAGAAAACTGCAGAGCTTTAGCTTTGTTCAAAATAGTCAAATCCGGGACATCCTGGTATGGTTTTAAGCGCCTCGATGAGCTGAATCGAGCCATACCAGGGCGTCCCGAATTGACAATTTTGGATGAAGTATAAGCTCTGCGGTACCATGGGCTGCTCCCGAAGAGAATTTCTCTTTATTATTAAAATTTTTGAAAATTTTTTTCCTTCCCATCCTTCTGTCTCCGCCGAATTTCATTTTTTTGCTTCTCTGTTTCCGTATTTGACTTTCGTTTTTTTTATTTTATTCCATTTATTTCCGCCGTCTGTCTTAAACTTTTAAGGTAGCTGAAGAAAAATCCCCCAAAAGTTTTAGGCTGTCTTTTTTTATTTGTTCTTTTTTTAACTTAAAATTTTTAGTCTTTTTATTTTTGTATTTTGTTTATTGGACAAAAAAAGTCTTGAAAAAAAATTTATTTTTGGATGTAGGAGAGGAAGAAAAAATTTTTTCTTCTCACGAAAATGCCAAGTTTGAGAACAATAATTAATTCTTTTAAATGTCAAAAATAAAAAAAAAGTTAAAAAAAAAGTTTCCATTAAATTAACTTAAAAATTAAAAAAAATATTTTTTTTAATTTTAAAAAAGAAACTTTTTTTTCAACATTTTTAGTCTTTTATAATTTTTGGTTTGTTTGGGTACATAAATGATGTGAGAAGGAAGTTTTTCTTTGTTTAATTTTAAACAAAGAAAATAAAAAAAAAATCAGAATTTAATTCTTTTGTTTTGTTCAAATTAAATTCTGATTTTTTCCAAATTAATTTTTAAAATCAGAATTTAATTTGAACAAAAAAGGAAAAACGAAGAAAAAAAAAGAAAAATCAGAATTTTAGTTCAACAAAAATCAGAATTTAATATAAACGAAATTTAAAAAAACCAGAATTAAAGGTCGTCTATAAAGTCTTTCCAAAAATCAGAATTTAATTTAAACATTTATTTAATTCAAAAGGAATCAGAATTTAATCTGAACAAAACAAAAAAAAACAGAATTAGTACATCTTTAAATTAAAACAAAAAAAAATAAATTTTTGTATTAATTAATTAAGTACTAAAAAAGCACTTTCGTTACTAAGCAAAAATTATTTTTAAATAATAAAATAATAATATTATTAAAGTGCGTCGCCAAGCAATATTTTAAAAAATTCTTTAAAATAATAATTGTTTCTAAAATATTTTAAGCCTTCCGCTTTTGTTTTTATTCCTTAAAACCAGAATTTAATTTAAACATTATTTTAAAGGTCCAGAATTTAATTTAATTAAATTTAAAAAATCAGAATTTAATTTAAACAAATAACAAAGAAAAACCAGAATTTGAAATTGTCTAATAAGCCTCCACTTTTATTGTTTTCTGAAATCAGAATTTAATTTGAACAAAAAAACCAGAACAAATTTCAAACATATTAAAATCTAGAATCTAATTCAATTAACAAATCAGAATTTAATTCGAACATAATAAAACCAGAATTAAAAACAGAATATTAAGCCTAACACTTTTATTATTTCCTAAAAAATCAGAATTTAATATAAACATGTTTTTATCCCTTTTCTAATTTAGTTAAAACAAACATTTCCTCTTTACGTAAACATTATTTAATTTGCTTGCTCATTTAAAAACAAACTACTAAAAATAATTTATTAAAAATCGGAATAAAAAATCGGAATAAAAAAATCTCAAAAAAATTTTTTTATAAAATTAAAATTAAGCCAAACCTTCTAATTTATTTTTATATTTTAATTAGGAAAATTTTAACGACCAAAAAAATTTTTTTTACGTCAAAGGAAGGGCAAGAAAATTTTTTAAATTAAATTTTATTAAATAAATTGTATTATAAAAGACAAAATCTAAAAATACTTTTAAATAATTGTCTGATATTTAAACTTAAATTTATATATTTAATTAAATTTATATGCAAGTATAAAGACCAACCGGAAAGGAAGTTAAAAAAAGGTGTGGGTAAAATTAAATGTTTGTTTGAAGTTGAGAAAAATTCTGGTTTTTTCATTATTTGAGAACATTTTAAATTATAATTTAATTCTGGGTTAATTAAGAAATCAGAATTCAATTTAAACAAAAAAATCAGAATTTTATTCAAAAAATCAGAAATTAATATAAACAAAAATCAGAATTTAGTTTAAGCAAAAAACCAGAATTTAATTCAAACAAAGAAATATCAGAAGTTTAATTCAACATAAAAAACCAGAATTTTTATTTAAACAAAAACCAGAATTAATTTTAAACAAAAAATCAGAATTTAATTTAATCAAAAAACCAGAATTTAATTTAAATACAAAAAACCAGAATTTAATTTAAACAAAAATCAGAATTTTATCTGAACATAAAAACCAGAAATTAATCCAAACAGAAATCAGAATTCATTATAAACAAACAAAACCAGAATTTTAATTCAACATAAAACCAGAATTTAATTCAAACAAAACCAGAATTTTATTTGAACACAAACAAAACAAAATTCCCTAGCAATTTTTATTTAGCGCCGCCTAAACAATAACGCGCCTAAATATCCAGGTTAAATTTATTTAAAATATTCCAACAAATTTCAAAGAAAAATAAAAATTTGCAAAATTTATTATTGTTTTCTATAATTAAAATTTTTTTTGACGTTTTTAATCATTGGTGGTTACCTAATTTTAATTGTTTTTAAATTCAAAAAAAATTTTTTTTAATTTCCAAAATTAAATTTAAAATAATTAAATTTAATTCTAGAAAATTAAAATTTAAAAATAAAAACAAACAAACAATTAAGTAGACATTGAAAAAATTTAATTATTAGTTTTTTTGAACATTTGATTCGAAAAGTTGGAAATAAATTTTATTAGGGAAGAACAAAGAAAATCAGAATTTAATTTAAATGCGTAAATGTTAATAAACATGAAGTAAAAAGTAAGCAAAAAAGGTGACAAAAAATCAGAATTTAATATGAACAAGAAAAAATATCAGAATTCATTATAAACAAAAAAGATGTCAGAATTTAATATGAACATAAAATACCAGAATTTATTACAAACCGAACAAACAGAATTTAATCAGAATTTAATATGAACAAGAAAATATCAGAATTTAATTTAAACAAATAAAATCAGAATTTAATATGAACAAAAAAATCAGAACTCATTATAAACAAAAATACATATCAGAATTTAATCTGAACAAAAACTACCAGAATTTAATTTAAACCGAACAAACAGAATTTAATCAGAATTTAATATAAACACAACACCCTGTTCACGTGAAAACCATTTGAAAACCTTTTAAGCGGCACTTTCTTTTTATTTAAAATTTTTTCTCTTCAATTATTTTATTAATTTAATTTTTTAAAAATTATATAGCTTCTTTATACTTTTTTTAAAATTTAATTAATAATCTTTGAAAAAAAATTTTTTTAATTAAGGGAGAAGACAATGGGAAAAATTAATTTTTAATTAATTAAAAGGGGGGAGGAAGTCTTTCTGTGAGGGGGGGCAGAAGGAAGTCTTTAAATTAAAAAAAATTTTTTTTTTAATTTTTTCCCCACTCATTTCTCTTTTAATTAAGTAATTTTATTAATTTCCCCCTCATTTTAATTTTTACCTAATTAATTTTTTTATTCTTTTTTAAAAGCTAATCCCCCTTTTTCTTCTTTAATTACCCTTCAAAAAAGTGCTTTTTTGCTTTAAAAATTAAAAAAAAATTTTCAATTTTTTTTAATAAAAAAATAATTGTTTTCCGTTAGAAAATTAATTATTTTTTTAATTAATTGCAAAGAGAAAATATTAAAAAAAATAAAAAAATTAAACTAAAAAAGAGAAGAAGCACCTTTAAATTCCTGCAATTTAATAAATAAATTAAATAAAAAAATTTTTTTTGAAGTGATGGAATTGAATAAATTAAATATTAAAATAAAATAAAAAAGCACGAGAATAATTAAAAAAGGAAATAATTAAAAAAATATTTTAGAGAAATTTTTTGGGATTAAATGTCATCTTACTAATATTCAAGAAAAAAATATTTTATGGGTATACTTGAAGTATTTTAGACGAAACAAGGGGATAAATACTCGAAATTTCGTTTTTGAAAATTTACGAAATTTCGCCTTTTTAAAACACGAAATTTCGCTTTTTGAAATACTCAAAATTTTATCGTACTTAATTTCGGATTTAATTTTCTTAGACGAAACAAGGGGGAAATACATGAAATTTCGTTTTTGAAAAATTATTTTTTTGAAATTACACGAAATTTCATCTTTCTAAAATGCGAAATTTCGCTTTTCTAAATACTCTGAATTTAATCTTAATTAATTTCGGATTTTGTTTAATAGACGAAATTTCGTCTTGAAATTTCGTCTTGATTTTTTTAGAAATTTCTCCTGGCCTGAACTTTTATTTTAAAAGTTTCGTTCAACACGAAATTTCGTCTTTTTTTTAATTTTCTTATATTTTGGAGGGTTTTTTGTTCAAAAATCTTTTTTTTGTGCTTTTCTCCCAAAATTAATTTTTTTATTGACGTTACTGAATGTTTGGAATAATTTAATGTCCAAATTTAAATTTAAAAAAGAAAAAAAATTCCAATCTTCTCCTCTTTCCTTCTATTGTCCACCAAAATTCTTTTAAAAAATATTTTTATTTTTTTAATTCCCAAAAATAATTTTTAAAAAAATATTTTTTTAATTACGTAAATGACCCGTTAAAATTTTTCTAAAATAATAATTAAATTATATAAAAATAGGTAAACAAAAATTCTTTTCATTTTTCCCTTTCTCTTCATGCAATTTTTAAAAAATTTCGAGAGAATTTCCGGACAATCAATCATCTTTTTAAAAAATTTTTTTTTCTGTTGTTTGTACCCTCAGGCAATTTTCGTTTAAAACAACAATTGCCCTCCCTCCCTCACTTTTCCCCCCTTTTTTTATTTTTAAATTTTGGGAAGAGGGAGGAAGAAGCATTTTTAGGGGTTGGGGAAGAGGGATGTTTGGGCGCTGACTGATCGGGAGTTTACAAATATTTAAAAAATGGTTTTAAAATTACAAAATTTTGAAAGGAATTCTTTGATGCTGTTATTTAATCTAACAAAAAATTTAAAAAATTTTATATTAAGTATTTCTAAATTTTTGGAAATTTTTTTAAATTTTTTGCAGTTTTTCAATCATAACTTTTTTTATATTTTTCCAAAAATTCTGAAATTTTTAACAGACCTAGTTAACACTCTTATTTACATTTCTGCAAAATTTCATAAATTTAGGACCTCCCAGTTTTGAAATATTTAAGCCCGCGCCCAAACATTTTCTGCGCCCAAGCGTCTCTACCCCCCTTATTTATTAGCGAACAAAAGAAAAAGGTAAAAAGAGAGACAACTTTTTCTTTTCTTTTTTTTTAAATTTTTTTTCTTTTTTTTCAGCTTCTTTTTTCAATTATTATTATTATAAAATCCCGCCCCATTTTTTCCCCTTGTCCCTTGTTTGGAAGAGAAGAGGGGCGGAGGCTTCTTTCCACACACACCTTTAAATTCCTTTGTCGCCGCGTGCATTTTCTCAAAGTAATTTGCCACTATAAAGTCCGAAGGAATTTCCTGACCGCTTCTCACATTTGTTAAAACAACAGCTTAAACACAGCTTTTCTTCCTCAACTTTTAATTTAAAAAAATTTTTTTTCTCCTCAAAAATGATTCATATTTTAATTTCTGTTGATGATGCTGCACAATTTGGACGTTCTCCAAGACGCTTTGCTAATTTAAGGCAAAGTAAGGCATCTACAGGATTAAAACAGACACCTATAATTTCGACTAAACCAGTAAAACAATGTACATCGTCTAATTCGGATTCTGGGAAATCTGAAAAGAACAACAAATAATTATTAAATTTTTGTTTATGGTGTGTTTTTGAATCTGAAATTAAAAAAAATTCTCTTCCTCTAAGGCTCTGGGATAAGTGCGGGTTAATGTGTAGGTATATATAGGGATATCAAGGGGATAACTCTAAGCTAGGGATATCTGACAGACAAGGGATGAGATAAAGGTTGAAATATGTTTCTAGGTAAATGCCTTGAAAATAAAAATAATTTTAAAAATTCTATTATAAAAAAATTTTTTACTTAATATTTAATTTTTTATTTTTCAGAAATTTCCAAACAACCATAAAAACCTCATATCTTCAAACATACTGGTGCTTCTTTCAAAATTAATTATTAAAAACAAGATAGACATATAAAAACAACAAAAACAACACTATTTTCCTTTTTCTCTACCATCAAAACATTTGTTTGTGTGCAATATTAAAACCTTAAGAAAAACAAAATCAGAATAAAATCTGAACAACAACAAAAACAAGGGAAAAGTGTATAAAAACAAAACAGAGAGTGCAACATCAGAAAAGAGAGAAAATAAACTTGAAAACAAACTTGAAAAAGAAAAAAAGAAGAGAGAAGAAATAAAGGAAACAAAAACATTTGTTTTTCTAGTCATTTTTATTTAAACCTTTTCTAGTCACATACATATATTTTCAGTTTTTTCCTTCTTTTATTTTATTTAACTCAAAAATGAGCTATTTTTATTTTTTGTTTTAACAATTGAATCTCAATATTTTCCTTTATTTTTGTTTTTTTTAAATTCTTTCAGATAATTCCACTATTTTTGTTTTCTCTTTCTCTGTCTTCCATTACACTCTTTACACAATGTTTTTCTCTTAAATTGTTTTCTCTTAAAAATATCAAAATTTCTTTAAAAAAATTTTTTTCTGTTGTAATATTTTTTATCTTGAATATTTTATTTGTTCTAAATATTTAAAAAATAAAAATTTAGAAAAATTTTGTTAAAATTTAATTTTTTTTAGTTAGACTAGAAAGACTACTAGACTCAAACATTTTAAAAACATGTTTATGTTTTTAGGAAGTTTTGTTTTTAAAGGTGTTTTTAAGTTTATTAAATGTTTAGAAACAAGTTTTATTTTAAAAACAAGTTTTAATTTAGCAAAACAAGTTTTAATTTAACAAAACAAGTTTTGCTCTAAAAACAAGTTTATTTAAAACAGGTTTTGTATTTCAAAACAAGTTTTCTCCAACAAAACAAGTTTTATTTTAGCAAAACATGTTTTAATCTAACTAACTAACAAAACAAAGTTGTATATTTACAACACTGTTTCTCTTCTATTTTCTTTTCTGCCTCTTATTTTTCGGGATCTCTAGATGTTCAATTTCTCTTTTTATCAAAACATTAGTTTTTGAATTGTATGTTTTTGTTTGTCTATTTAATTTGAAAAGATAAATATTTCTCGGAAAACATGTTTAAAGTTTGTTTTAATTTTGTATAATTTTACTTCCTCGTTTATATAGCAATTTAATTTATGCAAGTGTTATTAAGTAGGAAATAAATATTTTGTTTAAATATTTTTTTATATTTTTTTATAAAAGGACAGGAAGCACTATTAATTTAAAAAAATGTCTGTCTTTATAGAGTTGATATTTATTTGCTATTTATTTTATATTTTTTAAGGTCCAAAAATTATATTTTTGGCCTAAATTTTGTCTTAAGAATTAAATTTTTTGGTTGATAATTCTGAAAAAAATTTTTTTTAATAAATTTAAAATAATAAAAAATCTAAAATAAATTTTTAAATATTTTTTTCTAATTTTATAGTCAAAATACCTTTAAAAAATATTTTTTTTGATAAAATAATGTTTCTTTTTTTCTATGGGTAAATAAAAAAATTTTTTTTGACATTAAATTTTTGAAAAAATTTCAAAAAAAATTTTTTCTAAGAAATTCCACCTTCTCTTTTTATTGTTCTCACGATTGTTTTATTTATTTTTTATTTAAAAAAATATTCAAAAAAAATAAACCACAAAACCCATGTGAATTAAACCAGGAGAGATAAGCCAAAGTTCGAAAATTTTTTTTTTTTTAATTTTAAAAATATTCAGCAGTAACAAAAAAATTTTTTAAGTACATTTTTATTAAAATTGCAAGTACATACTTTGTTACTTCTACAGTGGAAGCTGATCTTTAATTAATTTTACTTTAAAAAATTTTTCAAATATTTTTTAAAAAATAATCCTTTTTGTGTTAATAATCCTTTAATGGGGGGAATAAACAATAAAAAAATTCTTTTTTTTTTATAAATTGACATCATTTCAACACAAAAATGTTTTTAAAAATTAAATTTAATAATACATATTGTCAGATCTCGTTTTTAAATATTTTTTATTTGGTTAAAAATTAGGGTGAAAGGCTCCCATACAAAATACCGAATTCTTAAAATATGGAATCTCAAAATCGCGAATCGGCTAAAAAAGCTCAAAATATGGAATCTCAAAACATCGAATCTCAAAATATGGAATCCCAAAATATCGAATCGGCCAAAAAAGCTAAAAATATCGACAATGCGGCAAAAGCCAGTTGAGTCTGAACAATTTTATCAACAACTTCGAAAAAATTTAAAAATATGCAAAAGGGTTTTTCTAGGGTAAAAAAATATGCTGATTACGAATCTGAGCTCGGATTTTGAAAAAGTCGAATCCCAGACCCGAACCGAGCTTCGAATCCCGAACCGAATTTCGATTTTCCGAATGATAGCTCATTTGAAAGAGCACGACGAGCTGCATCGACTGATACCAAAATCAATGAAATCCGACTTTATTGGACTGAGATACAGACCCCTGAATAAACTGAAAAAGACCTGCACTCAATTGGCGGCACTCAAACGGCCCTTTTCGTTTTTAAAAAATTCGACATTTTTAACTACTTTTTAGCCGATTCGGTATTTTGAGCATTTTAGCCTATTCGAGATTTTGAGATTCGATATTTTAAGATTCCATATTTTGAGCTTTTTTGGCCGATTCCATATTTTGAGATATTTTTCCCGATTCGGTATTTTGAGCTTTTTTAGCCGATTCGCGATTTTGAGAATTCGGTATTTTGTGCGGGCACGGGGTGAAATGAGGGAGGGGGAGGGGAGGCTGCCTAAATAAATCCCCGCTTACGTATTTAATCTTTTATCAGGTTTAAAATTTTCTATTTGGTGAGAGAGGTCCTGAGAGTGACCCTAAAACTTTGGGGTCTTATAACTCGGTCCCCGGTACCATTTTGCTAAAATGGTTCAAATTTCACACTAGAAAGGGTATGCTCTACCTCTCTACCAAATTTCATCCCGAAGTCCCACGGACACCCAAAGTCTCTCCTTTGTGAGAGGGGAAGCTCTCTATTACGACACCTCTAAAACCTTTCTAAAACTCTTAATTTTAAATACCCCTCGATCCAGCTTAAAAAATGTGTAATTACATGGGAGATATGACTGTAAAGAATTTTTTTTAATAATCAAAACGCCAAAGAAAAACGTGTTTTCGATATTTTTAATCCTTTAAGTTCAAAGACCAAAAAAACAAAACAAAAGATTTTTGAAAGAATGAAAAGAATTTATAGTTTAATTACTATATAAAAATAGTTGAGAATCAATCACTTTTTTGCTTTTTTAGAGAGAATTTGTGGAAAAATTTTTTTGCAAAAATATATTATTTGTATTTTTCCCTCTAGTTTGTGTTTTTAAAAACAAAAGAGAAAATATTTTTGGATATTTATTTTTCTCAAAATAATTTTTTTTTTGTTTTGAAATTTTTTTTTTATTTTTAGAAAATTCATTAAATTCTTTTAATTAAAGAGAAAAAAAAATTTTTGGGGGAAAATTTAAGATAAATGGCAAAATACTTTGAATATTTTGATTTTAAGGAATTTGCCCCCTAAAAATTCAAAAAATTTATAAAAATTGAGGGAATGAGGGAAATTCTTTTCTAATTAATTTATAAAGTCAAAAAACCCTCAAAAAGCAGCCCTTTCCCCGCAAATTTTCCGAATATTTTGAAAATTAAAAATAGATGACAAAATATCCCAATTATTTTTTTTTGTAAATAAAAAGAATTCTTTGGGAGTTGAGAGAACCTTTGGGTAAAAAATGTGTTGAGAGAACCTTTGGGCTCTTCTCTAAAAACCCTTTCAAGCCTCTTATATTTAAAACAATTGCCACAGATTTTTTTATTAAAAGAAAAGGACAAAATAAATTATTTTATAAAGGGTAATCACAATAGATCGACACCAAGAGGGTTGATTACTAGTTAAGAGTTTAATGATTTGAGAGTTTAAATGATTGGGAAGACTTGTAAGGATTTTGAAGGAGATCGATCATTTTTGTTAGTAGAGACATGGAAATAGAGGATAACTCGAACAAAACACCGAGCTTGATAACGAAAATTTTCGTTCGAGATTATTGTTTTCGGCCCGATCTTCTAGTTGTTTAGTAGGAGGGTTGGTGGATTCTACAAAATATTATCCTAGGATATCCAGATCTTGATCCGAAATTTCTATTTAATTTCGGATTGTCTGGTTATCTTTTGTTTTTGAGAGTCAAAAGTCTGAAATTTGTCCTCTATTAAGCATGTTAGTTGATCTTTGGGGATTTGTCTTCTTTCGAGGTAATCCTTAATTAATTTTAAATGATACTATTGAGTGACGTAAAAATTCTTTTTTAAAGACTTAGAAATACTTGGAGGGCAAAGATAAACCCCAAAAATAATTTTAAAGTCAGTCTATATTTAATTTAAAAATTATTTTACGTCATTTTGGAGGTCTTCTTTTAAATATTAAAAAAATTAAAAAATATTTTTAGATAGGTCATTTGGTCACAAAAAGAATTTAAACAAAAGGGGCTTCTTTTAACTCCTATTTGACGTAATTGTTAAAACCCAGAAACGTTTTACACGTGTTTTAATAAAATATTTTTTGTTGTGATTCTTTTCTAATTTGGAAGTACTTTTAAAGAAAAAAGATCAAAAAATAAAAAAATAAAATTTGCAAAAATTATTTTTAGAAAAAAAAGTTTATTTTGCTTAATATACAAAAATTAATTATTCGATTATGTAAATAAAGTTGCGAAACTCGATAATTTAGTAGATTTATTTTGAATTCGTTGAATTTTTGGACTGGGGGGTTTATGCGTGACCCCCTTTAAGATCTTGTTGGCACAGAATTTGTATATAACGCCACCCTCTCGGACCGTTTTGAGCGACGTCAGAGAAGTAAGTGACTTGGTTCAGCTTAGTTTTGGTGATTGTTGTATTATGTAATTGCTGAAAATTATTATCTACATATTTTGGTTTTGAATTATGAATTTAAAATGGAAAGAGAGATTTAGTATCTTCAGTCATCTCCAACATTTCCTTCAATCGCCTCCAACGTTAATTAAAATGAAGCAATATTTAATTATCGAGATACGTAAATTTTTCTTTTTGTCATTCTCTTGTTGGGGAAAACAAAACAGATACAAGTGTATTTATTGTTATTTCACTCTTTATTTGCCAAAATTGCCATAAAAAGACGTTCATTCCTTTTCAATTTACCCCCAAGTCTTTAACAGTTAATTGTGACAAAACAAAAATAAAACAAGTTTGTGGCAAAATGTCGAATTGGCAAAATGTCGGAAATCAAATTTTGTATACTGTAGTTTTTTGAAAATTTTTTGTTTCCAAAACTTTTAAAGAATTTTTTTAAAGTTAATTTAAATTTAAAAAAATGGGTACAAGAGAAAGACGTTCAGGATTATTTGGACATGCAAAATATTCAGACACAATTATTCGAAATATTCCAGAATCTGTTCGGAAAGCTGTGGGTTTTCTTTGAAATTTTTCAGAAAAATTTAATTTCTTTTTTTAAGGTAAGGGAAGATATTGCTGCAATTGTTGATCCTTTATTGGCAAATACTAGAGCTATTCCTGGACGAAAACGTTCTCACCGCGATTTGACTAATGGGGAGAAGGCGCAGCCTCATCAAAATGAGGTTGGTTTAACCCAAAAGATCACCTCTAGAGAGGAAGAGAAATAGTATGGGAAAATGAGAGAGACATTGAATTTGGGGGTTGCCCTTTTTTACACTTTTTTGTGTGTTTTGGGTCCGCGTGTTATGTTAATTAGGAAAAGAAGACGGCAAAACACGCCTTTTTCGGCTGTCTACTCGGGTACAGCCCAAGTAGGCGCGCGGCCAGGTAGGCGCAAAGCCATAACTTGCTTCATGATCACCGAATCCTATCAGATTTAGTGTTAAACGATTCCTCTCATTGAGCTCAAGAGACTTGTACCAAAATCAGGAAGAGCCAGAAATTTTTCAGCTAGTTATGGCTTTGCGCCTACTTGGCCGCGCGCCTACTTGGGCGTGTCCCGTCTACTCCGCCTTTTTTCGTTGTGTTATTTTCTGGGTATTCTTTAAAGTCAGACAAAAGGAGAGAGAGAGTATGGGGTTTTAAGAGAGACAAAATTTAAACAAAAAATATGTAAAAATTTTTTGAAGTCTCTTTAAAAGGATTATTTTTTGAAAGGAATGGAAAAAAAAATTTAGAAAATTAATTATTATTTTACTTTAAAGGCTCAAAACTATCAAAAGTTGAGAGAAGATATCGTTGCGGTGATAGATCCGATGATGGCAAATAATACTCTTTCAACTCCTACAATGAAAAGGCCGCACTTGGAGAATGGAAATAATGTAAATTTTAATTATTTTTTTTAATTTTTTGTTTAGCCTCGTTCTGAAATTTTGAGGGATTTTTTAAAAAATTTCCCGTGGTTGTTTAATGAATATTTATAGTGGATGTACTTTATTCGTTAGTCTATATAAGCACTTTTTTATTAAATCGGCCGATGAGTAGTGGTGGTTAAGTGGTAAGTTCCCTGGCTTCCAATGTATTGGATGAAGGTTCGGGTCCGGCCGCGGTCAGTTAATTTTTTGGGTTATTTTTTCAGTTTATTTTCTTCTTTGTTATTGCTAATGTTGTCTTTTATTCATTAAAAAAATTTTACCCTATTTTGACCTTTAAAATCTAATATCTTTTTTTAAAGTTCAATCAACAACAAAATCACAACTTTGCCACCGCTAAAAATTTGAATCTCAAAAAAATTGCCGCAAAAATTCAAGATTCTCATCCTACAATAACTCTTCGTTCAGATGAGCCTAGAACACTTTCTGATGCAACTTTTTCTCTTGTTAAGAATGCGCTGTCGGTAGTGAAAGAAAAATCTGCTCATCAAACGAGACTTGTAAATTAATTTTTTGAGTTTTAAAAATATTTTTAGAGTCCATTTCGTACACTTTCTGATCAAACAATGCATTTGGGAGAGACAAAAAATGAGGACAAGGACAAAACTTTGCAAGATAGTTTTCAATATTTGGAGGAATCGCCGACAGCAGATATGGAGGTTTTCTTTGGATTATTAGGAGGGTATTGAAATGTCAAAACATTGAAATGCCAAACCCCTTAAGGCTTGGGAATATAAACCTGTCGAAATGACACTGAAATGCCAAACTTCCCCAAAAAGCTGCCGAAAATGCCAACATTTTGCTTCAAAAACGACGAGCAGAGCTTATAAGTCGTACCAAAATTCGTACTCGTACTTTGGTACGAAATACGAGACGAGCAAAAAAAGGCTGATACGAAGTACGAGGCCAAAATTAGGGGTGGTACCAAGGGCGTATCCAGGGGGTCGGTTTCGGGGGGGGGGGGGCTAACACTGGGTGGGCGCAAAAATTTTTGGCGTTTACCTTGGCGTTCCGGACGCAAATTTTTTTGCACATAAATTTTCATCTTTTCTGCGCCGCAGGCGAAAATTTTTTGGAATTTGGTGCCCAAGAAGCCAGATTTCTTCCTTTTTTAGCGCCGCAGGCGAAAATTTTTTGGAATTTGGTGCCCAAGAAGCCAGATTTCTTCCTTTTTTAGCGCCGCAGGCGAAAATTTTGAGGATTTTGGAGCTCAAGAGGCCAGATTTCTTCCACTTTTTGCGCCGCAGGCGCAAAATTTTTTAAAATTTGAGGGTTGTAGGCGAAAAAATTTCACTTTTTCGACCATCCTTCTCCTAATTTCTTCCCCCTTTCCCCCATTTCGGGGGGGGGGGGGGGCTCTAGCCCCCCCAGCCCCCCTGGATACGCCCTTGGGTGGTACGAAGTACGAGTACGAGCAGAATTGAAATTTATAAGCACTGACGACGAGTGTTGATTTTGTCAGCTTTCGGTGAGTTTGGCATTTCATTTTTTGGCATTCGATGTTTTGGCATTACAATTTCCTGCCTTTTTTAAAATTTAAGATAAAAAAATTTTTTTTCAGTTAAGTCTAGGAGAATGTTCTTCATATCCTTCGTATCCTCCATTAGAAACAACTTTTCGGCAACCTGTTCAATATTCTTCATTCTCTCCAATACAAGAAGATTATGATAATAATTTTGATGTTTACAATAGATTTGATGAGGAAAATTTTGATGTTCTTGCTGGTATATTTTTTTTATTTTTTAAATTTAATTGAAAAATATACGGGTGAAATGAAATGGATTTTCATCTCACCCGTATAAGATGGACACTTGGTCGGGAAACCTGGGACCAAGTGTCCATCTTTTCCTAAACTTGGGACCAAATGTCCTTTTTTTCCTAAAAGGGCGAATTTATTTATTTTTTTCTATAAAACTATTTAACAATTTTCTCCAAATTCCTCATTTTTCCAGGAGAAGATTTAACCCCCGAACAACAACCAGAAAGTAGCAACGGTAATGTTTATCCTTTTAGTTTTTTCTGAGAAATTTTTTTAATCTTTAAATATTTTTTTCTGTTAAAATTTCCTTCCCGTTCTCATGTGTTTTTTCTTGTGATCTTTGTTTATTATCTATTGTGCCATTTTGTCATATTTTGAATATAAATTTTTAAATTTATTTTTAAATTGATTGAAAAATGTTAATTTTTCATAATTATTACTTTCGGCTGTAGTGTAGTGTACCGGTGGTAAAAGTTCGGGAGGTGACATATGTCATTCGATTCGTCTCGACGAGCTGAGTCGAATGGTACCACTCCCTATTTTAGGAAATGATTCTGGACCGAGTTATAGGTCCCGAAAAATTGAAAAACCAAAGGGGGGAGTAAGCTCGATTTTGGGGTGAAAAATTCGTCTATGCAAATAATAGCTCATTCGAAAGAGCTCATCGAGCTGAGTCGAATGACACCAAAATCAACGAAATCTGACTTGATTTGACAAAGTTATGCTCGTTTGCTTTAGCTCCTTACCTATGGTGTCCATGAAGGTTTTTGCTGCTACGGAGGCCCCAAATACGTCCGGAGCAAGAGAGATAGGAATAGGTTTATGTTACGAGCCCAGACCCAGCGCCCGTAGACTCCCCGCGAGGCGCGTGCCGCAAAACTCCGCGCGAAGCGCGGAGTTTTGCGGCACGCGCCTCGCCGACGCCCCATAGGTGTACGTTGTTTGTTTTTGTGTCGTAACTTTGTATAATTTTGTTCAAACGCTATGATTTTGGTGTCATTCGACTCAGCTCGACGAGCTCTTTCGAATGAGCTATTATTTGCATATTCGAATTTTTCACCCCAAAATCGAGCTTACTCCCCCCTATGGTTTTTCAATTTTTCGGGACCTATAACTCGGCCCAGAATCATTTCCTAAAGTTGAGAGTGGTACCGTTCGACTCAGCTCGTCGAGACGAATCGAATGACATATGTCACGTCCCGAACTTTTACCACCGGTACACTACACTATATCCTTACTTTCTAATTATCTTTTTAAAATCGTTCAAAAATAAATTTTTTGGGGAGAAATGGGGCGCGAATAATTGGGCGGAATTCTTTCTTTTTTTGTCCTTTTTAACTGTTGAAGGTTCTTTATTTTTTTAGTCGAGACAGACTTGGGACCAAATGTCCTTCCTTGAGGGGGGCTACTTGGGCTTTTAGAACTACCAAAAGTTGGAATTAGTGATCGAGCTATCGAAATATTCCCTTCGAGTTCTGATTCGATTTTTCTATTTTTTCCGAACTCTAGTTGAAGTTCTGGATTTTTTCGAACAACGGGATAAACTAGAAAAAGGAAGAACCCTTCTCAATTTTTTGAAAGAATTCCTTTTTGGAATCGATGGCAAAATAAGATTTTTTTAATTTTCTTTTAGATTTGTAATAAATTTAATTTAATTTATTCAAAACAATTAAAATGCCGAGAATTCGTGTATGTAATTTGTCTAGTTTAAAATTTTTAAAATTTCAATTTTTAGATTACACCATTAGGTGCTGGCCAAGATGTTGGAAGAAGTTGTATCTTAGTTACTATTGGAGGGAAAAATATAATGTTGGATTGTGGAATGCATATGGGATTTACTGATGAAAGACGCTTTCCTGATTTTTCTTATATTTGTATGTAGAGGTTTTTATAGAAATATTTTTTGTTTAAATTGAGAGGTTTGAGTGTGTAGATTTATATTAAAATTGGGAGGTTTTGGGAATTTTCGGATTTTTTTGGATTTTTACCACTTTGGAAGGCCAAAGCAGATCACAATTACTAGTTGGGACACGGGTACACCCCGATGTACTGCAAGCCCAATGTACCACCGAGCTTTAACTTTGTTCAAAATTGTTGAATCCGTGGCGCCCTGGTGTAGTTCGATGCGTCTCGACCAACTAAATCAAACCATACCAGGGTGCCACGGACTTGACAATTTTTGACAAGGCTATAGCTCGTCGGTACATTGGGCTTGCGGTACACTGGCCTGCTCCCTTGAGACACTAAAATTTTTTTGGATTTTTGAGTGTTATTTGGTATTTTCCCTCTAATATTAGACAAAATTGGGTTAGAAATTACCTGGTTTGTAGACTACACCGTCTGGTTTGTGTCAAGCCTCCTATCCCTCAAATTTAATTCCTTATTTTTAAACAGCCCCGGGCGATTTAACTTCATATCTCGACTGTGTTATCATCTCACATTTTCATCTTGATCATTGTGGTGCTTTGCCTTATATGACTGAAATGGTTGGATATTCTGGCCCTTTATATATGACATATCCTTCTAAAGCTATTGTGCCTGTACTTTTGGTTTGGTTTTCAAAAAGAATTTTAAAAAATTATTTTCGTTAGGAAGACTTTAGAAAAGTGGTTACTGAACATAGAGGTGAAACTTCAAATTTTTTTACTTCACAAATGATTAAGGATTGTATGAAAAAGGTTAATTTTTTTGTTGATTAGAAGAGATTAATTTTTACTTTGGGCAGGCTATGTGGGTCCTATATTCCCTCAAATTTATACTCCAGGGCTGGGCAAGGAATGCGAAACTTTTCGCACTGAAAAATGAAAGATACGAAATCTTTTATCGGTTTGCTGTTCAGTTTGTTGTGGCGTTGGCATCCTCTCATAATTATTTATGTTTCGACCCCTATTTTCGTTACATGTTTTCCTTTTCCATTTATTACCAGGCTTTCCCTTCATAAATTTTATTTTCTTTCAAAATTATAAAAAATTTTCCTAGACTCAAAATTAATTTTTACAACTTCCTTTAGGTTACAGCTGTAAATTTGCACGAAATTGTTCATGTAGATGACCAACTTAGCATTCAGGCATTTTATGCTGGCCATGTACTTGGTGCTGCTATGTTTTTAGTTAAAGTTGGAAGTGAATCGGTTTTTTAAAAATTTTCTCGTTTATTTTCGAATTTTATTTTTTAGGTTCTTTATACTGGGGATTTCAATATGACACCCGATAGGCATTTGGAAGCAGCCAAAGTCCCTCCAGGTCTTTGTCCAGATATTTTAATAACAGAAACAACTTATGCAACAACTGTTAGAGAATCTAAAAGAGTTAGAGAAAGAGATTTTTTAAATAAAGTACACGAGACTGTTCAAGGTGGAGGAAAGGTTTGGCTTTTGATTTTTTAAATTTTTAAAAAATTTTCTGGGAGAATTGAAGGGGGGGGGGGTGTCCAAAGAATTTTCGAAATTTTTTTGGTCTTTCGGGATCTTTTTTAATCGGAGCGTTTTATATTGCCAAAAGCTTGTAATGCCAAACCCCCAAAAGCTGTTGAAATGCCAAAGCGTGGAAAAAAGCTTGAAATGCCAAACCCCCAAAAGCTGTTGAAATGCCAAACTGTGGAAAAAAGCTTGTAATGCCAAACACCCAAAAGATGTTGAAATGCCAAACCGTGGAAAATAGCTTGTAATGCCAAACCCCCAAGATATGTTGAAATGCCAAATGTTATTCCAACACAACGGGGGATGTTGTTCCGATGAAGGGGGAAGTTGTTCCAATGACGGGGGAAGTTGTTCCCATGACGGGGGATGTTGTTCCGACGATGGGGGAAGTTGTTCCAATGACGGGGGATGTTGTTCCAATGACGGGGAATGTTGTTCCGATGACGAGGCATGTTGATCCGTCAACGGGGGATGTTGTTCCAATGACGGGGAATGTTGTTCCGATGACGAGGCATGTTGATCCGTCAACGGGGGATGTTGTTCCAATGACGGGGAATGTTGTTCCGATGACGAGGCATGTTGATCCGTCAACGGGGGATGTTGTTCCAATGACGGGGAATGTTGTTCCGATGACGAGGCATGTTGATCCGTCAACGGGGGAAGTTGGTCCGTTAACGGGGGAAGTTGGTCCGTCAACGGGGGATCAACATCTCACTTCCCCCATCACTGGAACAAACGTCCCCGTCATTTGAACAACATCCCCCGTCATTGGAACAACTTTCCCTATAGTCGGAACAACTCCCCCAACTGTTGGAACAATTTTCCCCACAATTTGAACGACATTCCCCGTAGTGCCGGCCCCTCCCCGCATGTCCGGCCTAGAGTTTTTCCAGCGAAAATTCAATTGGAACAACAACATCCTTGTTGTTGGAACAAACAAAAAATTTTAACAACAAATTCTATCAGAAATAACAAAAAAAATTTTAGATTTGTATTTATTTGGCATTTCTCGCTTTTTTCCAGAGTTTGGCATTTCAACATATTTTGGGAGTTTGGCATTACAAGCTATTTTCCACGGTTTGGCATTTCAACAGCTTTTGGGGGTTTGGCATTACAAGCTTTTTGCATTACAAGCTTTGGCATTACAAGCTTTTGGCATTACAAGCTTTGGCATTACAAGTTTTTGGCATTATAACATCATACCTTTTTAATTTCTGTTTATTTTTCACTTAAAATACCTTTTTAAATTTAATTTCTTTTTAAGGTTTTAATCCCCGTTTTTGCCTTAGGCAGAGCTCAAGAATTGTGTATTTTGTTAGATATGTATTGGGAAAGATTGGAATTGAAAGTACCGATATACTTTTCTGCTGGATTGGCTTCTAGAGCGACAGAGGTTTTTTTGGATTTTTCGGTTTTAATGGAATAACACTAAAACTAGGGATGTGACGGGATGAGAAAAAGTCGATTTTGGATTTAAAAATTTTCTCGGATCGGGTTTCAGGTCGAAAAAAAGTTTGGGTATCGTGGCGATCCATCTCTGCTACAAGCAACCTTTTCCAAGGGGCTGACTAAATAAAATATATTTTTTTAGTATTATCGCCTTTTCATAAACTGGACAAACGAAAAAGTTAAACGTACTTTTGTTCATCGAAATATTTTCGATTTTAAACATATAAAACCTTTTCGGATGGAATTTGCTGATATTCCAGGTCCAATGGTTTTATTTTCTACGCCAGGTTTTTTTTTAAATTTTGGAATTAAAAAAAAAGTTTTCTTTGAAAGGAATGTTGCATGGTGGTCAATCACTCAAAGTTTTTAAAAAATGGTGCTCTGACGAAAGAAATGCAATTATAATGCCTGGCTATTGTACAGCTGGAACAGTTGGAGCTAAAGTTATTGCTGGGGCTAAAAAATTGGAAATTGATGGAAAAATGGTTTTTTTGGAAATTTTTTGAAATTTTTTGAAGAAAAATTATTTTTTAAGCATGAAATTAATTTAAAAGTTGAATATATGTCATTCTCTGCCCATGCAGATGCTAAAGGTATAAAACAATTAATTAGAGATGTTGAACCAAATTCTGTGCTTTTTGTTCATGGAGAAGCTCAGAAAATGGATATTCTTAAAGGGGAAGTGGAAAAGGTTAATTTTTAGTAATTTGATGGATTTTGGAAATAAGGAAAGGTTTGAATTTGTGATTTAAAGGAATTTCGAAGGGAGGGGGCACGCTATAATAGAGTACCATAATACGCCCTTTTTATTAGAATGCTTTTTTGTAAGGTGATTAAAGAGTCGGATGATTTGGACGTTCAATTTAAAAAAATAAGGGTCAGTTTCTGTTTTGGCATATAACTTATTAGGGGAAGTATTGCTTTGCTTTCTGATACCATTCAACTATTAATACCATTAAATGGCGATATTTGACTTTGCCTTATATTTAACTTTGCCTTAAGTGAAAAAGTTGAAAGGAAAAAGCTTGAGAACAGCTCTTAATGTTTTAATTTCCTTTAGAAAAATTTTTAATAAAAAAATTTTTAAATGTTTTTTATTTAAAGGAATTTGGACTTAACGTATATAAACCAGCTAACGGAGAAACTGTTTCAATAAGTTCACAACCTTCAATTTATGTTCAAGTACCTGAACCATTAATTAGACGTTCATTAGCATTTATCCCACCAAAAGATGAAACTTGTCCAATTGAAGGATTTTTATTTTTGGATAAACAGGTTTTGTTAATTTTTATGATTTTTTAAAGAAAAATTTTTGCTGAAGAGTAATGAATTAACAATGCTTTCAAATGAAGAAGCAGCAAAACATTTGGGTGTTGAATTACATTCAATTTGTTTAAGTGAAATATTTTGTGTTTCTGAACCAAAAATTAATTGGGAAGAACTTGCTGAAAGATTAAAATTAAATATTGATCCGGAACTTCAAATTAAACCGGTAAAAATATTTTTTGGTAATTTAGAATTAATTTAAAAATAATTCCGCTATTGGGGTCCGAACTTTGCTATTTTCCTTGAAGTCTTCAAGTTTCTCATACTGATCGAGCTGGGTCTGGACCACGGCATGAATTTTTCCTGTGCCCAAGTCCAGGCCCAGGCATGCCTTCCTGGGTTTTTCCTGGGCCTCGGTTTTTCTTGGACTACAAGTCCAAGATCCGGCCCAGGTCAATAAATCAAATCCAGGAACAGGCCCAGGCTTTTCAAAAATCTCAATCACTATTTCCCACTACACCAAGAAATAACAAGTTGAAAAATTTAAGAAATGATTATTTATTTTAATAATTTTATTGAGATCCAATTTATTTTTAAAGGATGGCATTGAACTTTTCGATTCAGAATTAATATTAGCTAAAGTACCAGAACATCTAAATCGTATAGAAATTATTTGGGATGAATGCAGAGAACATTTGTTAGACAGAATTTTATATCTAATTCCTGCAAAGAAAATGGATTTTTAAATTGTTGATGGTTTTTTGGGTGATTTTTGTGATCTCTTTTGGGTGATTGTTATGTTTAATTTTTCCAAGTTTATTTTTAAATTATTTCATGTTTCTCCTTTTTTGAGACTAAAAGGATTATAATTTTTTAATTTTTATTTTCTAAAGTTTTTTGCTTTAACAATTAGGGTTGTTCCCCGCCCCTCACCTCGTAAAATTATAAAAAAATTTCCCCGTCCCCGCCCCTCCCCCATGGCAATGCCTCCCCGAAAATTGTTCCTCGTGGCCCTCTCCTCGTCGGGGAACAACCCTATTAGCAATATTTATTTTTATATTTTCTCAAAGTCTGTCTTTAAATTGTTTTTATTAAATATTTCTAGCTTATTAATTATGGCTTCTACTGTCTCCAACAACAAAAGGTTAAATTCTTTTTATTCTAATACCAATAAAATAAAATTTTCATTTTTTAAGCAAACTCGAGCTGTCGGTACATCAAGTTGAGCCGGCAATTGTTGTTAGACATATTGATGAAAGAGTGAATGACAATAATTCTAATCAGTTAAAAATGTTTGTTTCTTTAGAAAATTTAAATAAAATTAATTTTTAGAATTCAACTAAAAGGTCTTAGCGAACGGTCAAATCCTAATTTAGTTGCTCGTTTTGTTCAAGACCAATGCCAACCTTTAATTCCTATCGACAGACTTTCTGAATTGGAACAATTAATTTCTTCAATTATTTGGAGGGGACGTACTTCCGAAATTAAAGGTTTTTTTAATTTTTTTGAATTGTTCAAGTAAATATTTTTTTAGTTTCTTCATATGGTTCAGCAGACATTGAAAAATTAGATGTAAGTAAATACAGGTTGAATTTTGTTTTTATGGACATTATTTTTGGTTTAGAAATTTGTGGATGTAAGAACAAGTCCAAGTTGTTCTTACATTCTCATTTTCTTGGTCAACAAACTTTTAGAAGTTTACCTCAAGTTAATAGGATTTGTTGCTTGGGTTAGGGTTGCCAGGTCTGCGCTCCTCCCGAAATTAACTCTCTGGCTATGCCCTCGGTTTTAAAAACAAGCCCATATTGTTCTTACATCCTTGCCTCTATGGCCAACCAATTTTTAGAAAATTTACCTAAAATTAATAGGGCTTTGTTGTAATTTTTGATTTGTGTAATATCGAAGTCTGATCGTCTCAAGAATTAATTTAGCCTTCTGTCCCGTTTTCCTCACCCTTTCTCAATTAATTGTTTGTTCGAAATGCTTCTACTTTCTCATTTTTAGGATTATTTAGAATTACTTTATGATGAAGGAGAATCTAAAAATCAAGGAATTTCTCTATTTTTACAATTAGTTTGTGAAACTTCACCTTCAAATTTACCCAAAATTGTTGAGAATGAACCATTAATGGGCGCTTTAGTTCGTGTAATGAAAGAGGTTTTTTTTAATTTTTTGAAAGATTTTATTTTTTTAATTAAAGGATGCTAGACGTAATTTTGATTTGGCAATTCAAGTTGGTCAATTATTTCATCGGCTCTCTCAATTTTCTCCATTTTTGCCAATTCTTTCTCGTTGGAAGGTTTTGTTTGATATTTCGGATTTTTTTTTATTTTATTAATTGGGGATTAGGGTTGTCGGTTATGGATCGAACCGACCAAAGAACCGATGATTTTTCGGTTCGGATATCGGTTCGGTTCCGGATATTCGAAGACTTCCCAAGAATCGAAAACCCTATTGGGGATGGATAGGGTTGAGAAAAAGCGTGGGTCTTTGGATCGGATTTCGGGTTACCCAGCTTGCCCCTATCTCAAATATGACAAAAAAAAGTCTTGAATCGAAATCATAAAACTTTTCGACATTAAAAATTGTTCAAAATATTTTCTAATTTGAATAAAATTTAAAAAATTTTTTCATTTTAGATTGGCCTTCTCTCTTTACAATTAGTTGAACAAGAGTTACGACGTTCTGAAATTTGGCGTGAAAAAGTAAAAGAATTGAGTGATCTAAATTCACGTCGTAATTGGGAATCTGCTTTGATTAAACAAGATTTGTTAATTACAGGTTTTTTAAATTTTTTTGAAATTTTTGAAAAAACCTCTTTAAAGTTTGTCTCCAAATTTTGTTAAATATGTCAGAAGATTTACGCATAGAAAATAAAATGCAACGTAAAGGTCTATTAAATTTACTTTTTAATGCTTTGGAACATTCGTCTTCTTCAAAACTTGTATTTGTTGTAATTAATTTTTTGTGGAAATTGAGTCAATTTGTGGAAAATCAAAAGAATATTGTGGTTAGTTAAATTTTTTAATTAAATAGAAAATGACATAAAGGTTGATAAAATTTATTTTGATCAATTCGTCTTCGTGGTTAAGTGGTTTGTGTTCAAATTTATGTTTTGCTTTAGAGAGGTTCGATTCCTTCTAAATTTCTTTAAATGTGCAGTGATGAAATTATTAAATCTGTCAATCCTCTGATAATTTTGTTAAAACTTATGAGGGAGACTGAACCGGAGCTGAGCACTTTATTTTTTTTTATTATTCTAAAACTAAGAGAGTATATTTTAGATTTTATCTGGTTGAAAAAATTGTCCTCAGACAATTTTTTGTATTCTTTTATTCTTTAGGGTCAATAATAAGGTTGTGTGATAGTTGGAAATCTTCGGATATACGTATCCGAATATACGGATCCAAAAATTTTGGATACCTGTTGTTATGTACGTGACTTGTATGTCTACGTACTAACAAGAATAACAAGATAAGACAGTAACTAACAACTGTGCTTTATCTACAATACTAATTACAATAGTAGCGAACAATAGGAATATGGCCGAAGCCGAATATGTGGAGCACTAGAATAAGACTAAGAATAACACTAACAGACACTAACTCACGAATGGCTAAAGCCGCAGCCTTTTATACTAAGCACATACCCAACATCTCCCTCCTTTAAAAAGAATGATCTTTGAATCTGTAATGGGTGTGCTCGAATACTTACTCCAAAAACAAAAAAATACATACAAAGGGCCAAAATTACAAAACAAAAAAAACAAAGGGGGAAAAAACAAACAAAAGAAAATTTACACAATATTATCACATTTATTTTCCCCAAATCATCTTATGAACCCAAGACTTCTTTCCTTCTTTGGCCTCTGTGCCAATGTTCTTCGTCTCTGCTGGGCTCTTCGAATTGTACTTGGAATTTTCAAGAATTTGCCTTTGAATTGAACTTTCTCTAGTTCTCAGACTGGCCCTCGAATCTGTCGAATCTGAATAATTCCCTTTTGAATTCATCGAATTTGGCTTTCTTAACTGCCATTTTTCTCTACTGACTACGGTTTTCAGCCAAGGGACTTCGACTTTATAATCATCTCCGAATTTACTAAGAATTGTCCCTGGCAACCAGACTGTTTTGCCATTTCTGTTCTTGTTCCATACGAAGACCTTCATGTCTTCTCTGAATTGAATAGAATCTCGCGAATTATTTGAATACTTTGACTTTCCCGAATAATCAGAATCTTTCGAATAATTTGAATTTCTCGAATCTTGACTTTTCCGAATTTTATTGCTTTTCCGAATACTTGGCTTCCTGCCTTTTTGAATAATACTGCTACCACTATTTTGACTCGAATCTTTCAACTCCGGAATTTCTACTGTCAGACAATGTGGTCTTGAATAACTAGAATCTACTTTCACATGATTGACTTCTGGACTTTTGCCTTGGCTCAACCTTTTCTTTGGTTTCCGGCAGTCTCTACTAATATGTCCAATCATGCCACACTTGTAACACTGACGTGAATCTCGAATATTGAATTGGCCTTTTCGTTGCCCTGAATTATTTCTCAAATTTCCGAATTGACTACTCTGAATATGTTCGACTCGACTAACATTATTCACATAATTATCAGGTTCTTTCTTGACCTTTGAATGACTGTCGAACGTTTTGTCTTTATCCTGCTTTTCGGAATAACCGCAACATTCTTCTAATAGAATCATCAGACTACACTCGTCTGGCCTCGAATAACGCTCCACGAATTTACGACTAATCTCTCGCATATCTTTCATTTCTTCCGGAATAGCTGCAACGAATGCTAGAATCTTGACTTCTTCGAATAGCGATTGTAATTTATCATACAATTCCGCTGACTCTTTTCCGTCTGAATCTCCGAATTTAGGATTAATCTCACACAATCCTTTGAATAATAGAATAAACTGCTTACTAATATACTCCGTCTGAGCCTTGGAAATCTTCACAAACTGTTCATTTTCCATCTTGAATTGAATACTGAATATAGAATTGCTGAATATCGAATTACTGAATACAGAATTGAATATCCGAATACGACTATCCGAATAAAACTTGTCCGAATACAACTGTTCGAATACAATTGTCGATTGTTCGAATAAAGTCGACCGCGCCACTGTTATGTACGTGACTTGTATGTCTACGTACTAACAAGAATAACAAGATAAGACAGTAACTAACAACTGTGCTTTATCTACAATACTAATTACAATAGTAGCGAACAATAGGAATATGGCCGAAGCCGAATATGTGGAGCACTAGAATAAGACTAAGAATAACACTAACAGACACTAACTCACGAATGGCTAAAGCCGCAGCCTTTTATACTAAGCACATACCCAACACCTGTATTTTAGGATATCATGTCCACCAGGGTCCACCAACATTTATAAATATTTTTTCAGAATTTGTCGTCTGAAAAAATAATATTTTTAATATTTTTAAAAATAAATTTTAATTTTTAGAATAATTCTGGAGCAATAATTGAACGTTTAATTTCTTTTATACCTCCAATAACTTCCAACAATCGCCCTTCATCTTCTAAAGAAAATGAAACTGAAATTCTTTTTCCACTTTTTTCTTTACTTTTTAATTGTTCTTTTGAATTGACTAGTCGAAGAAGGATGGTACAATGTGGATTAGTTTCTTTATTGGCTCCTTATATTTGTGGTTAGTTTTTTTGATTTTGAAAGTGGATTGCTAATTTCTAGATTTTTTAGATTTTAATATTGCTTTGGCTTTAATGTATCAATTAAGTATGGAAGAAGATGCAAAAGCTATGATTGCATTCACTGATTGTATTTCTATTGTAAGTATTTAAATTAATTTGAATTTTGATGGTAAATTAAAGGGGTGGACTAACGTTTTTCCATTCCGCTGGGTTTTTTAAGTTTTTAGTATTCCTTTATTCTCGTCCTCTTTTTTATTTTTGTTCTTATCCATTCCATAGTGATGATATAAAAATTTTTTTCCGATTTTATATCTGGGATTTGTTCAATATTTGCTAACATAAGAACACAGAAATAACGGTTTATCCGAAAGTAATAGTGTAGGTAAAGATGAATTGAGGAGTAGTTGGTAGGGTTGTTCCCCGTCCCCCCAAAAAAAACGAGAAAGAGATTTGGCTCTAGTGTTTTTTTAATTTCTAAAATTTTTTGGTCTTCCCATATTTTTCCCAATTTTATAAGTTTTTTCCCATTTAAATCTTTTTCTTTTCTAAATATTTTTTTCAGTTATCAAATTTATTACTTAATCAAAACAACAACAACAAACAAATTAATTTTAAAAATAAAAGAATTCAATTAATTAAATGTTTGTTGATAAATATTGTTTTGGAAAAAAGAAATGCTCAATTAATTTGTGGAACAAATGGGCAAGGTTTGGATGCTTTGATCTCTTTAATTTTTGAAATTGAAAAATGTGAGGATACATTGACTATTAAGGTTTGTCTGTTTATTTTTTAATAATTATTTTTTGTAATTAAAAAATTTTTTTAAATAAAATTTGATTAGATCAGTCAGGAATTGACTTGGTGCTCAAACCCAAGACTCTTTTCAACTCGAAATCCAACGGGAAAATTTTTTGGAACTTTTCGGAAACCTGGCATTTTCTATTAAAATTTTTTCCAGAAAAATTAAGGCTCCTTGTCTCTCGCAATTTCCCGGCCCCTTGGTTCTTTCAAATTTTGTTTTTTTTTAATATTAGAAATTCTAAATAATTAAAAAAAATATACCTAATTTTCTTTAAAGATAGCACGTAATATAGTTACACATGAAGGTCCAACACGTGAAATGTTTGGTAAATGGATGCCTAAAATTGTTGAAAATTTTATTACAAAGGTTTCTTTTTGAATTTTTTTTCTATAAGTTTGCTGACTCGTATGTGTTGACTGAAACGCCTGACACAAACTTCATGAGTAGGGTTGTTGTTTCTGGACTGAACCGAAGAAGCTATGATTTTTCGGTTCGGTTCTAGATATTCGAAGATTTTCCAGGAACCGACAACCTAGTCATGAGGTCGTAGGGTTGGTTTCCTACTAGGAACCAAAATTTTTTTACTTTTATTTTTAATTAAATTTTTTTTTAAATTTTTTCCAGTTAACAACAACAACAGAAAATTCTTTTCAAAATTATATTTTTGCATTAGAATGTCTAGGAATTTGTGTATTAATTCCAGAAGTTGATTGGCTCGAATTGGATCAAAATTTTGAAATTTTAAATTTTTTGAAGAATTTATTTGAAAAGATTTTTGATGGAAATTTGAATAAATTTGGGGTAATTAATGATGATTTGGTTTTGCAGGTTTTTTTTGAAATTAAAAAAAATTTGAAAGAAATTTAAATAAAGGCAGTAATGTTTTGTGGTACTTTAGCTTCTCATAATTTACAAATGGCTGAAAAAGTGGAAAGTGAACTGTTACCTTTTGTTGTCAAAATAATTAAAAGTTTGTTTTTATTTTTAAATTTGATTTAAAAAAATTTTTTTAATCCGTGTCTTATTCAAAAATTTTTTAAATTAAATATTGAAGCTTGATTTCTTTTATACGCCAGGAATTGAAACCTAAACTTTTTCCTTTATCGAATCTAACTTTTTTTTCAACCCGTTCTACCCCTGTTTGGTTCCTGTGGAACAGAGGTGGGTCGGAACAGAGGTGGATTTCCGATTTCCGAAAAAAATTTTGATTTCCGAGTTCCGACTTTTGAGCCATTTCCGATTTCCGACAGTTCCGATTTCCGACACCTCTGACTGTTCCGACCCACCTCTGCTGTGGAACAGTTTTTCTGTTTTGGTACACTTATTTTCGTTCAGTGCTTTGGAAAATCCGGAGCCACAAAAGCTATTTGGTTTCTAATTAATTCTTAGATTTGGATAGGAATTTTCTAGCACTTTAAAATTCACGCACGGAATATAATAAAAATTTTAAAATTTTTTTTATCAAAAATTAAAATTATTTTTTTAGTCCGCCAAGAAGACGATGAAATAATTTTACAATCAATTTTTGCAATTATTTGTTTACTTTCTTATGGAGGGAATTTAGCTAAACGTTTATGTATTGAAGAAAATGAAGAATCAATAATTGGAATTTTATTAAATTTTCTGCACAACAAAAATCCAAAAATTTGTCAACTTTGTGATAAAGCACTTGAAAAGGCTGCTGTGAGTTTTTTTTGAAAATTTTAACGAATTTTTGGAATTTTTTTGGGAATTCAAAACTTTATTTTAATTAGTAAGAAGACATTTGCGGATAAAAAAATTTTTTGTCCGCAAATATTTGCGGACACCCCCTCCCACATAAAATTTTTGTCCGCAAATCCAAAAAATTTGCCAAATATTTGCAGATAAAATTTGCGGACACCCACTCTTAAAATTTTTGTCCGCAAATCCAAAAAGTCCGCAAATATCTAAAGGTTTTTAACAAAATATTACTTCTAAATTTTTTTTTCAGGAAATTAGTAATTACTGGAGAAAACGAATTAGCGAAGAAAAATTTTGTTGGCACAATTCTCAATGGTTAGAAATGGTTAAACAAACAACAACAAATGAACAATTAAATAATTCAGAATATGATAAACTTTTTGAAGATGAATATTTATTGCCCTCTGGATTGGTTTTGGATTCTGAAGAACTTTTAAGAGATTCTGAATTTCTGAATAGTGTAGTTGCCCCTATTCAGAGAAGATAAATTGTGATATTTTAATAGCTTTAATAAATTTTATATTTGATTTAAAAATTCTTACGATTTTGGATATTAAAAGTAGATGAATTTTTGTCTCGTTTAATTAACTACACTCCAATGAGTATAAGCTCTAAACCAGTCTCCAAAAATAATTTAAAAAATAATAAAAGTGACTGACACCAATTTAACAAATAGGTATTTTCCTTTTAAAGATTCTCAGATGTAAAATAAAATTTATAAAATTTGACTGAATGGCATAATTCTCGAAAGTGGCATATTTCTCGAAAGGAAAATACCTAAAATAAATTATTACAAAAAATAAAAAATATAATAATTGGCTCATTAAAATTTTTAGTTTTTCTCTGGGAAATAGATTATTTTCTAAAATTCAATAAATAAACCCCCTTCAAAAATTACTAAATTCTCAAAATAAGGAGGGTGGAAGAAAAAAACTCCTTCAATTAAGAGCCAATTATTTAATTTAATAAATTATCACAAATATTATAGTCATCCTTTCCATAATTAATTATGCTTTTGTCCCACTCACATTATTATTAATTAATAAATTTAAAATTGGAAATTGTTTGACAAACTCAGTTCCTCCTCTAGCAACCACAGATTGCTTATAAACATCCAATAAACCTTTAAGAAATTGCCATCTTTCCAATTCGGAATGTTTATTGAACCAATTAACATATTCTACTATTGTCCACCCGGCTCTTTTAAAAATTAAAAAATTTTTTAAATTTATTTTAAAAATTCCCTTACGATTCGTGAGGAGATTTCAACTCTGAATCACTCACACAAATTAATTCATGTGCAATAAACCATTGTGGAACTGCATATAAATTTAGTAGACGCTGAAAAATAAATTTTTAAAATTTCAAAAAATTAAAAAAAAATTTTCATGCCTAGAAAAAATTTTATTTTTTCATTTTTCACATCCTAAAATCACAGGAAAAATATTTACCCCTGCCGGGACTCGAACCCGGATCGTCGGTTGACTACTCACAAAATAGGAGACCGACGCCTTCTCCATTAGGCCACAAGGGCAATTGAAAAGAAAAACAATTTTACTCTTAAATAGTCTTAAATAAAAATAAATAAATTTTTAACCGTCAAAGCCCCTGCTTGTTTCTGTTCTTCTTCCATAACATTAGAAATTTCTTCAAATTTAGTAGGCATTGACTGAAGAAAATTTACTATTTGATTTGATGAATTTAACATTTTGGAATATTTACAGTCAAAAATCTGAAAGAAAAATTTTTTTTTCAAAATTTTCAAAAATTTTTTAAGCCAAACCTGCAATCCATTTTTACATAAATAATCAAAATCTTTAACAAATCTTTTTAAAATGACTTCTTTTTGTGGGCGTATAAGAGAAATATGCAGCAAATATTGTTCAATACAAAAATTTATAAAAGAGGGTAATACATCAAATGATTCATTTAAAGGTTTTAATTGAATACAATGCTGACGGAAAATTCTAAAAAAATTTTTTTTATTTAAAAAAAAATTTTAAACTAAAAAAATAATTAAAAACCCCCTATTTAAGCTTTAAAAATCCCCCAGATTTTATCGAAAATAAAAAAAATTCAAAATTAATTTAAAAACTTTTGAATGAATTTTTAAAAGAGAAAATTCAATAACCTAATTTTCTAATATTTGTGCAAATTAATTTTAAGTTAGCAAGTATTTTTCTAGGTATCCTAGGCTTAAAAAATATTCAAAAAAATAAAAAAATTTAAAATTAAAAATTAAAGAAAAACCTTAAATGACCACAAAGTTCTTTAATATAATCAGAAGAACTGGCTGAAGCATTAGACATATCTTCTTCATGCATTGAAGCCAAAACTAAAGAAACTAGTCCACGCATTGCATCTACCTTAAATTTTAAAAAAATAGAAAAAAATTTTCTTTAAAAAAGTTTAAAAATGTGTGGACCAGGAATGGGCTTTTAATATTTAAAAAAGCAGCAGCCGAAGTGTGGAGGCAGAAGGGCAAAAAAAGGTAAAATTCTGCAGAAACTAAAGAGGTTTTTGAGGTATTTTTTCTCTAATTTTAAGTTAACAAATAATTAATATTTTTAATTTTTCTAGGTATCATAGGCTTAAAAATATCCAAAAAAAATTAAAAAATAGAATCGATGATCCACAACTTGCTAATCCTAAATTATTCGTATTCCTAAATTAAAAAAATTTAAATTTTTTTACAATAGTTTCCAAAGCAGGTTTCAACAAAGAATTAAAAGGAGTACACAAATTAGGCCAATATCTTTAAAAATAAAATTAAAATAATTTTCAAAAAATTTCAAAAAACATCAAACAAACTTAGTCATTTCATATCCAATATTTAAAATTAAATAATTTTGAAGTTGTGTTTTAGAAACTCTTCCAATAAACCTCAATTCTTCTTCTTCTCCAAATTTTAAATTATTTTCTAATTTTACTGCTAAATACTTTAATGCTTTTCCAATATTTATTTCCATTTCACGTTGCAAATCTTTATCCCAATTGACACTTGACAATTCTGCACGCAATACTGCATTTAACTTTAAAAAATATAAAAAATTATTTTCAAAACTAGAAAAAAATTTTCTTTTAAGATTACTCTATTCAAAGTTATCATCCTAAATTTTGACTTTAATTCTCTGGAAAAGCTGAATTCATCGAATATTAAAGTCTTAAAGACCACATATTTTCCCGTCCAACTTTGAATGGTCATAACTCGACCCTAAGTTTATTTTCTTAAAAAACCGGCCATCATTTCGAAATAGAAAGTAGGGGGGTGCTCTCTCGAATGGCAACAAAAAATTCCAAATTCATGTTTATAAAGTAGACCAAGTTACTTTGTCCTTGTTAGGAACAACATTTACTAATGATTAAAACAATCCACAAAATCAAAGTAAAATTAAATATTTATTTAACATTGAAAAAAATAGGAAAAAACCCCAAAATTAATTTTTTTTTAAAGTTAAAAAATTTTTTTCTTAAATTTTAATCCAATAAACACAAACCTTTTCAACAATTATAGCCTCTCTTTTTTCATCTTGTTCCAAAATTTCATCAATTGCAGCAAACAAATTAGCAAGTGATTGACTGTGAATACTTGTCTTTAATGGATGTAAAGCATCTCTTAAATTGTTTTTTTAAATTTTTCAAAAATTTCTTTTAAACAAAAAACCTAATAACATTAGCAACAGAATCTGAATGTGATCCCAAAGATTTATAAATTGTTTGAACTAAACGCATTGCATATGGAGCATTTGCCGGGACCTTAAAAATAAAAATGTTTTAGTCTCTTTTCTAGATTTAAATTAAAAATATTTTTAGAGCTAGATTATTGCTTTAAATTTTGGAAAAAATCCATATCTGGTATAGATCCAGTTCTGGACTAAAAATAAATCTTATTTGGATTAAATTCAGTTTCAACTAGGATCGACTAGTTGAACACCACATCCTTGCTTTCTCTGTTTTTACATCAGACAAAAAACGATGAAAATTAAACAAAGTCAACAAATACATTAAGTAAAAATTAAAAAAAATACTCTGTTAGCAATCACTTTTCCAACAAGTCTAGCAAAATGTTGAGCATTATCAGTGCCTAAATAAATTATTTAAAAAATTCTAAAAAATTCAAAAAAAAAAACCTAAAAGTTGAAATTGTTCCATTTGACTGTGCAATTTTGTTCCCAATTGAGGCAAAAATTTGCTAGCCTTTTCAGTATTAGATTGTGTACCTAATTGTAGGAAAAGTCCATCAAGTTCACGAAGTGATTCGTCCATTAATGAAGAAAGTTCTTTTTGATAAACTGTTGAATTGTCTTAAAAAATTTTTTTAAAGTTTAAAAAAAGTAGAATCATTTGAGATAAGATGCTTAAGACGAATTACCTACAAGATAAGGTTGTTCACAACCGCTTAATTTTCACATGTGTCGGCTCAAATGAGAAAATTTTAACACTAAGAGCCGCACAGGCGAAGATTAATCGGTAGTGAAAAACTCTATTATAAATTAAAAAATCTAGATTTAAAAAAATATTTGGGTTTTGGACCAGGATTAGTCAAATCCTTAGTAAGGAATAAATAGGGGACTGTTCAAGAAAAAAATTTCTAGTCAACACTTGTCCCTTGTCAAAAAAATTTTTTAATAAAAATTCAAAAAACCTATCAATTTTTGCATTGCTTTCATTGTAGAATTAACAACGCCAGCATTAAGTGACCTTAAAGAAGATCGAAGTTGTTCAAACAATTCTTGACGTATTTTTGAAACAATTAATTCTCGTTTGAATAGACAGCTTTCATGAAGCCATTTTAACTTTAAAAAATTTTTTAATTTAAAAATGCTCCAAAAATATTCTTAAAAAAACCTTTAAAAGTTTATCATTCGATTTTATTAGTGAGACAAATTCTGTTGCATATTCAGCCTTTTTTAACAAATCTTTTTCTTCTTTGCATAAATTTACCAATTCTTGACATCTTAAAATAAATATAATTTAAATAAAAATTCCAAAAAAACCTCAAAGCATCTCCCAAAAGACGCGACATTTTTGTCAAATTAGCAATTGCGTGAACACTTGAACGGACATTATCCAACTTAAATTAAAAAATGAAAATATAATAAAATCATTGAAAATTAGAGTGCGGCAAAATCGCAAACCCATCACTCAACGGAAAGTTTCAAAAATTGAATGGACGGGATTAATCCAGTATATTCGGTTTGTCATTTAAAATCAGGGATCCAATAAAATCAGTTAAGGATCCCGTCACAAGCAGGACAATACTTAAGAAACCCCTCCAAAAACCACAAAAACTTAAGGATGTTTTCCTCAAAAAATATAAAAACAACCTTGTTTTGCAATTCATTTGCTATTTGATCAAATTTTTTCGTTACAGAATCCATTTCATGTTGGAAATGGGTGTGGGCACTGTCCAAATGTTCAATTGCAGAAACTTGTTCCAGTAAACGAGGATAATTCTCTTCTACCTAAAAATTAAAAAGTTAATTTGGAGGGTCAATATGTAAAGACATATCATTGAAAAAATTCAGGCAGGGTTTAACCTCTATAAATATAGTCATTGCCCCGAATTTTTCATTGCCTTCCCCCCAAAAAATCAGTCGGAAGAGCAACTAAATGCGTTCAAAGGAGGTTCCAGCAATAACTTAAAAAAGGTCGCACTGTTCGATTTCCATCAGGTGCTAACAATAAGCTTTTCTTAGATCCTACTAGACTGGACCAGCCCCTTCCCAAAATCAACCCACAAAGCCTTTAAACTAACATTTTCAATAAAATATCAAAAAAAATCTTTAAAAAAATTAAACCTTACTCCTTGTCTAAGACGTGTATTCAAATCTCCCTGAATCATTTGAACTTTAGCCAAAATCCGTTCAGTTTCTGATCGTTCATTGGACGAAACAATTCTTTTTAAAAATTCAGTTTCGCCTTCTTCACCTAATTGACCGGCAATAAATTGTTCAATTTTTTCTTGAGTAATATCCAACGGCATTTTACAATTACCTGATCTAGCAAACAAATTAGAAAATAAATTAACGACAAAAAAAGCACAAATATGTTGCCGTAATGCCAACACGCCGAAATACCAAAAAAATCTCCCGTTAAGTATCAAAGGTTCCAAAGGATTTTATTTCGGCGCTTTTGACATTACGGCGCGTCACGGTGGTAAATAACCGAATTAAATAAATTTTCCAATAAAATCTTTTATAATTTATGGGAAATTTTCAAAAAACAAAAAAATAACCTATTTAAAAATTTATTTTCTTTTTTTATTTTCATCTAAAGGCTTCAAATCTTTGAGGAATCCTTCAGCATCAAAACGATTCCAAGTATCAAGAAATTGCTGTTCATAAAGTTCTACAACAACTCCGTGTCCTAAAACGCGTCTTCTTGACTCTCGTAAGGTAATTTTAGATCCTTTTCCTTAAAAAAAATTTTTTTTATTAAAAAAATTTTTTTTTGAAATTTCAAAAAAAATTTCAAAAAATCCCAAAAAAATTTCCAAAAATTTCAAAAAAAAACTCACTTATCGGCACTTCTCTAAGAAAAACTAAATAGCCATTTGTAACTTCTCCAGGCATTAAAAGTTCATTATCAAAAAATATTCTACATCCTTTATCCCATGTTGTGCAAAAAGTAAGGACTGTGTGGCCAGAACGGATGCCTTGTTTCCGACCATTTTCGTTTTCATTTAGCATGTAAAGTTTAATCTATAAATCAAAAAAAATTTATTTTTAAGGGGAAACAAATTAATATGAAGTTTTTCAACAAAAAATCTGCCCCATCCTATAACACCAAACCCAAAAAAGGTCACGAAAATACCAAACTTCTGGGAAATATTTTCCAACAACGGGAAATGCTCTTCTTGGAAAAAATGTTTTTCCTTTTGTTGGAACAACTGTTTGGCATTTCATGGGCTTTGAGGGGTTGGCATTATAATGTTTTTTCCAAATTTGGTAGAACGACGCGTTCCAAAAATTTTTTCGAAAAAGATTGTCTACCATTCATGTATCAAAAATCAAAACAAACGTGTAAACAAATCATAAAAACATCAAAAAAACCTTCTTACCTTAACAATATTTGTCGTTTGCACAGTCCCAGGAGCGCCTAACCACATTCCTTTATGAACACCATCAAAAATTAAATTTCTACATAAAATTCCACATTGTTCTCCAGCCCGTACCTTAAAACAATTTTAAACAAAAATTAAAAAAAACAAACTTGATTAACAGTTTTCTTAAATACTTGAATTTCGCCAGCCGTTACTTTTTGGAAATGTTCAAACCCTCTAATTTCGATATGTTCGCCTTTTTTAAGCTGCCCTCTTTCAACTGTTCCAATCAAAACGGAATCTTTACTGTTTGGAATTTTTATTTTGTTGGCTATTGGCATTAGAAACGAGCCTTCCTGGAAATTAAAAATAATTTATATAAAAAAATCAGGGGGAAAAATGAAGAAACTAGCAAATTTTTGGAAAATTAATTTTGCGGACAATTTTTGCGGACCTATAGGTAAAATTCTAGACTGCTCATTGTCAGTTGAAAATTTGAAATAGATGACCTTTTATTATCCAATTTTTCGAAAAAACGTGATCCTTGAATATATGGAAAAGTCCTCAAAAATAAGTCAGCAAAATTGTTTTTTTTTCTGAAATTAAAAATGTTTAACCTCCGAACGATTTGGCACTTTTAAAGAGTCCAAGGCTTTCAACAATTCGTCAATACAATTGTGATCTTCTCCCTGTAAAGCCTGTAGAGCAGAGCCATAAATTACTTTGGTGGTCTCACCTTTTAAATTTTAATTAAAATTTTGATTAATTTAAATAACCATTAAAAGAGTAATCATTCAAAAGTTCACGTGCTTCCATCTGCAAAATATTTTTAAAAAATTTGTTGAAATTTTTTGAAGATCCTAACCTAGGAAATCGGCATAGCGCTCAAAAATGTTACAAAATAAACACATATAAAAATAGATACATTGAACCTCTACAGACCTACTTGGTTAAAAATCATTTGGGGCATAACTAGGGTTGTTGGTCTTCGCAAATTCCTCGGTTGACCAAAATCAAACCGAAAATCTTCAGCCTTTCGGCTCGGTTTGAAACCGAACAACCCAACCCTTTGCCCACTTCCGATTTTATAAAAAATTTATTTTGTAAAAAAACCTCGACTAATTCCAAATCATCTTTATCAACAAGATCTGCCTTATTAATAAAAACAATAACTTCTTCCAAACCAATTTGTTTAGCTAACATTAAATGCTCTTTTGTTTGAGGCATAACTCCATCTGTTGCAGCTATAACTAAAATTGCAGCGTCCATTTGTGATGTACCCGTTATCATATTTTTACTTAAAAATAAAATAATATTAAATTAATTATCATCTAAAAAAATTTTTTAAAAGCCATAAAACAAAAATAAAAGCAAAAAAAGTCGAAAGAAAAACATTTCCATCAAGGGGACTCGAACCACTCCCATCGCCCCTGAAACCCAGAACGCTAACCATTACGCCAACAACACAACAAAAGAAGTTAAAATAATTAGTCCAATATACCCAAAAATAAAACAAAACTTACATATAATCACTATGGCCAGGACAATCAATATGTGCATAATGCCTTTCTTTAGTTTCTAAAAAGCTTTTTGCTAAATTCAAGAATAAAAATAACCATATTCTAAATTTGCAATGTTAATAGTAATTCCACGAGCACGTTCTTGAGGGGCTCTGTCAATGTCGTCATAACTGGTAAAATTTGAGAAATAAGAAAAAAGGTGAAAGGGAAACCTGATAAATTTTGCCATTTTATTTTTTGAGAGGTCTAAAAAATAAAAGTCAATTATTAAAAAATATTGCAGAAGACCTCAAAGATTGCTTAAAATAAAAGATGGATTTACCGGCCGTGCAAGGAAAAAGTAGAGGACATATGGCAAACAGGCCAGTAAACAGGATTTTTTCGGGAGGGGAGGGGGGGACTTTGAGAATTTTAGAAGGCGTAGGTTACGGGCCTGTAGTCAGGAAGCGGATAAAAAGTTGCCCAGGCTTCCTTGTGTTGATAAACTTTATTTGGGGGTTTTCTAATTTTTCAGACATAACGTCCACAACTTGAAAATGCCCCTAATAATAATATTAAAAATGAAAAGAAAAAGAAACAAACATTTTGTAATTGCAGAAGATAAAGTAGTCTTTCCATGATCAACATGTCCAATTGTTCCAACATTTAAATGAAACTTGGAAGGTTTTTCTTGGGCTGTTGCTAAATTATTTTGTTAAATTTTAACGCAATTTTAAGCAAAATAAACCTTTTATGTTTCTAGCTATTGAATAAAAATACTCTAAAAATTAAATTTTCATTGATTAAAATTAAAAGAAAAAAAACAAACTTGATGAATAATTAAGAGTTCTGGAGAATAAAGTAATTCGTGTCATGTTGCTTATAAATTTGAAGATAAAATAAACAAAACTTCTCGTAATTAAAAAACAAAAATAAAATGTGGCAAATTAAAAAAAAAGAAGAAAATATTTTTAATTTTAGACAAATCGGCATAATGTTAAAGAAAACATACATAATCCCAAAAAGTCAAAAATTCGACAAAAGATCACCCCGGCAAAAATACGACAAAAGAGAATTATGGGTAAAATACGACAAAATATCACAAGGACCAAAATTCGACAAAAGACCACTGAGAGAAAAACAAGACAAAAAATAACTGAGGGTAAAATACGACAAAAGAATATAACGCCCAAAAAAAGACAGCAGTCATGAAAGAATTAAACTTTTCAAAACCAAGATATTAAAAAAATTTTTTTTTAATTTATTCAATTAAATTGTGCCCTAGTTTTTATTTAAAATTAATTTAAATTTAGCATTAATTTAATCATTAAAATTTTCTATATTAAATTATCTCATTTATTTATCTCGAAAAAATTTTTTTTAAATAAATTGCTGTAAAATAAAAATAAATATTTTTTTAAATTTAGAATTTAATGCCAGCTCATCGATATAAATTTTGTTGAAATTTATTAATAAAATTTTATTATTTAATTTTTAAGCAGTGTAGATGTTTATCACTTAAAAATTAAAAAATTGAAGTTAATTAGGGGTGGTTGAAATTTTATTTCGCTGTGATACAAATAAAAATTAAAAGTAAAGTAACGAAAGAAGCGAATCAATTTAATTTTAATTTCTTTCTCCGAACGTTCGGGATCGAGAGTGTCGAAGGTTGTGTGTTCCTGAAGAGAGTATGTCGAAGTTTGGGGTCGGGAGTGCTAGATTAGAAGAAACTATTCGAAATAAAAAAAAACTTTCTACATATTAGACCGGTTCTTTTTGAAGATACGTTAAAAAATTTGAGTAAATAAGGAGTCATTAAAGTGAAAATACTGTAATTTATTCTCCTTTTGTTTTTCCTCAAAAATTCAACTCGCTTTTAGAAAAAAATTTTTTTAAATTTTATCTTATTTAAATTCAAAATTTTTTAATTTTTTAAAATTTTTAAAAAATATTCTAAAGGATCAACGAGCATATTTAAAATTTAATTTTTATTTTTTTTATTTAATTTCTAAAAAATTATTCAAAAAATATAAATTATTAATTCAGTTCAAGCTTTTTTTGATAAATTTAAAATAAAATAAAATCTTAAAAAAATAAAAAAAAATGAATAAATTTTAAAAAATTAAAAATTAAACGACCACTTGGATGAACAGCATATATAAATAAGCGTTTGAACTTTTTAAAAAAATATACATATTTTTCAAAATCATTTTTTGGAGACGCTTGGCTTTAATAAATTTATTTTTTTTTAATTTTTAAAATTTTTATTAAATAAATTTTTTCCTTTAAAATTTTTTTTTAAATTTTATTTAAAAATTTTATTTTTCAAAATTTTCATTTTGATTTTAAAAATTTAGATAATGACTTGTTGAAAAATAATTTTTTAATTTCCTATCAGGCCTAATATTATTTAATAAATTTTATTAAATCTGACATTTATCCTCTATCTACATAATTTTTTTTTGTAATTTAAAGACTTTATTTTCAACATTTTTTATTTCCACTTTTAAAATTTCTCTAATATTTTTAAATTTTATTTTTAACTTAAGGCATTTTAAATTTTGAGAAAATTTTAATCCAAGATTCTTCTAAAAAACAAAATTTCTGAGAGCTTAATATTCCTTCTAAACTCTCTTTTTTTTAAAAATGCTCATTTAAAATTAAAGCTTCATTTCTTAGCCTTTCGAGATTAAATTTTCGATTTAAACAAAAAGTCTTAATAAAACCTAATAGTTTTAAATTCTCAAAAAAATTATCTAAAATTTTAACATTATTTTATTAAAATTATAAAAAAATAAAAATATTTCCCAATTAAAATGATTCATTCATATTTTCATTTTTAATTTTTTTTCTAATTAAAAAAATTTTTTTTCTAATAAAAAAAAATTTTTTCTAATTAAAATTACAGCAAATATAAAAAACTATTAATTAACTAATATTCATTATAAACTCTCTTCATTTAAAAAATATCATTTAAATTCTTCCAAAGTAAATTTAAATTTTAATTATTTTTTATACGAGTGTGTAACAGAGATTTTTCAAAAAAAAATTTTTTTTTGAAATTCTAAATTTCAAAACATCCCTACTATTATCCTAACCTACCCTCAAGTTTAACATACCTAACAGTTTATTAAAGTCAAATCTCGTCAAGTTTGGTATAATTCAAAGCTTCTCGATGAGCGTTGGAGGATATTAGAGATCGGTAAAATCGCATGCTCGGGATCACATACCGTATTTACTCGATTAATTCCCCCGAGGAATTATTTTTTCAACCCATCCGTGGCATGGGGAATTAATTGAGGGTGGGGAATTATTCGAGTTTTGAAATTTGAACGTGTATTAGGGTATTTGGGGGTGGGGAATTATTTTTTCAACTCATCCCTGGCATGGGGAATTAATAGAGGGGAATTAATAAAAAATTAATAGAGGGTGGGGAATTATTCGAGGGTGGGGAATTAATCGAGTAAATACGGTAATGGGATTGAGTTTAAAAAGTTCGAAGAGGACGGAGATTTGCGAGATTAAGTCCATAAATCACAATAATCCCTGTTTATTGTGGAGATCAGAGGATTCTGAGGCGGGATCCCGTAAATCCTGTACGGACTCCAGTTCCTTCCTACCTCTAGATGATACCAAAATTGACGAGATTCGATTTTCTTAAAGAGTATAGCCTTATATGGCTTGTGGTAGGTTAGGAAATAGAGCGCCCTTTTATACTTTAATACTGTAAAACTCGTATTACAATGACGTGCCTTTCTGTTTTTTCTGAAATTTTATTTGTGAATTGGGCAAAAAAGAGAGATTTTGAGGATATTCTGTTAGGGCATCTCATTTTAAATACACGTTTTACTGTAATTTATAAATTTTCTTTTTAACTTTTTCTCCAAACAATCATCTTCAAATCATCAACAATTTTGTGTTTTTATAAAAAGTAAAGTTGGAAAAGATTTAAAATTTATTTTTAAAATTGAAATAAAAAGTGATTAAATAATTTTAAATTTTGGAAGAGTCTTGAAGTAAAAAATATTTTTAAGCAGCTAAAAGAACCACTATTTAGCAAGTATATGCAAAATACATATACTGAATAAAAGATTTCTTTTAAAAAATGAAAATATGTAAGCGGAAAAAGCGAAAAAGCGGTATTACAAAAGATTCGAATTGAACAGATTCAGCACACTCAATTACCTATTTGTAATTCTCACAACTATCCAAAAAACGTGTATTTAAAAAATTTTTTTCCTAGGGCCAATAACTCTAGTAAGGTTGGTGGATCCGGATATCCGAAAACGAAAAAATGCCGGATATCCGAAGATTTCCCAGGATCCGCAACCTTAATTATTAGAGGATTACACATTTCTTTTAAACCTCTGAATTTACTGTTTTTTTTAATTTCTGGCTCATTTTCGATGATACTCAGACATGTGGTTTTTACCGTTTCTAAAAGTTTTGTCGATTCTGTAACTCAATTTTTGTAAATAATTAAAAACTAAGATAAACATGATTTTATATTACGAATGGAGAAAATGTTTGATAAAAAAATTTGTAAAATAAGATCTTTTCTAACTTTTAACAATCCATACAACGGAAAGGCGTAGAGATATGTGTTTAAAAGTAAGTTTTTTTAACAAATCAAAAATGAATTAAAAAGGCAAGACTAAACTAAAAAGTTAATAAAATGAGAAAAAGCTAGATTCTGCTATTCTCAGTTGAAAATGAAAGGATTATGAGAAGAGTTTATTTTTAAAAAGAGGGTTATTTTGTGAGTTATTTTGAACGAGAAAGTTTACTTTTAGAACAAATAAAACCCCCTCCGTCCCACCACCCACCTCGCATTTTTAGATCGAATTGTAGCACAGTCGGTAGTACTACATCTGAATTCATTCTATAATGGTTCCGCGCCATCTCCCATCCAATGAATTTTTGCAACGGATCTCTTTAATGCTTAACCCTAGCCTATGAATGTCTTCCTTTCCTTTCATTAATCAAATTAAAATCTCTTAAATAAATTAACGAAACAATATTTTAAGAGCATGGAAAATTCTGTGATTTTGGTTGGAATTGTAGTTCTGATGATAATGATAAACAACGAAACTGCTGCTGCATATACTAAAAAGAAGATGCTATATTGTAATGTAAGTAAAAACTAATGTTGTACGAGACCGAAATTTTTCGGAGAAACATTGATCGTGACCAGGAGTGGACGCATTGCGTCTTTGAGATTGTCTCTTGCGCCCACCCCTGACCATGACTACATAAAATGACTATTCAGTAGAAATTTTAAAAATAAAAAAACAAAGAAAGTTTTCTTTAAAAATCAGTTGTTCGGTTTAAAACGTGATGGAATATTGGCTTAGATTATTTGTAGACATAAAAGGTCTTTTCAGAAAATTAAGAACTAAAATTCCTTTTTTTAGAGCCGCAAGCAAAAACTTCTGAAATTTTAAAAAAGTCCGAAAAACTGAAATTCAAAATCAGGGCACGTACAACTCTGGTAAAATGAGCTTTTTTGTATCGGTACCAATATTACCGAAAGTTATCGATACCGATGAGTATTAAAGAAAAATTTCGAATCTTTCGTTATTACTAGGGAGTCTAAAAATATGTACGGAAACTCCCAAAATATGCGCATATATCCACCAAAGCGCAAAATATGCACCAAAATATGCGAAATTTATTGAAATATGCACTGGATATGCACTCGAAATAAAATAAATTTACTCAAAAATGTTGTTTCAAGCAATAAAATGTTTAATGAATTAATTTTGGTCATTTTCTAGTTTCTTTTTCTAGTTAATATTTTGTTTCCAAAAATAATTTGAATAAATTTTTGCCGAAAAAATTTTTGAAAAATTTTTGAAGAATTTTTTAGAAAAAAATTTTAAAATACAAATTTCTCAAAAAATACCAAAATATGCACAAATTTTGGAAAGTAATTGGACCAATGTAAAAACGCCATTTTTGTGCGTTTCATCTCATGGCATATCCGCATGCAAAACATGCATCTGCATGTTTTGACAATCCCTAGTTATTACTAAACTTTCGGTACTACGGCAAATTACAGAATATAGCACCTTGCCCGAGATGTGAAGCATGGTGCAGAAATCACTTAGATTATGATTGCAAATATACATGTAATTATGATGCGTATAAAGAAGGAGGTTATGGTTATGCTTCTTCGTGTAACAACAAAACTCGTGTTCGAAAAGAAACAATT